AGATGAGCCATGGCTGGGGAGGCGAATTGGTTCGGAGCGCTCATGCTGGGGGCGCGGGGCTGACCTTGTTGCATGGCCGGGTTCATTTGGAGGGGCATGAAGGCAGGATTAGGAACTTGGTTCTGCATCGAATTCACCAGGTTGCGCAACGATTCCCACGGTGTCAATTGAGGGTTTTGCTGGGAGAACTGCATCAAGAATTGCATAGATGCGATCGTCTCCGAGACCTACATCATGAAATATATCAGTATAGCCTTGGGGGTGCTGAGGGGTGAAACACACCTCCATGAATTGCATGACAGCACCCGGTACACCGTTCAAAGTCACCATTGATTCGGGCAAGGTAGCCGCGGGCGGTGGCGGCTGCTTCTGCTGGCCACGCTTGCCCGAATTCTTGGTAACCTTGGGACTCTGCTTCGGAAGTTCTGCTGCTGCTTGTTCTAGGGCCTGTAGCTGGCTGCGAGGCAGATACTCGGTATGATTCAACATAACGATATCTAGCATCTCGATCTTGTTGTTCATGTCAAAATGTGCCGTCATCGTTCCGTTGGCAAAGAGCTAGATTCGCTGTCAGTAGTTTTCTTCAATTTAGATCCAGTGATAGAAGTGCCGACCTGAGTATCGTTGGTGAACCAGTAAATGAAGGAAGTTCTGGGGCTCTCCACAACGTGACCTCCGTTCGGCAAGTCCCGCTCCCGAGCCCCCTCCACAACCATCTGGATATGGCGGATACCGCTCGTGAATTGGGTGTAGTAGTAGCGAGGCAGTGCGACCGTGCCAATCTCGAATTGCTTCGAACCCGTCTGATGGTTGTAGACGCCCTGACGTAAGACGCCTCCAGGAGCGTAAAACCGGCCCACAAATTGTTGCCAGTAGGCGAGATCGTGTGCCTCACCGCGGCTCTGTAACATGTTAGCATCGCTCTTCCTAGGGCGCGAGGGTGATGCGAGAACATACTTGGAAGCTGCTCAGGTGTTCTGCGAAGCTATTCAGGTGGAGAACTGCGGCCCCTTTCATTGGTATTCGTGGTTGCTGTTGCATCATCATCGTGGCTGGATTCTGCTGCTGCTGCTGCGCCGCCTTCAGCTGTGCCTCTTGGGACATCATGGGAGGTTGTTGTTGTCCCTGTACAGGCCCCTGCTGACTTTGTATTGGTTGCGGCTGCGGCTGCGGCTGCTGCTGCGGCGGTTGCTGTTGAGGACCAGGCTGCTGCGACTGTGGCAGTTGTTGCGGAGGCGGATTAGGGGTGGGCTGCGGCTGTGGAGCGGGAGGCTGCTGCTGCGGCTGCGGGGGCTGGGTGGTGGGTATCTGCGACGGATTCGGTTGCGGAGTCGCGCTCCCCTGATGTGGTGGGGGGCCAGGTTGGGGTTGCGGCGTTGCGCTTTGTGCATCGTGCACGCTCTGCGGTTGCGCGGCTGCCCGTTGCTGCGGAGTCTGCTGACCAGGTTGAACCGGGGTGGCCGCCTGCTGGACTTGCTGGGCTTGATGCGCTTGCTGGGCCTGAGCTTGCTGAGCCTGTTGTGCCTGCTGAGCGTGTTGAGCCTGTTGTACATGCTGGGCTTGTTGCGCTTGGGCCGCTTGGATGGCGAAGAGATGCTGCTGCTGCTGTTGGATATTCTGCGCTTGTCCGTGGGGCATTTGCTGCATCTGCATCTGCATATTCACGGGTCGCATTCCTTGATTCGCTTGCATGGCGGCGACATGAGCGGCAGTTAGGCCGGCAGGATTGCCGTTGGGTAACGATACCGGAAGTCCACCATGTTGCTGCTGATGCTGCTGCTGCTGCTGCTGTTGTTGCTGGAGAATCAGACGTTGCCTCATCATTGCCTGTTGCTGCTGCGGGTGCATAAGTTGTGGGTTACCGGCAACTAGCTCGAGGTATAGTGAGTTAGCAAAGAACCATCATTATTGGCCAGTGAGATGCAGTACTGTCCAGTCAAAGCACGATTTACGAAGCCGCCGAGCGACCAGAAAGGAACCTACATTGTTGGGCAAAATGAGGCTGCTGAAACATGTGTGCCTGTGCCGGACCCAGATGGGAGAGAGCATGAGCCTGCACTGGCCCTCCAGGCCCCGTTGTTCCAGCACCTGGGGGCATGCCTGCCATCATAGGTCCACCTTGGCTGACCTGAGGCCCTCCGGGAGCCGACACACCTGGGTGCACCGCCTGCACCATTCCGGCCCCGGGGTGAGCATTGGGATGTTGACCAGGAGCCATTGGATGACCTGGCGGTAAAGTATGATGCTGCGGGATGCCTTGAGGGGCGGGAAACGGTTGCGCCATCATCATCGCTGTGCTACGAAGCCGCCGATAACGGGACTCCTCGGGGTCGGTGAAAGAGGCGAAAAAGTTCAAAAAGGAGTCAGCCGGGGCGAAAGGCTGAGCGATAAAGCGACCGACAGCAGAGAGAGAGGAGGAGGTAAATAGAGGAAAGAAAAAGGGAGAGAGAGAAAGAGAAAGAGAGGGTTTTCTGGGGAGACCGAAAGAGGCGGACGTCGGGACTGAACGACGAGCGCGCTTGACGTGGAGGGCACAACAGGGCCGCTTTTAGTGCCGGAGCGGAGGCCAAGACGCAGCTGACAGGCGATTGAGCCTGCGTCGGTATCGTCCAGGACCACCCAGGATCTGCAGCATGGATCGGACCGGCCTAATCACCTGTTGCCCGCCAGATCGGTGGGGAGGGAAAGGTAGAATTCCTTGTTCTGCACAATTCCTGTAGCGTCAGCAGAGATTAGTCAGAAAGGGTGTGACTGAAGACTTGGAGGAAACAAGAGACAAGGAGGACGGGGGTGTAGGCGAGGAAGAGGCGGGAGGTTGGGAGGGGAAAGGGTAGGGAATAAGGCGGGTGACAAAAGGCAGGACGCGATTAGAAGGGAAGATTAGAGGCCGTCCTGGGAGAGAATGGAAACGCGCAGGGAACAGAAAGGAAAGGAATGGGATAGAGAATACAACAATAATGCATACACGGGAATTAGACTTAATGGTTAGTTAGTTAGTTAGGGGGGAGGCGGGAGGAGGAAGAAGTGTGGAGGGGCTGCTACCACCACAACCACCACCACTTTTAGGGGCCGATAGAAAGATAGAGCGCGCAAAAAAAGAGAGAGCGATGGAGGGAAATGCAGAGAGGGAAAGAGAAAAACAGGAAGAGAGGGAGATACTGACCAGGACAAGAATGAGAGGGGAGGAGAGCGATTCGAGACGGGGGGGGAGAGAGAGACGGGGAGAGGGAAGAGCAGGAGAGCGAGAGAGGGAAGAGAGACGGACCGGCAGGGCAGGCAGGCACCGCGCGATTGCAAGAACTGGACGTGTTGGCAGCAGCAGTCGACAAGAGTTATTCCATTTGACTACGGAGGTATAGACCAACGATAAAAGTGGGAGTCGTATGTAAAAAAATTCCAAAAAGGGCAAAAAAGCAAGAAGTCGACTTCAGTCAGAGTAAAGAGCATATGGCCATGGTGTGGGATGATAAAGTATTATTTTTATGATTTTTTTTTTCTTGTTCTTCTTGTTCTGTCTCTCTCTGTCTCTGTATCGCATTTCTCTCTTCTCGCTGGGTATATGAGGCCTTTTTTCCGCCTTTTCTTCCTCTTTCCTTCCGATCGGCGAATCGCCGTCCGCGCCTCGTCCAGAGTCACGCTAACACCTCGATCAGGCAAGGTGTCTCTATCACGTGGCGTCCGGATCAATGCTGTTCCGTGGTGGGCATTACTTTTTTTTTTACTACTTATGTCCGCTGGTTAGTTTTCTGCTTTCTTTTTTTCATCTTCTCAACACACTTTCGACCAGAGTGAAAACTCAGCTGGAAAGCTGGAAAGCTGGAAAGCCGAACAGACATGATGCTGTCTTGTATATGATTGTGAATTCTGATCCCTTGCCGGCAGGGGAGCAGTCTTCATCTCATGCTCGATATCTCTTGGTTCTGACAATCAGACCATCCAACGTCGCTAACAGATCAGGTCACCTCCGCAGATCTGCCGCTCGCAGCAGGTTAGTCCTCTCTCCCCCTTTCCTCCATGCCCATTCGTCGCCTTCCGAATTGTTTCGAAGATGATAAAACCTTTTTCTCTTCTTTACCTTCTGAATCGTCCATGAGGAGACAGTTCGGACCTCCCTTTCCCGGTTGGTCTGCTACTTGCCAGTATATTTGGTCTGAGAAACAATTCGCATCATGGCTTGTCTGATTCACGCGAAACCTCGTTGTGCAAATGAAGTTCGTTGAACCCTTGGCTAATGTATGCTATAGTAGTTCTACCGCTTTCCGAAATGACGCTGAACAACGGAGTGACATCAGGATGTCGGCGGATCGTCGATCATCCTTATGCACGTGGGGTTCTGGACAAATAGCTTCAGATACAATGAAATTCAAGATACTTGTCTTACTCGAACATGCTATACAACTATTTCTTTTGTAATCATTTTGTAGAATGCCATTTGGCACTGATATCAGTCTGCATAACGCCACGTCTATCAATCCAGGCACTGGGATTCGGCGCCGTTCCGCCGCTTGCTATGCCTAACTACCATACTCGTGGGATCTCGTACCTGTCGGTGATGACCTTGCCTTTGTAGCTCGGGTTGATTGGAGCCAGTTACTTGTCCAAATCTCCTGATTCCAGCGTCGCCTGTTTGAGCATAAATTAAGCATTGTTGTAGGACATATCCATTCTTCTGCGTGAAGAGTCTTTACCAAATGCCCCATCTAAAGCATCAAACAGTCAATCTATACAGCGCATTATTATCAGCATGCTCCACTGCCATCATTGGTCGCGCGGTGCTAATCTTCGACAGGTGCTTTTGGAGCGCGTAGATTGCAGATCACGGCACTATCACGTGATGTCACTTTTGTTCTCCGCCCCAGCAGGAGGCGGACCAAGTAGAAAGTCCTTGTTCGGGCTCCTACTCCGTAGTCGCAACTTCACCGCCGATGCAGACGAAGGCTTTGGTGCAGCATTAGCACTCTCTTCCGTACCTCACAATCTGGTGGCCTCGCTCGCCCTGGATGTATCCGCCAATGCCCCAAGGCAGGTTCCTTTGGTCTCTGGCGCGACCCTGTCGGTTTATCGCCCATCGCCGCTTTCCCGCCGCAATCCTCGCCCATTCACGCCGATTCCATCCCTCGCCAGCATGGCTCTCATCCACCCCATCTGACCCTCAGGACCCTCGCGACTCGGCGAAAGATACCGTCACCGGTGACATTCCGACCTTAAATGCTGAACCAGACCTCGCCCACCGCGATACCTCCGAGACCAAACCGGCGTCGGAGCAGCATGAAAACAAGACTGATAAGCCCTATGGCTCAGCTCTCCGGAGGGTAATGAGGAACCGGAAAGCGTCAGCGCAACTAACTGTTCCCGTCACTACGGTACCGGAGTGGTTTCGTCAGCGCAACATCGTCGTTCACGATGGGAAGGGCGAAAATGCCGGAGTCTCGGTACAACAAGTGCAGATCCGGTCACCGTCGGATCTCAACGCGGAGAAAGCGTCCTCAGTCGAAAAGCTCGGTCAAGGTGGTGATGGCGAGGGTCCACCGGCCTCGGACGAGTCTACGCCGCAAGAGAACCGCTACGCCTTGACGGATGCCATGTGGGAGGAGCTGTGTGCATCTGCACGCGCTGGTATGCGTCTGCCGCCGGCAAGGTACGCCCAAGAACCCTCAGCCCGGAAGTCACACCTGGTCCTGCAGTATCCGGGTGCAGATGGGATCTTGTTTTTGGACGCGGTAGTCAAGAGGTTAGCTCAGGAGGTTGGCGCAGACCTGGTGACGCTGAACGCACAGGACATCGCAGAGTTATGCAGCGAACAGGATCTGACGGATACCGGGAAAACCGACGCGATTCGTTCCCTGGGCTATGATGTATATCGACCTACCATGCCGGAGGCTTCACAAGATGGAGTGGATTCGAGTGAGGCCGACAACGATGACGAAACTCTACAACCATTGCACTCATCATCCGATCTTCCGGCAGTTGGTCAACGGTTCATCCTAGGATCGTCTGGAGAAATCCATGACGTACTATCTAGGTTGAAGTTGTTCAATCCGGCAGCGGATGGCGCGAACGCCGCATCGAGACCAGAAAGTAGACGACTTCGGCTCGCCCGTCAACTCATTTCCCCCTCTAGTAGGAAGCCTGCACCACCGGCGTTGAAAGAGGCGGACGGCGACGCGTCCGTAAAACCGACGGTTTCCGAGCCCGAAGCGACCCCAGCCGCTCGCGATGTCATCGTCCAGGTTCAGGACTATGACGAGATCCAGGATACTCGCGAAGGCGCCAAGTTCATAATCATCCTGCGAAAAGCAATTGAAGAAAAGCGCAAGGCTGGATCCCGGGTCTTGTTTGTTGGGACGATGGCACAGGAAGCCGCACCTGGTGCAGATTCCTCTCGACTAATGCAGAACGCTCCCGATGACCAGTTTTCTCAAGTGCTGCTTGTCACGCCTGACATGGGCTCGGAGGCGGCAGCGCGTACATTTGCAGAGGACCAACGGAAGCGGACATTAGACATCAACATCCGCCACATTCAGGACATGCTTCGCACGCGACTGCACGAACAAGCCGCCACACTCAAGGATGATCTCTTTCGTGATCGTGCCTGGCCATTGGACTCGTCTCTTGTGGAACAGAGTGGCTTGGAGGAGCGGTATTGGTCTTATTCCCAAGTCCACTGGGTGTGCACGCTGGCACTCGGCTCTCTCAAGGCTGGTGAACAGTTTGGTTTTGAGCACGTCCGTCGGGGCATTGAAATGACACAGCAGAGCGAACGGGCCAAGAAAGACTGGCTGCAAGAAAAGGCGCCCAAAGCTAAAGCAGGAGGCGCAGCAGGCGACCGGGAGCGCTTGCTGAGCTCTTTACGAAAGACGTGCAACTCATATGAGAAGAAGCTGCTGAACGGAGTTGTTGATGCGCAGAGTATCCGGACCACGTTTTCGGACGTTCATGTGCCTCCAGAGACTATCGACGCCCTCAAAACGCTGACTTCGCTGTCTCTGATCCGCCCCGAGGCGTTCACCTACGGTGTTCTGGCTACGGACAAGATTCCTGGTCTACTGCTCTACGGGCCGCCTGGAACCGGTAAGACACTCCTGGCCAAGGCTGTAGCCCGCGAGAGTGGTGCCACCGTTCTTGAAGTCAGCGGCTCGGAAGTTTATGACATGTACGTGGGTGAAGGTGAGAAGAACGTCAAAGCCATCTTTACGCTCGCGAAGAAGCTCAGCCCATGTGTCGTTTTCATTGATGAGGCGGACGCTATTTTCTGCTCCCGGACCCGTGCCAGCAGCCGTACCTCGCACCGGGAGCTCATCAATCAGTTCCTGCGCGAGTGGGACGGGATGAACGACCTCTCTGCCTTCATCATGGTTGCCACGAACCGACCTTTTGATCTTGATGATGCTGTTCTGCGACGTCTTCCCCGCCGCCTTCTCGTTGATCTTCCGACTGAGCAGGATCGGCAGGCCATCTTGAAGATCCATCTGAAGGACGAACTTCTCGACAGCACAATCGACCTTGCGGAGTTGGCGCGCCGCACTCCGCTGTATTCAGGTTCTGACTTGAAGAACCTTTCAGTGGCTGCCGCATTGGCCTGTGTGCGAGAGGAGAACGAACTGGCGGCACAGCACCAAGGCGATGAGCCCTACCAGTACCCAGCCCGACGCACGTTGACCTGGAAGCACTTTGAACGGGGGATGGAGGAAATCAGTGCATCCATCAGCGAGGACATGGCGTCCTTGTCCGCCATCCGGAAGTTCGATGAACAATATGGTGATCGCAAAGGACGGCGGAAGAAGAGTCCCGGCTGGGGATTTATCCCGGCTCCCGCGGACGCATCAGCGGCGGCCGAAGAGGCTGCACGCGTACGGACCTGACCGGAGGGCTTCGATGAGCATTCTTGTATAGATCAACTGTTATTTCACTCTACTATATGGTTTTGGAGGTTTCGGACTGGAGCGGACTGGGATGGAAGGGCAGGCAGGCAGTGACGACCAATTGTACACTAATTAGCGACATGAACCTGTAACAATATTGCAGATACCTGCTATCTTCTGGAATAGAATGTTTTGATTCTTGGTACATAGAAATGTCTGGATTTGAGGTATTAAATAATATGAAGTGGATGTACAGGTCAGTAAGCGCAGTCAGTGCAGTACTTCCGGAAGAAGTAATCGAGCTACTGTTGAACCTGAACTTCGAAGGGGCTCGACCTCGGAATGACATCGACGAACCGCCGCCGCCTTTGGATCAGCCAACCTTTTCGGCTCCTCCTCAGTTGCAACTTACAATCTTTCCCCCCCCCCCCCCAAACTCTCCACCAGGTTTTCCTTCATTCCTCTGGTCTAAGTCTATTTTGTTCTCGGGTCAGTTTTTGTCGCCATTTTCTCTCATCTCTTTTGACAGGCTTCAATCTTCTGGTCTGAGCTAAATCTTCCTCGGGATTGTCGCCAGTCATCCTGAATTTCTCCCCGCAGCTTCTATTTTTACCCCTCTGCTCGACCTGTCACATTGCACTCACCCACCTACCCACCATGTCAACCACCGAGGCCCGTGATGCGGCCATCCGAGAGGCCAAGCAATATGTCCGCGACATCGTGCGAAATGACTGGGTCTTCGAACTGTCCCCGGAATACGGCATCCCCTCGTTCTCATCACCGCCCACGCCGGAGCAGGACGTGCTCGAATGGCGCTTGCGCGAATACGACAGTTCCGGCTCCGAACTGGAACCCCAGTCCTCCCCGACCATCAATCCCGCTGATGTCCAGCAGCTGCCGGGCTTCACGCCGTCGGAGATCTCCAGCCCGATCGCGACACCCCTGGGCGATGATTCGGAGCGCCGGCGCAAACGCCGCCGCCAGATGGAGGAGGAGATGCGCTGGAACGAAGGGCTGCGAGCGTGGGTGGAGCGACGAGATGCGTGGTCGGGCGCCCACACCAAGGACGAGATCCGCGCCAAAACCCTGAAAAAGCATCAACGGCAGCAGGAGGAGGGGCACGCAACGGAGTCCTCGTTATCGTCATCGGACGCGGCAGTACAGAGCCCGCCAAGGTCTCCGACAAGCGACCTTGTCGCACGGACAGAAGCCGCCCTTAGTCTTGGAGAGCCGAAGAACCTGGCGCAGCTGGACGGCGAGGAGGCTGAGCCGTCAACAGTTACGGACGACAAGAAGGAACCGACTGCGTCCACGGAAACCATCATCACCGAACCGGGCCCCCAGAAAGAGACCTCCAGCGCCACCACGGAGACTTCATCCTCAGAACAACCGCAAGCGCAACAGCCGCTCCGAACACTCGAAGAGCCTTTCATTCCCGTCGTCCCCTCGCTGATCTCTGGGACCAATCCCATCCGTGCCTCCATCACGCCAGCCATGTACCCCTCCATCTACTCCAAAGTTGTCATCCAGGGCCTCACGCCCACTGTCCCTATTAACCTCGCCGACGTCACCAAAGCCATGGTCCAAGGCTGGAAGGCCGACGGCCAATGGCCCCCCAAACCGACCCAGACCTCGATTGTTCTCCAGGACGACGCGACCATCCCTCGCCGACCGGAGGACAGCACCACGACGGCGGCAGCAGCAGGCGGGGACCGGGCGCCATCATCGCCCGAGTCGAAACGCCGCTCCGGCGTTGCCAGTGCCGTCCGCAAGGTGTTCCATTTCTCGGGGTTCCACCCCCACCCGTTCCACCGGAGAGGCTCCTCCAGTCAACAGAATACTGAACCCCAAACGCAAGCTGGCGGTGAGTCCGGAGCGAATCTTGCACAGTAAGATTTGAGCAATCAAAAGCTGAGACTGTTCGATCGCAGCTGCTGGACTCATCCAGGAATAACCTCGAATGGAGCGGCATCGTTTCGTCTCCAATATTATGATATCTCTTATTGCCCCGAATTCCCCCCTTGTATCCACTCTTCTGCACCCGGAATGCCGCATGCATCCTGCGTTCGTGCAGCCTTCCTCCTCTACCTTTACTCTTGAATAATGACGTCTTTTCCTTCTTGATTACATGTCACGTATGTACGGTTGTGGTTCGACCATGATACTCTGCTTGTTTTCTCTTTCCTAATGTTTCGAATGGATACTTATGTTGTGACGTAAGATGATGAGTTGGTTCCTCTCTAATCTCCTAGTTCCATGCATGCAGGAGGTTTAATTATCTTTTTCCTTTTCTCGTTTCCTTTATCTTTTCCACTTCTGGTTAGAGCATACAGAATATCCCAGATTGTCGTCAATGCGCGGGGTTTAGACCCACCAGGCGGATCTATCAATATATCGATTCTTCTATGGCCCCTTGCAGTTTTCGTGAACACTTTGCAATGGAACCTCGGTTCATGCTGGCTCACCTTCGTTGCAGTATATGGTCCATTATATCCGCAATCATGCTGGATTTACCCTACCAACTTCCCCATGCTGGAAAGCTGTCCGTACGAGTATAAACAATATCCTCGAGTCCGATGACACCGCTCTGTCTTCGGGGGTTGTCCTCGTCTCTGCATTCTGGGCACCCGAACAGACTGAACCCATCCACATACGACCAGAGCCAGTCCTCTGTTGGCTAATCACGAATCCATGCATAGTACGTATGCTAGCCATATCTTTCCGGTCCAGTGGGTTCACTTGTAGCTTTGCGACTATACCCAACTCCCCTACCAACCTTACCCCTAACTATTATGACATTGAACAAACCCATTCCAAATAAACATATACTTAGGTCTCAACACAACAATTTCCAAATCCAAAATATGCAGTTCTGCAGCCGATGAAAGTTGATTCTCGACAATACAAACTCACGTAAACGTGAGTCCTGCGGCAGGGTAGGGTAGAATACCACGCTTGGCGAGGGCAGTGGAAGTCAGCCCAGGAGAAAACGGAGTTGGAGAGGGGAAGACCCTGGGAAAGAAGACAAGGGAGCTGAGGGAGTCTGCCCTCGCTTTGAAGGTAAGCTTACTGACATGGACTGCGTGGGTAGGACTATCCTCGCGTGTACCGGCTGGGCTGTCATGAACAGCGAGTAGAATGAGGCTCCTCGCCTGCTGAGATTGTATGGAAAGCACGATATCAAATCTCCAGAGCTCACAGTTGCAGCAAGGCCAGCGGTCGCTGGCATGACGCGGTACACGGTTGCTTTTCTACTGCAGACCCGCCGGGGGATTGAGACAGATGAGTCGTGGCCCATTCGAGCGATGTGTGAGAGAGTGTAAAGCTGCAGGATTGACAATACCGGTCTTGAGCAGCGCCGGAGAATGAACATAGTAGTCGAAAGCTATCTTTCATGGATCTTCTGGACTGGAAGTGTATCATCCGTACTTTGGAGGTTGAGTATAGATAAGTTGAGGAGACTTGCTAGAGCATACACAATTAGCGCCTGCTCTTGCAAGCGGCAATCGGGGACAAGGCTTCATCGACTCCCTCCCTCAAGACTGTATTCAAACTTAAACGGCCCTGGCATGGCGATTCACGCGCAGAACGAAATCTTTAAAGGGAATCCCTACCACAGAATGCTCTCAAACTGTTCTAGAAGGCCCTTCTAAAGTGTAACACGCCAAGTACTGATCAAGGACTATAGTCAAATACACAGAAAAGTTTTATATCCAGAAATCCAGACATTTGGGTGATTGCACTCCATGCATGTTTCCAGTACTATCCAGCCCAATAACAACGCACCCGTGATCCTCAACAAGCGAATATGATATCAGCATAATCCGTGAACAGCCAGTAAACCTCATCCCAATGGTTGTCAGCCTAGCCGATAAGAAGGTGACTTTTTCATAGGTACTCACCCCTTCCATCATATCGACAAATCTCTCATCGGCCTGTGGAGCAGCAGCAGCAGCAGTAGCAGCATCCTGCACAATCCCCACCCGGAGAAGTATCCCATCCCGATCTTCCTGCGCAAAATAGAATCGCAGGATACTGCCATCCCGAAAGGCCAACGCATCATACTCTGGTCGTTTATCGGCATCTTCGTACCACTGGCCCAGGATGCGCTCGGTGCCGTCGCGGTAGCAGAGGAGAAGTCCCGTACATCGAGACTCTGGATAGCAAGCCACCAGAGATCGAATATGCCTTAACGGTGCTTGTGAGAAGAACCTTGGAGGATTAAGGATATCTATAACCTCCATGTGTTGACGCGGCGGGATGGCAGAAACAACGTGGGGAGTAACGGGGTGCCCGTGCGGCTGGTAAATACTACCTAGGCTCGTGATTGCTCTAAGGCCTGGAGACTTATCGTAGTAGAGACCTTGGAGATCTCCGCTGTCTGCATGGAATATGCTCTTTGTACATGTTCGGCTGGACTCGATGTAGGGACCGAGAAAGTATGTTTCGTCTTTGCTGGTGGTTACCTAGGCTGATGTAAGTATACAGCTTCTTCCACGGAAGAGGCACAGCATACAGCTAGATAAGGCTCGGGTAGATAGTCATTTTGCTCCCAGAGAACAAACACCGAACTTATGGTTTCTTGACGATCAAGGCGGAAGTGGATAGGGCAACCGAACTGTCGCCCATACCAGTGGGTAGAAGAAGAAGATTCTCCGCAAGACGATTGATGCGGGCAGGAGCGAAAGTGGGTTCCAATGCCGACAATGCCCGCGTTCGAGCAAAGTGCCGTAAGTCCGTATAGCTTTCCTTCCTTACTCTGCAAGGGGATATACTCCATAAGCCGCTGAGCCTGGGTCGAGAAGTCCACATGCCGCGGCCAATCATAAAAGGAATCCGCAGAGGGGCGGGCAGGAGGAAGTATAGATGACCAGAGGAAGTCATGTCCGAATATTGATCTATCACAAAGGATGATGTCGAATATCTTGAAAATCTGAAGTTCTATATCAATAAGATCCTCTAATCGGGAACAGATACTTACATCCCACTTGAGATCTACACGCAACTCTTTCGTCTGAGGGTAGATGACTCCACGGAACCGAGTATCGGACATTGTCTTGTTCGATTTGGCGCTGGGTACTTCCGACACAAATTCCAGCTGAGAAAGCCCATGAATCTCGATTGTGAATATCATTGCCGCTTTCGAGGAAGGGACTGATACGGCTGCAGAATGTTCGCTTTCGTGGCCGTACACTATTTCTCCCTGACGAAGGCCACAGACGTATGTCTGCTTCATGACATGTGTGTAGTATAAAACAAGGTCACCACCCAAAGAGAGAGTCGCAGCTCCGCTTGTAACGGAAGGGGTTGACCAGAGATGTTTCGTAGCCTGGAGTGCCAGAATCGAGCGCACACTGCCAGGCGAAATGAAGTCCCAGATCATTGTCCCGAGTTCCGGTGGAAGTTGCCCGCATCTTCTGAGCAGCTCTAGATATTCATCATCGTTGGGCGGATTTTGAAAATTGGCTGGGGCGCAAACTAATGAGTGGATTGATTGTTGAAGGAATCCGTGACTTCTGTAGGCCTCCCTTGGTAGTGTCGTCCAAATATGAGGTATCATCGCGAGACCTATATCGTAAATCATAGCACTCTTTGGTAGATCAACTACAGCAGATAGGCAGATACTATGAGCCGCAGGCGCATATCTTGCCTTTCGTCGTGGATAATTGTGTATAGCTATGTAAAGATTCTCAAACTCGATCGTCCGACCATCTTCCCAAAAAGTGGCATCTGGAGTCCAGACAGCAGTCTGGTCTTGTAATTCAATGACTGCAATCATTAGCGGGTGAGTAAGAGCCATTGAACCTGCGACATACGTGCGCGAAAGTATGTATCTGTTGTAAATCTCTGACCACAAAGTGAGCAATAAGGGACTCGCTTGTAGCGACGAGGCTTCCACGGAAGGCCTGCAAACTGTTCCATGAGTGAGGGTGGAAAACGTCGCAGAGCCTGGCAATGCATGAGTCGCCGGGATCAAGCCTCGACTGAAATGCTCGCCGATAAGCGGTCTGATCGTGCTATTTCAGTTTGCTGGTGGAACGTGGCTGCCCCCTCCTTCAAGCATATGCACCCCAATCGGGCAGCATCTGATTAACAGACTAATTTATATACCAGGTAATTGTTCTGTCATAAAAGTCACATGATAAAATATCTCACTTGGAGTAAATTAGAAAAGCAATAATCTTGCTCTACATAGCTTGGGAATAAGAGTAATTAAAATTGGGCAGCACTAGGCCTCGATAAGCTGATTTCATGTGATTCCTCTTTTTTCTCCCCCCTGCTTCATCTTTCTACTTCTAGTTAGAGTATACATATATCCTAGACTATAAACACTCAGGGTGTAGACCTAACTAGGTAAAAATATAAATATGTATAGTACTGAGTAGTATCTATGATTTCTGGTGTGTAACCTTTGAAGTTATATTGTATGTAGATTCTTTTAACCCCCCCGTTGCCGCCTGTGGGGCCCTATTGATAGTAGAAAATTAACATCAACAGTATTCTAAGGCTGAAGTCAGAGCTTCTATATCAGATCTCTACTCACAGCCCTCCACGTTTTTCAACAAATTCCTGCGTGGTATAGTAGGTATGCATACCCGCAAGGTCCGGTTCACTTGCAGCTTCCGACTCGAACCCCAAGCATTCCACAAACTCTCACTTTTGAGTACTTAGGACGATATTGAACAAGCCTTATTTCATCAGGTAATCAATCGGAGAACCCATAAATAAGAGACGTAGAAACCCATTATGATGCTGAGATCGGCTCTATACAAAATGGGCTATTCAAGGTAAGCTTCGCAAGCGGTGGTACACTGCATTGGTCAAAGCGTAAATTGAGTGGGGAACTATTCTCGCCTGCTAGCCATTGTGAAAAGCACCACCAAATCCAATCTTGGTTTCTAAGAGTTGCTAAAAGTGTGTTAATGGTGATGCAAATGCAGAGAGGTCGCCGGCATGACGCGCAGACTCCCTGAGTTGGCCGATTGCCTTAGCAACTGACTCGAGTGGTGAGCCATACACTCTGCAACCTGAATTACTTGCGGAAGTAAGCAGAAATGTACTCCTTCACTTGTAATTGGAAGATCTTAGGCTCAATTCTGGCTCTGTATGGTACTGTACCTAGCTACCTCACCCTCAAAGGTTACGAGATAGATCACACTGATGCATATGCCGTCGGTTACAGCAGTGATTGCCTTTCCCACTTCAATTCTCATAAGCCGAATGTAATCGTGTTTCCAGCTTCGATTTTCGAGTGGTGGAAATACCGTTGCCCCGTATAACTATACTTGTCAGTCAAGACCTTCCACTCAGTGTGAAAACTCGAAAACAAACTCGTACCTCCAATATGTCAGCCCCATCACCACATTCTTACAGCCCTCCAGGAAAGCTTCAGTAATTTCCTCATGCGGCGCAGAGTCATGTTGAGCTTGAAGATGCTTCTCAGTCTCATGGAAACCGTGTGCTGCCTCATCGACCAGCATAATAGCTAACTTCATGGCGGTGTTGCAGTCGACGCCTTCGTTGAGCATTAATACTGGGATGAGATTCTCGATTTGCCCATCCGCCTGAGGGTCGATGGTCAGTAGTGGTTGATGAAAGCATTTAAGAGAACGTACAATTTCTTTGCGCAATGAAAACATGTCGTTGATCCTGCATGAGTGTTCAGCTTCATGGTCACGGGGATGGCTAGCACAGGTGCACCAACATGTGTACCAAATACGACGTATGTTTCCACAACAACTGCATCGACTCGCCATCTAGCTGTTGTTGTGAGACGTCGATATCATAAATGAAGCTAGTAATCTTGTCAGTCGCGAAATTTTGTTCAGCGACGTTTCACCCACGGGATTGTGGCTATAACCGGATACACCCCGGCAGTGCGTTCACGCCGGCTCAGATATTGCTTCAGTGATGGAACGTGGTTTTCCGAGTAGACCGTGTCCACAGTATCGACACTTTCAACATAGTATAGCTTCTGGTCCAGAAGGACCTCTAGGGTGTCTAGAGACTTTGTCAACTCGGAAAAGGTCAGAGTGCGAGGCGGATTGACCTTTTGAGCACACGCTTCGAATGTGATCGGCGACTTCATTCCAGCATAGCAAGGCAAACTAAAGCTCCTCTGAGAAGTATGACAGATCGGGGATGTCTTCTTCCTCCCCGAGTACGGCGTGGAAGTACCGTACGGATTGCTCTCTGTATTCCTGGGCTTTATCTTTATCGTTGGCGAGGATGCCACAGTCGAAAACTACAGGCGTGTCAACAGTAAGCTAGATTAACGGAGTCAGGACCTCTCAGGGTTTCATACTATCATCCCAAATAAAATACTGTGTTAAGCTTTCAGCTAAGGTCATTTAGTGGACGATTAGAGGACTAACCCATGCGAAGGCTTTAGACACGGTACATAGGACCTCGAACGAAGAACGCGCACAGAAGATAGCAGCGAAGACTCCAAAGTCTGCCTTTTGAAATTTGCGACTCGTAGCCCGATTTGGCACCCATCTGTTATGAGTTTAGAAAAGTGGCTCACAGTGAGACTGGTACTTACCGTTCGATCCACGGATTGAGAACTTCATCGCGGGCTCTCTCATAATCAGGATGAATTTCAGCCTTCCATTCGGGAAACAAAGCGTATAGGTCTGGGAGTGTGGCTGTTTGCCCACGGATTGTCTGCCGGAATAAGGCCAATGTTTCTTCACTCGACACCATATTTCCTGTAATGACTGAGTTGGGCTTCGGGATATTATTCTGTGCTCAACTGCAAGATCTCTGCAGAATCGTTGTGGAATCTATACCACCTAGGATCTGCATTGTTGATCGATCTAGAAAACTTTCAGTAAGCGAATGTACTCGTATCAGTATCATCGAGTGGCTGTCGCAAGCTCTCAGCCCGTTAAGTGGGGTACACACTTCCTCAGACCCATCTACTAGTGTCAAAACAGCCTCCATCTTCGTTCTTTTTCCCCACCTCAGCTTTTCGTCTTGCCGCGCTGTTCAGCTGAACGAAGCGTTATGTGGTGGCGCGGCTGTAGAAAGACTAAAAGGATTCAGTGTAGTAGGATGGACTCAGCGCCACAACACGGCCTGGTTGGCAATGTTTGTCAATCAGTTGGGGGGAGGCTTGCTTGCTGTATTCAGGATTATGGCTCACAACATCGAAGATGGGATGGATCCCTTAGCAACAAAGTATCCAAACTCTCTTTGGCTGACCGACTTCTTTTCCCCACTCACTGGTTCTCAGTAACATTTGCCGGCATGTCGATCTTTACTCTCGGAAATCTAATGCGAGCAATGCCCTGCACCAGAAGCTTACCACCTGAGCTCTGGAAGGAGTCAGTCGCTCTCTTGCTCAGAGTTGGAACTTTTCATCCCGGTGCTTTTGCATACCTATTTTTCAAGAGGAAACTACTGCATTTGCCTTTTGATTCAATGCCGGATTTCCCCGACCATCAGCGATTGACCACGAGTGGCTATGAAAGGGAGAATCTTGTCAGGCGTCTTTCTTCCTCCAATGTGAAGCATTCATTGAAAAGCGGTTCAGCCGACTCAGCCACTTTTGGCAGGTGTGATGCCCCACTGCACCTGCCTTCGCCGCGGCATTTCAAATCCGTTCTCCAGGATTATCAGACAATATGAGGCTTGCCTTCGCATATTGTGGAAAGATCTTGAATACTCAGTAGGTACTCTCTATCTCTTTCCCTATTATGCTTATCGTTTCCTTATAGCTGATGTTGTCAAGATGCAAGAAGATGTCCCGAGTCATATTTGGGGCTATCTCAGATGGGCTGGCTATATGCGGCTCAGGGCGGTGAGCTGCCTCTTACAGATGTACATAGATTCTTTAGCTCTGCTGGAGAACATATTTAAGGATAGGAGTATATTGGAGGCAAGCAGGTGATTTTGCTCCCGAACTTTCTGCCCAAATTCTGGATACACACTTCACTGGCGCAAGTATGGCTGCATCTACATCAGTTTTCGAATCCCAGTCCACGCGCGCTCATATAGAAGCTCGCTCAGCATAGGAGTAGAGATTGGGCACTTCGACGTAGATTGTTAGCCCCGAAGACACCTAGCAGGCAGCAAGATTCCAAGGTCATCTAATAACAGACCTCATAGCAGTTTCAATAACTTTGACGATCAGTATATAAAGATGTACTAAAGAAAAGAGATACTAGTAATCACCAAATTGACACATCGTATCTGCCTATGAAGCATATACATAGTCAGTTCAAAGTATACACAAGAACTAAGGTATTTTCTACGAGTAGAAAATCGATCTTAGTACTTTTCTTTCATTCTTCCAAGGTCATCGAGGTCTTGTCTTCTTCCAATGGCGTTTCTCGATGTTGCAAAAAACGAGACGGGATATTCATTTTCCGATCCCCCACTACGCAAACAAACAGGGGGTGAACAGGGTCATGTGACATGGTGTAGGGACTATATAATTATGTACCCCCCCCCCCCCGTCATATCGACTCTTTGTTCCTTACGTCTTTTGCTGGAGTCTATTCTCTATATCCTGCACAACTCGTTTACGAGACTTTCGGTCAAGAATGACCACCAAATATCGCCCAATCACTGCAATCACTGAACTCCAGGTTCCCCAGGGGCTGGAGCTTGATGCCGAACAGTGGGCCGGCTATTTTCAACCGTTGGTGCACGCAGACGGCCACAGGGGGACAGTCTGGGGAAGGTCACAAAAGGAGCCCGGGGTAGTGCTTCTGGTAACATGTAAGTCGAGCATTCTCACTCGACTCCTTAGATTCCCAAGTATGTTAATTCACATATCTGCTCAGTATGGGACCATCCCGACGAACTTAGAGATTTCCAAGATTCGCCTTGTGCCCAGCTCCTCAGGGAGTCTCTCTTGGCAGTTAATGCCCTACAACTCTCTCATCACGAGGCCTTAAAGGAAGAAAATTGGTTTCACTATCTAAAAACATCCTTTGTTCAGTTCTATTGGGTCTACCTTCCCGCAGCAATGACCCCTGAGCAAGAGACCCGGTTTGGCAAATTTCATGGCATCAAAACACCAGCTTTTGGACCTAGTTATCCAGCAAGCCGGTCACATTCCACCCGCACTCCGGACAAGATATGGGCTACTCAGACAGAATTGTGGCGTGGCCAAGAAGCCCGACTAATGCTCTGGGCGCACTTCTGGCGAGATGAAAAGGCGGCCGATTTCAGGTTCTTGATAGACAACTTCATGACATACCAAAATAAAGTCGAAGTGCTCTCTGATGTTCTTGTTGAAGCCGGTGCCTTGGAATGGAGAGATGATTTCTATACTTTTCAGGAGGTGCCCATTCTGTGAATATCATTGTGGTTTTGTGTTTAAGGCTCTTGCTCTTGTGATATAGGTGGCGGATTCGAAGAGCTGATACCAATCTGAAAGACATTCCCTCACCCGCATTGATGCTCCTTCTTTTGAGTATCTCTCTCTTGTCGATAATGGTCCCCCTTGCCTCACAATGCCGTCGTATTATTGAATCAATTCGGCAACGCCTGAATGAAAGCTCCATCTTCTATTGGGTTTCGCCACGGTACCCCACCGCGTCTGCTGAAAATACCAGTATCCCACGCTGAAGAAGAGGTATGTTTCCGGGTTTTCGCGGAGGAGGCTCAAGTAGTCTCTATCCTGGTTTTTAACTGCCTGATAGGGATTAATTTCAAGCGCTTTCTGCTGCTTAGACCACAAATCTTGGATACAGTAGTCGTTAGTCGAGGATCAGCTTGAGGTATATATCAGCTCTGCAGAGGCTTACATTCTAAGTCATAAGTGTGGTAGTTCCCGATCACGAGGTGGAACAACTCATGGTACAGAGTGCCACTAAGGGGGACGTTAACCTGGATCGAATCTCCACGTGTGGGTGCTCTCGATCCGAGGGTCCTCGTAACATAATTCCTGCTTCTGAGGGCCCTGGGACAAAATGTCATTGTCTTTGGGGTGGTTCTCTCCTGTGTTACTGCCAAGTTAGCGGCGGGCGTACAGTAGGTCCCGCCCTCGTAGTCCGAATCGAAGATATAATCCTTCAAGTCATCTGACCAATATGGTACCTTATCGGAGATGGGTTCCCACATCCCATCATCGTTTTTGAAGAAAAGATATTCTCGATATTCCGGGATTTGAAAGATTGCGTATGGGGCCCGAGAGCCGTCTGGATAATCTTGCCATCTATCGTTCCCGTCTTTATCTTTGGCCGCGTCGGTCAGATGCTCCTTTTCGAGCCATTCATCGTTGCAGTACAAATGAGCTTTATCTGTGGATGTTTCGCCGCCGAGGAAGTCTTTTACCCGCGTGAGATAATCTTGTGTTCAATGAGCAAACTGATCCAGGAAAAGGGCAGATGAATGACACTCCTTACTCTTGACCGAGGCCATTGCCTGGGCATCGTCGTTGATCCTGAAATAGGTCCACAGATAACTGCGGGCCACGCGGCCTTCTCTGGTACTGACAGGCTTAGCTGCGTCCTCGAACACTTGCAAGCCGGCATTGACAAGCTCTTTGCACTCAGCTATGAATGTCTCGAATTGATCAAGGTACTGGGCGCAGCCGCCATTGTTGTCTGTGTCTGTCTTAACCACGAAGAGGGATTGGAATGATGTATCGGTCGACTGGGCTGGCACCCAGAATAGCCAGAAGTAAACGAGTAGAACCCAGCGCATGATCAGTGTTGCTTGCTCAGTGCTAGAACTGATGATACCAAAATCTCTTCCTCTTCCACCTGATGAGGTGCATGGACAGTATATATGTCTAAGACGCAGGCTATTTTACCCCCTACCGGATTCAGATGCCCGAAGTACACCGACGCTCACAAAGGCCCTAAGCAATGTTGACCGCGACAATAACCCCAATCACGCCTTCTCTCCCTGAAAGTCCTGTACCATAGCACTGCTCCTGACAACGAGACCTTGATCGGTGGTTTTGGTTTGCTAAGAGAACCCAGACGGATGGGGCCACGCGAAAAGGTCGGAAATTACTGCTCCATTGGTGGTGGTAGCGCTCTTCGACAAAACCCCAAGAATGCCACCGGAGACATTGGCAGCCTCTTGGCAAACAATGTCCAACACCTAGTAGTCACCGAATGTAGTATTTAGTGGGGGCCATCAGGAGGTAAACATTGAGATCCAGTGGTACCTGATTTGCTCATTGCCCTAATCAATGCTAGCGTGGAAAATGTCTCAGAAAATCGAAGGGCATTGACATCGATGATTCGGGGCGGTCCGCTCTGCTACGCCGCCCCGACCAATCGGTGGTCTATACCCCAGTGAACTTGGCGTCCGCGACGAATTCTTAGGAAAGGCTTTGTACGAAGCTTGTAAACATTCAATTTCCGGTCTTGCCGAGTGGGGAGAAAAAGATCTGATCTAGTCGCATGTTCTGACTCAGGAACTTGCACAGTCACTGGTGAGATCTAATGTCTGACCTGTCGCATTTGTGAATGTGGCATAGCAGTACGCCCTGCTTCCGAGTATCAAAACGATCACGTGACAAGGCATGCAAGTATGTCATCCCGCCCAGAAAATGAAGAGCTTGTCAGGCTATCAAACCGAGGAAATGCTCCTGCAATACTTGATATTTATGTAAGCGAATATCCTTTGACAGTCACTCAAGCGATGCCTACGACTCGAATGAGCACGTATTGAGGGCTGCACTGTGCAGGTACCGCCTGCAAAAGACCCACTTGGTCTTATTTCTCCCCGGCCTAAGAGAGGACAGGGTTCAGCCTAAGCCTACTCTGGGATGTATTTGAGTGCTAGAGTCCCCGTCTTGTGAGCCTTGCCACCTCTCAGGGGGTGATCGCAGGGTCTGCGACGCTTATCTCCACATCTCCTCCATAAGTGTTTTGCTCCCAGATCCGGATCCTTTCGGCTATGTCCATATCTTCTTCTCGCCAATGCGAAGGGAGGCCAAGCCCCCACCAATTGACAAGACAGTGAACCAGGTTAGGTTAGAAAAATCAATAGTCTCCTTTTCCGACCCAAAAGGACCACAGGAACAATTGGCTCAGGTACACGGGGTTTGATCCGGAGAAATCCCTTTCTTGGGCTCTACATGACTAGCTTAATCCGTAGCGTCTGTGTTTATATAGTTAGTAGAAGACTCTGTCTTCGGCTCCGACAGCGCGCCAAGAAAAGACGACTTCCAAAGGGCCTCCGGAGCACTATTTGGAAAGGTTTTCATATACTCTCCACTTCATCCCTAATTGATCCGGCTTCACAATCTCCATCCTCGCTCAGTGAATTTCTCAACAAGATGACTCCTATCCGCTCATTCATGCTCATGGCTGCTCTGGCATTCTCGAATGTGGAAGCTTTGGCTGGCTGTCAGAACTCGGTGTACAACGAGACAGTCGCCTACTTCAACAGCGCGCCCGTCACCTTCAGCTTCGAGATCGCCACCGCCACTGAATGCCAGAACTGGTGCCGAAATGTCAAGGCATGCCAAGCCTGGCTTTATGTCGACCAATCAGGCCAGTGTGACTTGCACCGCACCAAAGCACTGAGCCTTTCGGACAACATTGGCTTCACATTTGGCGGATGCGAGCCGAGTCCCGAGTCTCGGTTACCTCCATCTCCCATTGCATCTCCCACTGCATCTCCCACTGCATCCTCCTCCGCTGCTGCGAGCAAAAATCAGATCCCTTCAGAGAGTTCTACCTTGGTACGCTTTTCCCCTATTAAATTGTCCCCACTTGCAATCATGGCTAATGGTAAACCTTGCCCCTCTCTCTAGCCCCGTGCGAGGCGTGAAATTTTTCGCCATAGACACGAACATCACCATTGAGACGTTTCGGTGGAAATTATTGTATTGTGGGAATTTCGAGGGCAAAGATTGCATCATGACCTGTGCTTATTAATGTATATGGTCGCAAACAATTTCCAGGAAGCTTTACTTTTCATGTGTCGTCAAGGCAAATCAATGTACTGTATATAACAACAAAACACGCGAGTTTTTGGGAGGTCAATACAACTCATGTTGTGCTTGAACAATCACAATCGGGATCTGGCACTAAGCACCCGCTGTGCTAGGCAACGTCAGTGTCTTTTCAGAGTCATTTCCCCAAGGGTAATTGGTTTCGTTAGCGTGATGAGAGATTCTCTCTGAAATCCATGTAGGAAGCGATGCTATCTCCGTTGAATGCCAAGCACTTGCGAAATGCTGCGCTCAGGAACAACAACTGGAAGTTCGCCGCTAGTTGCGAACTAGATGACCCACTTGAGTATTGACCTCATTCCACGAATTGGTCTCAAAGCACTAAGAAATCCTCGCGACGGAGTAATACCACAGAGGAGCACTGAGTAAGTAATGTGCCTCTGGGGTGGAGAATCATCACCGAAATTCGAAGCTAAACCGATGTTGACTATCGAAACGGACTTCGGCCCAAACGCAGGAAATTGGTCAGCCAGCGGACCTTTGACAGGGGGTCTTCTATTCCTATATTAGGAGACATGGTACCATGGATAGTTGTACCTTCCCAAACATACTCCTGCCATCACCTCATAGCCAGCCATGGACTCTATCCTGGCTTGGATCGCGCTTCTCTTTCTTGCCTGCCGCGTGCAGGCGGCCGCTGTCTTCGCGCATTTTATGGTACGTATCTCAATCATCCTAGTTATTGTGCATCTCCTGACAGTGGGTTCAGGTCACGAACTCAGCCAACTACACGTCCGATGACTGGAAGAATGATATGAAGCTGGCACAAGATGCCCACATTGATGCCTTCGCCTTGAACATGGCGTACAATGATCCGACGAATATCAAGGCTCTTCCTGCTGCATTTGCAGCGGCTGACTCGATTGGCTTCAAGCTTTTCTTCTCCTTTGATTACGCTGGAAACGGTGACTGGCCAAAAACCGATGTTATCAACCTGATAACTCAGTATAGCGCCCATTCTTCTTATTTCTTTTACAATGGACAGGCATTTGTCTCCACTTTTGAAGGGCCAGGTCGAGCAGATGACTGGCCTTCGATCAAGGCCGCTACTGGATGCTTTTTTATTCCAAGTTGGTCATCCCTCGGAGCCAAGCCTGCAGTAGAAACTGGAGTAGTGGATGGGCTTTTCAGCTGGGCCAGTTGGCCCTGGGGCTCTGAGGATATGAACACCTATATCGATGCGTCCTATCTTCAATACTTGGCTGGATTGCCTTATATGATGCCCGTTTCTCCTTGGTTCTTTACCAATCTTCCTGGGTACAAAAAGAACTGGATCTGGCGCGGAGACCACTTGTGGCATGATCGCTGGCAAGAGGTACTCTACGTCCAGCCGGAGTTTGTGGAGATTATCTCCTGGAATGACTATGGCGAGTCCCACTATATTGGACCGCTCTACGACAAGGCTATGGAAGCATTTGATATTGGAGAAGCACCGTTCAACTATGTGACTGATATGCCTCATGACGGCTGGCGAGCCACCTTGCCCTTCTGGATCGATATGTACAAGACAAAGACTGCTGAGATTACAGAAGAAAGCATCGTAGCTTGGTATCGACTATCTCCTGCTGCTGCGTGTGCCAGCGGGGGTACTAGCGGCAATACTGCATCCCAACTCCAAATTGAGTTCCCACCTGCGGAGATGGTTCAGGATCGTATCTTCTTCTCTGCAGTGCTTGGCTCGTTCTCCGGGGCAGTAGTATCAATTGGAGGGTCATCTCAGACAGTTGGATGGTCCTCGGTTCCTGATGACGATGTCGGGGTTTTCCATGGCAGTGTCGCCTTTGACGGCCGTACGGGACCAGTAACCGTATCGTTGCTTCGTGACAACAAAGTGATTGCTACCATAGAAGGAAAGGAGATCTCAGCAAGCTGCCCCAATGGAATTCAAAATTGGAATGCCTGGGTCGGCAGTGCTACAGCAGGGACTACAGTATCTGCTAGGCCAAAGCTGCTTCTTTCTGAGCAGAGCTGTATGAATGGGACGGGGGCCAACAACTTTGCTGGTCTTTGTGAATTCTCTTGCACGTACGCCTATTGTCCCCTCGGCGCCTGTACGTGTACACAAATGGGACTTGGTCACGAGAAGCCCAACTCTACAGGTGTCGTAGGATATCCTATCGCAGGAGAAGATGCTAGCTATAGTGGACTGTGCAACTTCGACTGCAATCTTGGCTTCTGCCCGCCGACGGCCTGCGGAACTGAGCAAGTTCCCTTGGCCACACCCTCGGTTTCTCCATTTCTTCCTCCAGCATGCACGGCAGGCACGGGTGAAGGTAACTTGGCAGGCCTTTGTGACTTCAGCTGCACCCATGGCTTTTGCCCAATGAACGCCTGTACCTGCACAGGCCAGGGAGCAGTCAACGTCATGAATCCCACCACCGACGTGGTGGGCGAGGCAGCCCCTGGTCAGGATCCTGCCATCTACGGTCCTCTATGCGAGTATACCTGTCAGCGAGGATACTGTCCCGAAGGCGCGTGTGCGCCAAAAACGGAGAGCTCCGGCGAATCAGGATCTGGCTCGGGGTCTGCATCAGGGTCCGGAGATGGCGATGTCTATCTTGCACCATCAATCTGGCATGATCCTTCGCCAGTGGTTCAGTGTTATCCTCCCTGCTCGTTGATTTTCCCACCCCTGCCTCTCGATGAGCCAACAACCATCCATCTTCCTCCCTGGACAACCAAGGTCCCACGAAGCTACGTGATAAGCAATACCTCAACCGGCGGAGATGGCCAGGTCACAACTCACTATGGATACGAGACTACTACGACCAACATCACCGTTGCTCTGCCACCTAGTATGTAACCCACCGTTCTTTACCCCTCACGCTCTCTCAGCTGACTTTCACTTCCAGTCATTACTGGTTTTATTCCTATGTGGGGGCTTTATGTCAATGCCAGTGTAACGACTACAACTATAACCATGACGACTAGTCTCGACCTTCCTCTCGTGGTGCAAGTCCTACCACCTTATGGCCCGACTCCGACCAGTACCACCACCACCCTCACACCACCTCCGTATCCATGGTCTCAGCCTACAAAGGATCCCGTTCTCAACACCGTACCCACAATCTGGTCGTCCGGAAAAGCCAAGCCCACCACAAGCAAAGGTAGCAAGGGCGCTGGTCACAAGTGTGCTGCGTTCTGCAATGGGCCCTGCCTGGGGTGTGCGCCGGACTGGAGCAACGCTGTCAACGGCGGAGGCGGCAGTAGTGGCGGCGGTGGTGGTGGTGGTGGTGGTGGTGGTGGAGGCAGTGGCTCTGACAGCTCCGACGACGAGGACTGCAGCACCGAAACGGCGAAGATCTGCTCGACCGTCTGCGTGGCCGGGTCCGGTTGCGACTGGGACTGCTCGACGACGACCGGGTGCTCCGTCACAGCGACCTCGACGACGACCACCGATACACCCGCCCCAGGATTCGCGGTGACCATGGAGCAATGGCCGGAGATCACGCCGCAGCCCGACGAGGACATCCGCATTGCCATGTCCTTGGAAGCCGAGCTCTCCTCGATGTTTGGCCCCTTGGACGTGATCAGCGGGCCTGAGGCCACGGCCACAGCCACAGCCACGGGGACGGGGACTGCGTCCGGCAGCGCCCCCAGCAACGGCGCCGATGCCGGGCGCGTCCTCATCAGCTACTACCACGACGCGCACACGGGCGCCGGGGAATGGGACTTGTACCAGTACTACGAGCACGGCCCGAGTCCGGACATGTGCCCGGAGGTCCAGACCCCGAATTTCGTCATGACGGACGGCGCCTTCCAGGGGATGCGCGACGGGACGGGCGGCTTCAAGGCTTTCGGGTCCACCTGCACCTACAAGGGTACGGATCTGCCGGCAAGCCAATCGTCCGGTTCCAACGAGGCGCAAGTGGGCACCTTTGTGTGTGATGGGTTCCGGGATGCGACCTGCTATACCGACCTGGCAGTGGGAACCACGTGCGCGGAAGGCTGGCAGTCCGCGAACGAGGTGCTGCATTGTGAATGGTAGAAATAACCCCCCTTCCTTGACGAGCAAAAGTAATTTCCTGTATGATATAATATATTCCATTCATGACCAGCACTGTAATACATGCAACGATGCAATGTCCGAGTTTCTGTTACTTTTTCACAAGATAGGATTTGCGCAAACCCCTGCAGTTGATAGCACCGAGTGTGTTGATAGGTGGCACCGTATAGACGAATCGAAAGGGCATATCCTGAGAGGGAAAAATGATAAAAGAGAGAAGAGAAGGGCGCCCGATCCGATCAATCCTCGAAAATCGTCAGGTGCCCGACAACTATCACATAGATCCTTTTTTTTTTTTTTTTTTATGGAAAAAAAAGGTCCATATAAAATGGCGATCTGCTCTGTACGGTCGGGCGAAGCTCATTTAAGGTTAGTGGTGGTTTCAACTCCCCACCCACAAGATCGCGAACCTCGGATCTATTTTCCGGGCACCCGAAGTGCTACACTGCTGGCTGCCGCGCAGTTCTCTCTTGCACTTCTTTTGAGTTATGATATACTTTAGCAAGGGAGGAGAGAGCACATACGACCACAGGGTGTGGAAAATAGGGCTTCCCGTCCGCTCAGCCGTACTCAAGCCACACGCCGGGAGGTTAGTAGTTGGGTGGGTGACCACCAGCGAATCCCTTCTGTTGTATGTTTTTGTTTTTTTAACTTGTTGTTCTTCTATTTGGTCTTAAAACCTTTTCCAACCTGTGATACTGTTGTCACAAGCCTCCTTTCCAAGTGTTAAATGGGGTTGGGGGTCTGAAAACAACATAAAACATAATCATAGCTTAGTAGAATGGTTCAGCCGAATAGGCTGGCGTATGTCTTATAAATCATATAGTATAGGGACTATAGCTGAATTGATAGAATCTAGTAAAAAGTTACCTTAAATTGGAATAAATCAGTTCTACAGTAACAACCTGCTAAAAAACAAATATATAATAATAATAATGCGAGGTATAGCAGAGTAGACTTTTGATTTGTATGTGTTCTTCTGGTACAGCCCGGTTTTTGGACTAGGCCTGGTATTTAGAAAATATTACACATGATACCTGTTGGCATTCTACTACAAATGTCACTGTGTAAAAAGTTAGCGTTGTGTGCCGTGTTGGGGCTTGGGGCGATATATGCTTTATCCTTGAATCTCTCTCCTCTCCGTGGCTGCGGCTAATGATCTTTCTTTCTTTTCACATCTGCCTGCGCAGCCATCATCGAGACCACCCACATCAACGCCCTCGCCTCTCTGACGCAACTTGTATCTCTCCCTCTCACTCCCTCTCACTCCCTCTTTACCACCGATCTGGTAGACTAGCCACAGCTTCGTAGACGCAAGTTGGTCCCCTGTTCTCTGGAACAAGTATATCTCAGGCCCTCGACCCTCCAAGCTGCCATTACTAATGCCTCTACACCGTTGAAGCAAACCTCATTATTATCGCCTTCTGCGACCCGACTCTACAACCGCTCGACGATGCTATCTCTCACAGACCAGACCATCCCCACCACCACCTCGGTGCGACGCGACAGTCAGGAGGAGACTTTGCCGAGTGACTTGCGGAGGTAATATCTGGTTCCGGGTCGATCGGTTCTAGAGATCCACCGGACGGATCAAATAGTGGTCGAGCACGAGATGGAGGTCAAAGGTGGAGATAGATAAGAGATGATTGCATAATTGATTTGGCAATCCAAGCGTCGTCTTTCTTGCAGGTCTGACTGGTCGAGTTAAATACCTTTTTACTATTTCCGAGTGAGGTCTTCGTTGCTTGATCATACAAATTGAAGGCAAATCTCATATACATGTACCTTGTTCGTTCTTAGCTTGCTATACATGAGCTAACATGTTTATAGTAAGTAGCCGAAAGAACCTGCATGGATTGATGCTTAGCCCCCCGCTCCGGTTAGTGTCCTTATTCGGCCGCCCAAGGTCGGAAAGTGGCGCACAGGCACAGCAACTACACCTGATCGACTCCCCTTCTTTACTTCCTCCTCTCCCCTTTCCTTCTCCATATTACCACTGTCAAATCATCCCAATTCTGCCGGACCGAATGTCCCCATTCCTTTCCCGACTGCGTGCGCTCCTCAGAGGCCTGACCTCCTCCTCCCACAACACGCGACCCCTGACCCAAGTAGCCATTATCGGCCTACTCGGCGCGGGCCAACGAACGATCCTCGAGCACCTCAGTGAGACCCCGATTCGCCCTTTCATCCTGCAAGGCCAGCATCGCATCGCGGAGGAGGGCAGCAGCCCTTCGCTCGGCCTCGCGCTGCGGATGGTGGACGTGGGCGGCGACGCCCCGGGGCGCTGGCACGTGCTCACGGCCCAGTCCTATGCGGACGTGGATGCGCTGATTGTCGCAGTCGACGTCGCGGACCCGATTACCCTGGACGAGCTCCGGCAGGAGCTTGGGCGAGTGGTGCGCGGGCGACGCGTGCAGGGATGGACAGAGCCTTTTCCTGTCGCGAAACAGGGAGTTCCGTGGCTGGTAATGGTGATGTTCCGGGGGGAGGTAGTGGTGAGTCTCCAAAAAAAAGGGTCTTTCGCAATTCTGAGTGGGTTTGCGGAGAACTTTACGGGGAATGTTGGCTGACTTCGTCCTCTGCTGGTCTAAATAAAAGGATGAAAATATCGCCCAAAAGCAGGTCGCTACTCTGCGCTTGGATGAGCTGGGCGTCGACTGGGTATGTCAAGTTTTCCCTTGATATGATGTTTCTCGTTTGATGGCTTTGTAGGGTATTAATTCGCTTCACAGGTCTTCCGCCCCGTCGCGGCGGGGAATGGAAAAGATATCAAGCAATCTGTTTCCTGGCTGACGAACAAACTTGAGGGAAATACGAGGCATGCTGAGAAGGAGAGGATCTGACCACTGTGCGTGATCTGAGTTGGCCAACTTGCCACCCTGGGGTATACAAGGAGCTACTAATCGAGGAATGCGGGTTGAGGGAGATGAGCCCTACGGTTCTGCGTAGCCACTAAGACATAGAGTATTATTTGAGTAATGCTCTCAATGATCTCGGTCTCGAGATTGGTCTTCTACTGAATTGCATCTTTCATCTGCTGAGAGGACCAATCATGCTGTTCTTGTTGGTACTCTGACTGTTTTCAAATTTCTCATTAATGGTTAATTCACCCCCCCCTGGCTGTACTTTCAATTCCCGCCGCCCCAAAAGTGTACCAGCATCCCCGGACACGGTCTGTGTCAGGGTATGGGACGATTGATCAGCCAGCTAACCTTGGTTTCACACGCAATGGAGTTTCGGGGGGAATTTCGAGCCGAGCCATCCTCCCGCGCGGGGCTCCACCGCCCTATTCAAGCCGTTCGTGGGTGAAACCCTAAGCATGGGCGCGCTAGGCATTGTGTGGCTGCACCAGCATTAAGTCACTGAATGCGGTATGTAGCGGGGGTACTACATCTAGTAGCATCAGGAGGCAATAAAAAATCAAGATCCAGTGGAATCTTTATTAATAGCCAGCTGGCATGGTTTGGGGCGGTCTGCTCTGCTACAGCGCCCCGCTCAAGAGATACCAAGTAGATATGAACGTTTCGGTAAACAAAGTAACATGACTCAGCTCCATCTATTAACCTACCAATCTAGTATCTAGCCATCTTCTGTTTGTGTTTAAGTTATACACCGGGCCGGGAGGTTAGTAGTTGGGCGAATGGCCACCAGCAAATCCCTTCTATCACATCTCTTCTTCACTAGTTCTTATTCTGTTCAGTTTGGACCTTCCTCTGTTGTATATTGCGACTTTGTATAGTAAGCAGTACCCACAGACTGCTTGTTATTCGGCAATGTGCCAGAGTTGCCTCGGGGGGGAAATGATCCTTCTTGTTGTGTACTGGAACCCGAATCTCTTCGGATTTTGCTTTCTCTCACAATGACTGAAATAAGCTATAATCTCGGAAACTCTATAGTGAACAGGGACTTGGACGAAGGGGTTTCTATATTTTTCTATATCATTCACATTATGTATACACCCTGAATCTTAAGCCCTTCGATCAATTTGACCACCTGAGGCGTAGTTCATCATTCGTCACAAGTCCCCTTCCCGAAGGACATCTGGGGTCTGGGGATTCAACATAGCAGGAGTAGGATAAACCAAAATCACAGCTCGATGGGATGGTTCAGCCGGATGGACCGGCCCGTCTTCCACAGATAGTACGGCACGGGGACCATGGCCAACGCGATAAACCCCAGCAGGGAGTTGCCCCAGCCCAGGCCCAGACGGTCGTACAGCGGGGGGCCGGCCAGCGGCAGGAGGGCGCCGAGGAGCGAGCGCGAGACAGTGACGGCGGCCATGGCAGAGGCGGCGTAGCGCGGGAAGGCGTCGATCATGTACATCTGGATGGCGAAGAAGATGCCCAGCATGCCGAAGCCGAAGGGCACGAGGCCGATCAACGGCACGAGCCAGAAGACGGCGCGGTCGGCCGTCCAGCCATACCAGAAGAGGGCACCGGGGATCAGAAGGCCGAAGACCACCATGAAGGGCAGCCGCATCTCGGGCTCGTAGACACCGCCGTTGCGCGCGGTCAAAGTGACGATGAGCCGGTCGCTCGTAGTGGCGATGCTCAGCAGGCCGGCTAGGAATCCCAGGCTGGGGCCTAGGTAGGCGAGCCCCGTGAGCTCCGGCGACCAGTGGTAGGTGTCCTGGTAGACGGTGGTGATGGTTGTCAGGAGCAGGTAGAAGAGCCCGTAGATCAGGGCCATGTAGGTGGAGAACAGCGCCACGAGGGGCGAGAGGAAGAGCATGCGCAAGGGGCGCGTCAGCTCTCGCTGCATCCGGCGCCAGGTGCTGGCGCCACTTTTGCTGCGGTTGCTGTGATTCGGCCCATCTTGGCTCTCGTAGGCGGACCGTAGATCCGAACGGCCCAGCGCCTTGGCTAGGCGCGCAGTCTTGCGGGCGATCAGCACGGGGGCGTAGCTCTCCCGGTTGAAGAGCTCGATGGCGGCGCTGATCACCCCGCCGGCGCAGCAGAGCGTCCAGAAGACCCAGCGCCAACCGACCCGTTCGGCAATGAACCCGCCGCAGATGGGGCCGAGCACCGGGCCGAAGATGACGCCCACCGCCGCGATCGCATTGGCCCCGCCCCGTTCTTCCGGCACGAACAGGTCGGCCACCACCCCGCCGTTGAGCGTCATGCACCCTGCCCCTCCGATTCCGGCCAAAAAGCGGAACCCGATCAAGGCTCCTATTGTAGGTGCCCGGGCACAGCATACCTGCCAGACCACAAAGGACCAGTTCGCCGCTGACATTACAGGGCGTCGACCCCAGATTTCGCTGGCCGGGCCTAAGAGCAGTGGTCCGACCACATAGCCTGTCCTTCCACCCATAGACACACACATGTTAGCTCGATCCGGGGAGGATGAGAGTGATTGTGGTGATAATAATAATAAGGTCCGGGGGTGGGGGGACAGCACCTAAAAGATAGATCGAGGTCACAAAGCTGGACAAAATCGCACTCGAATTGTCGAGATCGGCATCGATATACGAGGCGGCCGGGGCAACAATGGTCGTAGCCAAGGGAGAGATGAAGGTGATCGCCGACACCTGGCTGATAAGAATCCACTTGCGGGCTTTGGGAAAGTTCAGGGGCATCGACGGGTCTTCTTGGCTGTCCCACCCGACAATGCCTTGGTCCAGGTCGGTCAGCGGCAGTGGCGTTGCTCCAGTTCCTGAGTCCGCTAATGGAGCATCTGACACGGTTGTCACGGTATCCTCATTCTCATGGCGATTCTCGGCAGCCTCGGGGTCGGTGGGCTTTGGAGTGGGCAGCAGGTTGATTTGGGTCACCTGATCAAATGCGGTCATGGGATTGGGTCTCGACAATCCAGGGGCAAAAGGTAGTTACTCACCTCGACGTCTGATACTGCCATGTTGCTTCCTGTAATCGGGAATAGAGAACACAAACAAATTGTGAGAAGGGTGAGAATGGAAAGCAAAGAGTAGGAGTGGAAGGCAAGAGAGGATTGGATATTATGCCCCCGAACGGGGGGCGGTGCATGTTGCCTCAGCTCTCAGGACTTGCGCTAACAGTGCCACCAATGCTCACTTTGGGCTGGAAAGGGCTGGAGAGAGTCTGTCGTAGCCCGCTAGATACTGTACAGTCTAGCATCGAATCCCTTTTCGGGAGGTTGCGTTCTTACCAGAGATAAGCTTTCGCCCATGTTCGGTCGGTGTCTCCGTGATAAGGCATCTGGCCACCCGGATTGCCGTCGGAGAAGCGGTCTGGTATGGAGCGTCATGACACTTACCAATTAGAGCTTCGTTGTTGTTCCTTGATCAGAGCCCCTGTCAGCTTTTCGCGTGGGATTGGATGCTAAGTTAGTCAATACTTAGGGCTTAAATGTCAGGCGCCGGACTCGATCGGAAGAAACTTGTAGCCTAAAGTAGTCTCAGCTCAGCCAGCACACGTAGGATGCCGGGTCAGGTCACATTTCTGACAGTTTTGAGGGCTCTTGTTGCCGAGTACGGGCCGGTCTTACTAGATAGACCCACCCATTGCTTATGCCACTTAGGGTTCATTCGCCAAGAGATCCGTCGGTTGAGTAAAGTGGTTGGTTGCCCTTTGCTGTGAATCTGGACTCTCGTATCGTTCCCCCCCCCCCCTTTTTTTTTTCTTTTCGCATTGTTTGTCTACGGATATGGACCACCGCCATCAAGGACCTTGATATCTCCAGGCCTTGACCGGTGGATTCGGAACGTGAACTGCCTCAAATTGTCTTCTCTCAATTATCCGACGTGTTGATTGACCTTTGCATAACCCAAAGACGGCATGTCCGGGTGGAGGCTTGTTGCATCGCGGCACGAAGATGGCCGAGGACCAAGAAAAGCGCAGCGGCGGGGTTGATGGTCGAATCGGCATGAGCTCCCTGTATTTGCCGCGGTTCGAACTGTCCGTTGCTGAACATTGCCTATGAAAACATGCGTCCACCTCGGGCACCATCTGTATTGACCCGAAGAAGGGGAAAGACGCGGTTCTCAGCTGTAGCAATAGTGCTGGAGACATTGTAGCACCGGAAAATCAAATTTGAGGGCACTGGAGACCTCGAAATAGTGGCCGTGATCCGTCCCCGGATTTGGGCTGGATTCAACCCTGCATGCTGCTCAGGCATTCTTCCGGCCACTTGGATCAGTCCGTGGGCCGAAGCTTAAGCCTAAGTAGCTCGGGGATGTACTGTACTCGATTCGACCTTGTCTTGTTTATTTAGTCTGATGGCGAGCTTGAGCTTGAGGCAAGAAACTACTAGGTGGGTACACTGCAGAAGTCGACTGGTCAGCTTTGGTCATTCTGATCAATCAGTGCAAGGAGTCTGGCCTGAATCAGGTTACCGCACTCAAGGGACTGTACAGTGTAATTTGACAAGTGAAACTGCTAGATTCACGTCGTATGTTTCTTTGTTTTGTCAGTAACATTGTCATCTTTACACAAGTTCTTTATTTCGGTAGTTTGTTGCATCGATTCCCATTACTTTCTTCCACAGTGGTTCTTTATCACCGACCTTGGCTGTTGTCCTGATCGTATATCATTTTATTGTGCTAAGCATTCACCTTTGTCCTATATCCAACTAAAGTAGGCGATAAAGTTTCTGCTATATAAAGCTCTGCGCAAAGCAAATATATTAGGATCCATGACTTAAGCTCCATTGCATTTCCATAGCACGCCCGAAGCGTAATCTTATCCCGGCCAACGCCTCCGCACTAATACGACCTCCATCCGTCTAGAGCAGCAGTTCGGAGGGGCGTGCCAGTATCAGGTAACAAGCCCAAGACATGCCTTCCAAGGTAACCGAAATATACGTGAGAGCCCACAGAAGGAATATTCTGGTGTCCATCGCCAAGGTAACGGATGAATTCGAGCCTCAGGCGGATGTGGTGGAGCCAGAGCGGGAGCCCGAGCCCGCTGTGAGTGTGGAGATGGATGTGCACGCGGATGGGGCCGTGGATCTGAACGTCACCAAGACTGTGGAGGCGGACATCAATGTTGATGGGTCTGTGGATGGCTGGTTGTTTATCTATATCACTCTACTTGGTCCGTTTGAGTGCTGCAGAAGAAGATAAGAATAGATTTTCTTTGTAACAACTCGGTTTATGTCCTTTTTGTAGGGGTTGAGGTTCGGATGTTCTGAGAGCGAGGATTCCCCTATCTATTCCCGACCGAGCTTTTGCTCTGTGCAGTGTGTTCTTAGTTGCTTTTGTGGTTGATATACTGCTAAGAGAGATGTGTCCGTGGTTTTTGTACTCGAGGCAGAGGTAAGCACCCTGTCGTGCCAGCTGTATTGTTTGTTGATGTGCAAAGCTAAGGTATCCTACTTCTGCTGCGCGAGATATAGTCAAATAAGCTTGTCAAACGTTGTAGAGTCAATGGCAGAGGTTGTCGAATCTCGACTCCCTCAAGTGTTACTCAATCGAAGCTACATGTGGAACTGTAATTTAGAATGTGGGAACTCTTAGGTGGCGTCCCCGATCGTGTTCCTGCACACGAAAGGATGGATGAGAGGGGTATTCCTGGCTGGGCTAGGTTAAGCACGAAGCTATCATGCTCCGAAAAATTAATAGATTTACCATTTTTAAATACAAGATCGTCCTACGGCCGATGCTCCTCTCTAGGCTATGGCCGTGTCTCTCCTTTCATCGTCGATCCTCTGACTCACGCGGCAAAGCTCTTCATACTCTTCTCGAGTGACACTCGGAGGTGTATACTTCAATTCCAACCCCAATACCCGCAGCTCCTGCTCCAATCGTGTGATCCGGTCCCATGGATACTCCTCCGGATTGGTGGGCAGGAAATGATGCGGGTCCGGGTCGAGGTTGAGCTGAATCGTCCGCAGCGCCGGGTGAAGGTCCGACGTGGCGACGGCAATGAATTTGGCCAGTCCCCGCAGCCAGTCCTCTTCCCGTTCCCCGAAATCTTCGCATGCCATCTCATGAAAGGACAGGTTCCAGACAAATGTGGGCACGGTTGGGAGAACCTGCTCGGCTATCGTCGAAGGAGAACCAAATCGTTCCTGGGACCCGGGACAGGTGACTGTGCGCAGGTCGCGCGACCGCGCCGCATGAAACTCGGCAGCCAGTGGAGAATGTCCGAGAATTATACGTCGGAGCACATACGAATGCGCCTTCAACCAGGCAGAGAAGAGGTATTTGTCGACGATTGCTTCTGTGGCCATCTCAGTCGCGTATCCTGATCCGAATGCAATGCAAAAGTCGACCGGGTCGCCGGGGTTGGGACGTCGCTCGATCACATCACTCTGTACCGGCACGGGCCAGAAAGTAATGAGATCAGACTAGATGCTCTTTGAATTTCACTTTCGTATAAATTCTAGCAAGGTGGAATGTAGTGTGTTGGGGAGAGAAGGGGGGTAAAATCCAGAAGATAAAGGACAGGAGAACAAAAGGGAAGGGAAAACCTGTATTGCGTCACCACGCTTGCGCGCCCTCTCGTTGATCGCTTCAAAGACTTTCCTGCCAGTGCCCGGCAATCTTTGTAACTCCTCTTGCCCGTGTAGCCGACAGTCGAAGCAACAATCAAACCCATAGACGGGCGAATCAGGTTCAGTTGCCAGCTCGATCCGCCTCAGGGAAGGGAGCTGCCGGAGAGCATATTTAAGAATTTCCCAACGACTAAGGTCAATAATCTGGCCCGACACAGCTTTAGTCCGTGAGTAGGTCCTGTCCTTAGGCGCGAGGAACGCCACGCCCCAGATCTTCAGGATGCGGACCGCGCGACACCAGGTGAGGACATCGGCTGCCGCCGTATAGTCGTCGATTGTAATGTATTCAGCGGGGTATATCGGCCTAAGATCCAGGACCAAAGACCGGACAAGTAAGGCCAATGCCTGGTTTGATTGCAAGGTGCGGTGCAGACATATGACTTGTGGTTGGCAGGGGAAAGAAAGCTTGAGGTCGTGATACTGAATGGGAAGGGCGAGGGGGTAGAACCGCTGACAGGTGAGGAGAATGGCGGTGAGGGTGTGTCGCGAGTCTTGCAAGCAGACCTGGAAAATTTGGCCGAGGATCTCGGGCGGCAGATCAAGAATCGATACTCGAGACACTTTGGTAATTGAGAATTGGGGTGTTGATGAAGGCATATGTGTGGGGGAGCATGAAGATGGTGATTCCAGGCTATCTAGGAGGAATTGGAATTACCTTACCTAGTAGTACTGTATACCTAAGGTACCTTATCTACACGGCGGCCGAGGCGGTGAGCTGTCCTCAATCGGTCCGAGGAGGCGAGGCCCGGGCCCGGGTGACTCAAACCATACCTAGTTTAGACAGAGAAAAGGCGCTCTTCAGGCTCCAGGCTTTCGATATTCCTAGCGTTCCCACAGTGGTTGTGGAAACTGGCTAAAAGCCCTGGCCAACATAGGCCAGATGTACAGAGGTTCTCTCGTAAATTGTTTAGCATAAGTAAGTACAGGAAAGAGAATAGTCATCACGAACAACTTAAAACTCCCATTCGTAACTCCGTCTCAGCAAAGCATATACAACCGGCCCCTCCTTCACGGAAGTTGTTCCACCTTTTCAGCATGTACTTCACTACAACTTCAGTAAGAAGAGTATTGATAGTGGCGTGAGACTTGAGCTCCAGCTCTATACTGCCTGCGTGGGGAGCATCACCACCTAATCTTTATATCCTGGTTCGCAGATTCTTTCCCCCCGTTACATACAAGTACCAATTTCCATATCTTCCTCCTTGCCTCAAGGATTCCTCTTACTAACCTGAAAGCACACGTTATCGATAGGCTAGCCTAGAGCGCCCGATCTGGAACCCACTAGATCGTTTCTATCTTATCCGGTAGTTATACTCTTCTTCTCAAGTTGTATCAGCATCGTGGTGAGTCGGTAGTTCTAATACGCACCCTGCCTTTTGCTCTTACTTGCCCAAAATACACATATTCTTTTTCCTTTTGCAATTTCAATTCGTTTACTACTTCTTCAGTCTCACCTTTTCGTGAAAAAAAAAACCCAGATATTCTGCTTATAATTTTCATGAGAAATAAACTACAGTATGCAAAGCGGCACCAGGGGTTACAATATAGTCCGCTATCGCCTCTCGGCAGCGACCCCGTCGACCCACTGCAGATCAACGGGTCAACCTTGCGAATAGGGTCCCGCTCGCTGGTAGTGGGCCCCTTACCAGTGGGCCCCTTACCCGTGGGTGTTCTTCCGGTACGGCCCGGTTTTCAGACTGGGCCAGTAGTCAGTAAACAATACGGACGATACTGTAAGCCCCGGTTAAAACGATCACGCTTATAACAATGCTTGGCGGCCCACTTTTTGAGCCAGTTATATCACCTTTAGAAACGATAAAAATAAGGTATATATCTTATAAAGTAATATTTTGATTTTTCTTCTACATATATATATCGTTATAAAGAGGCATATATCACGTGCAGTCACATGTAGATACTCTTATTGGCTAGACAATAACAATATTTGCCTTTAACGATGCTAAGGTCTGTAACAAATTCAATCGTTATAAAGGGGGTTTACAGTACCTGTTCGTATTCTATTCTCTTCTTCATATCTGGGCTGGGGCTATGACATCATGAGCGGCTACTAGCAAAATGTCTGCCATCGAAAATATCTTGAAAGACGTTCGTGACGAAGCTGGCTTGGTTTCCGAAGACCGAGTCGGTATACTACAATAAACATTCAAAAAGTCTCCAATAACAATCTGCGGACCAGGCACAGGTGTAATGTACAGTAAATTGCGTCAACAACCTCAGCCCAAAACATTCCCATCCGAGACCTCCACATCTTCAGAACTTTCTTTCGCATATGAAGTCAAACCTTGTAGCAGCCGTGCATAAGAGCAATCGATATCACCGCTGGTATCAACCTAGGGGCAACATCACTAACAAACAACTTGATCAAACACCAGCAGCAAGATCCATCCTCATACCTTCACCAATACTCCTCGCCTCTGGTAACGTGCAAGAATCCTCATGTTCTCAGCACAGTACTGCTGATACCGCGCATCAAAGGTCGACCCATCGTCAATTCTACCGGGAAGCTGCCTGGTCAAGAATCTCTGTCTGGCTAGCGCGCCCGGACAATCGAAAAACAAGACCAGGTCGGGCGAGCCGATCTAGAAAGCGAAGCGTTAACTCATCATTGAGCACTAGTAGTCTGTACTGAGCCATCGGGCATACTTGCCGCTTCTTCAATTGGCGCTGCTTGCTCAAGGGTGCGTGGAACTCCGTCAATGAGCAGCCGCAGCTTGTCTTGGGCGTCTTGTTTGAGATCTGCGATGGCCTCGCGCAGGATGGGTGCGAGGTCTTCCACCTCCAGCAAGATGCTTCTCTGGATCTTGTCGAGGATCTCAGGGTCCATGCGGCCAGAACGAGCTAGCTGTCGCAAGAGGTCGCCCACTGATAGATGATGAAACCCGAAGTCGGCTGCGAGCTTGGCGCACAGCGATCCTTTGCCTGCGCCGGGGGCTCCTGTAGTCAAAGCAATATTGTTTTAGCTGAGAGGAGAAAGGCGTTCTGTATATGATTGGAATTCTTACCAATGACATAGATGCGAGAGAAGCGGTGGAGGTCCATGGTGCTTGTGGTGCTTGTGGTGCTTGTGGATGGTATGTGTTTTTTGTTGATGTTGACAGTGGTAGTGGTGGTAAGAGAGTAGAGACATCAGAATCTTCTTATCTAGGCTTTCTTGGGAGACTGAAAGTCATCTGTGAATTAAAGCGGATTTCTGAAGGGTACTAGGTAGTGAATAAAGCCTACGACACTGAATTCGGTAATCTGAGACCACCCCGCGTCTGTGCTCTCTCCATCTACATCGACTGCACACAACAAATTCCCCCCCCCCCACCCCACAAAATCACCACAACATTAACATGAGCAACAGCTGCATTGAGATACTTTGACAAAGCTCTAGATCAGAAACAAAATCCGTGCTTATCCAGTCCACGACAAGACAACAGACAAAGGGAGCGTACATCTCCTCAGCCCACAACACCAATTCAACACCCATCTCAATTGTCACACAGAGAAGCCCATACTACCAAGATGCTCCTTTTAGAAGTCGAACGCAAATTTCGCCGCCTGGCAGTCGACAAGCTCCACCTCAACAGCGGCCACCCGCCCTTCCACAGCCTCCTCTACCGCGGCACGGAAACCTTCCACGATACCTACTACGACTCGGCCGACTTCCTCTCCACCAGAGGCGTCTGGGTCCGCCGACGCAACAACACCTGGCAGGCCAAGATCCGACGCGGCGGGGGCTACTCCAACTCCAAATTTGAGGAGCTCTCCACGACCGCCGCCATCTCTGCCTACCTGGCCGAGCTCACGGGCGGAACGAGAACCGACGCGACGAACCAGTTTGGGCTGACGCCGATGGCGTCCTTTACGACACTACGCGAGAGCTGGACCGCGGACGATGATTTTACGATCGTGCAGAATGTCACAGACTTTGGGCATACCGTCGGGGAGGTGGAGCTGGAATTTCGGTGGGACTGCAGGGATGATCGTCCTAGGATTGAGATGGAACGGTGCAGAGCGGCGAAGATGGCCGAGATGGATGAACGGATTACGGCGTTTATGGGGCGGTATCACTGGGCGTTTTGTGTGGGTGTGCCCAAGGGGAAGTTGACGGCTTACTTTGAGAGAGGAGTGGGGAAGTAAGGCTGGTCATGATTCTTGTGGCTTGAGAAGGGGCGAGTTTGGGAGTTATGGATTGTCTTGGGGGCTGGGACTTGGGTCTTGGGATGTCTTTTGTTTCGTAGTTTCTGTTTTCTGGCTTGTGTACGCAGTGCATGCGCCTTGCAGTGTTGTCCAATGGTACAATCTCCTCTCCTAGTATGCTTTGTGGTACAACATGACCATTATGGATTTTGCTAATCGCAAGAGATGTGCTTCTTTCTCGAAGCTATTCGTGGCACCTGAGTCGTACTCTGGATATGATAGTATGACTCTCCTGGTTTACGATCAGCTCGTAGTCATGATGAGTGGCCTGTAGAAGACTCACAATCCCGGCTGCATAGCATGCAGCGGACCCCTTGAGTAAGAAAACAGGCAAGGAAGGAGTCGAGAACCATCACCGATTCTTTGGTCTCACGACCGAAACATCCCCGACTTGGCAGAGGACCTGAGAAGGCCTTCAACAAATTGCACTCGTTGTCCCAAGTCTTCCATTCCAAGCGGGACAGTCACATAAGGAATTCCATGACTCTGCAGAGCAGTCCGGAAAGCTCCGGCGATCGAACGCCACTCTTCAACATCGTTACATGCCACGCGGACATGATCGCTCGATAACCAGCTCGCGTTCTGGGGCTCGCAAACGACGACGCATGCCTTCTTCATCTTGTCCCGAAGGACGCGCCATTCTTTCAGTTTTGTCAGCTCCTCAGCCGCTGATTGTCCCAGAAACACCTCAGCGTACGCGATAGGATCGATTCCTGATCTATCTGAAATGAACCATTTGCCTTTTAGCTTTTCTTCCACTTGGTGTTGGGCTATTATGGTGCGCTTTTGAAGCTCCAGCCCCGCGGTGGGATTTCTGACATCACTTGCAGTGAATCCGTCCGTGCGCATGATGTTCCGGACAAGCTCGTCAATGATCGCGGGGTGGGTACGGAGGCCCTCGACAAGGGTCGTCTTCCCGGTACAATGGGCTCCGACAAGGTAGATGTTGGGTGGCTGGTACTGGGTGCTCATGGTGGTATAAAACGATCGACCTAGACCGTGGTGGAGAAAAGGCTGGAGGAGTATATCAATGACTCCCTTTTCTTCGAGAAATGTGTTACGGTGAACTGATGACGGATTGATCGCTGATTTTGATGACTTTCTGCAGCAAAAGGAGTTCATAAAGTTGCGTTCCTGGGTACAAGAAGCTATATACCCAAGAGCAGTGAGCCAGGGTCATCTACATTTTCCACTTGGGAACTACTTATAATCCCCGTGTGCTTCATTCACTGCTTTGCCTTGACTTTGCTGTCATAGCGTTGTGATCTCCTTGAGAAACTTCCGGAATCTACTCATTATTCCGCACACGGACAAAATGTGTTGTTGGGTCGTTCTACTGTCATGGATTTTGGCACTGACCATATACCTGGCTCTGCGGAGCTATTGTATGATCCACAAACCCTCGAAACCATCCAAATGCCCGGTTTCCGTGAACTACCACTTCACCCGACGGTGCAACAAAGCCTGCGGCTTCTGTTTTCACACCGCATCTTCCTCACACGTCGAGTCCCTCGCAAACATGAAGCAGGCTCTCACCCTCCTCAAAGATGCAGGCATGCGGAAGATCAACTTCGCCGGCGGCGAGCCGTTCCTCTACCCCGAGAAACTAGGCCAGGTGGTCGACTACTGCAAGGAGACCCTGCGCCTGGAATCCGTCTCCATCGTCACCAACGGGAGCAAAGTGACGGAGCGGTTCCTCGCCCGACACGGATGCAACATCGACATCCTGGCCGTCTCGTGCGACTCGTTCAACGAGTCGGTCAACGTTGCCATCGGCCGCGGCTCCGGCAACCAGGTCACCAAGCTCTACGGGATCCGGGACCTCTGCCGGGCGTACGGAATCAAGTTCAAGATCAACACCGTGGTCTGCCGGCTCAACCTCGATGAGGACATGAACCCGTTCATCGAGGAGCTGCAGCCGTTCCGCTGGAAGTGCTTCCAGGTTCTGCTCGTCCCGGGGGAGAATGATTCGGAACGAAGGCTTCGCGATGCCCGCAGGTTCTTAATCCGGGACGAGGAGTTTGCTCATTTCTGTGATGTTCACCGCCGACAGAGAGCATTTGTACCGGAGTCGAATGCGCTTATGGCGAAGTCATATTTGATCCTGGATGAGCATTTGCGCTTTTTGGATCGAGATGGTCGTGAGCCGTCGCCTTCGATACTGGAAGTTGGGGTTCAGAGGGCACTTGAGAGTGTCTATTGGGATGAGAAGAGCTTCATCTCGAGAGGTGGGATGTACGATTGGTCGAGGGATCAGAAGTCATGTTCGGAAACCCACAGAGATTTAGACTGGTAGGTGACTGATGGAGCAATGGATTCATCCTTTGTGTTTCTTCACGCGATCGAGCAAGCCCGACATAACCTTTGGTGGAGCTCACACGCTTCGTTCCTGAGCTTGATATTCTGGGGACCTGGTTCAATATATAAATGACAGAGCCGAAAGTGCACCATTCGCACGCTCATTTTCCAACAAACAATTGCAGGTCTGAGCTAGACCAAATGAACAGAATATGCTTCAGAAAGGATGGAGAGATATGTTGACTCGAAGAAATCGCAAATGGCAACTCTCTCAAACAATGTAAAACTAAAGCAAAAGTGAGGTCATCCTGTACGCCCGCCGAGTCGGCAAGCCACCAAGTATAATTTAGCAGGCGGAGAGCGGGTAAGCGGGTAGGCGCCTGCCTACGCCTGCCCCGAAATTAAGGCCGCATCGCCTAATTGAGGCGCGTCTTCCGCCCCCCTCACAATTTCTTTGACGCGTCGAAGTCTATGGTAGCTCCGTCACCCAGAGAACAAACCCACCATCCATTCACTACAAACGGTCTAGAAGCTCGTGGAAGAGCTTGCATCATCACTCCCTACGCAATTTCTCTTACACTCACAAAATACCCAGTTGGAAATCATCCCTGCCGCGAAAACCCCGCTGTTGCCGTCCACGCTTTTTGTCCGCGTTAACACGCGCGCATCTCCTTCCGATCCCAACCACCACCACCACCACCACAGACTTGTCGCCACGGGATGGAGAGTTAGGGAGATGGGCCATCCGTGCCAGGAATACTAATGGAATCATGGCGGGAGCGAGGCTTTGTACCGGACTCAGACTCGGAGGACGGGTTCGACAGCCAGGAGACGCTCAATTCTTCCCGCAAGGATGACGAGCGGGCGATCGAAGGCTCGGCGGCTGCTGCGGCGCTGGTCAAAGATGTCGCAACCAATACACGGGTCACTGGAGCGGAGGAAAGAGGCACCGATCCTTCGCAGGATGTGAATGGGAGCGATCTAGTTCGTTCTTCGACACTTGACTCGAACGTTGAAGTGAGTCCTACGCACAATCTCCCCACGCACGAACCGACGGCAACGGCCGACCACGCATACCAAGAGGCACCAACGGAACAGCCGGCAGACGAGACCACCCCTCGAGCGAGTGGGAAGTTGGATGAGTCGGACCAAGTCTTGGGAGATGCTCCACGCAGCGCCTCATCGACCCCAAGGGCACAAAGGAAGGCAGCTACCTGGGATGATTCTAGTTCTGAGGACGAATTACAGTTTGAATATATGCGACCTCGAAAGCCGGCCCGGGTCTATACTCGTGTCAAGAGTGTTAGTCAACCCCAGCCACCGGAAGAGAATTATGACTCTTCCACGCCGTCGTCGCCTCTCTCGTCCCTTGATTCGCTGCGCCTGGACTTTGACGATGAGGAGGATCAAGAGGACAATTTCGCGGACAATGATCAGACGCAGCATGAAGAGGGAGCTTCGAATGGCCAGACGGCGCTGGAGGATTTGATGAATTTGGATTTGCCAGGGGAGGGCTCGCCGGAACAAAACTCTACGGAGCAGGATGTCATGGAGAAGGAATTCACAGAGCAAGTCTCGACAGAAAAGGACACAGAGGAGCAATGGCCGACAATGCAGACGCTCCTGGAACACAGTATGACCGAGCAAGACTTGATGGGACAAGAATCGGCACAGGAGCTCCCGCCGCTGGACATTCCTGAAGAGCTACTTCGTGAGCTTTCCCAACCAGCGCGGAGATCTCTGCGAGAGCGCAAGGCTATTCAATTGCATCCGTACATGCTGGAAGATGTGAAATATCGCAGCCTTATGCGAGCGCGAGGAGTCAAACCAGTGCGCGTGGCCCAGCAGGAGATCAATCGTCCGGGTGCTCAAGAAAGTCAGAACCAGGACTATGTCGACCAACCAGAGCCAACGTCCGATAGTCTGGGAGCTGAATTTGAATATCTGCCGTCATCTCCACTCGAGACTCGACTTCATGTAGAGAAAAGGCCAATTGAATCATCTCCGGAGCGTCGACACCATCAGGCGCCACGAGCTCAGTCTACTAACCGGCTCCCGGGTCCTACCGTAAAGAGGCGAAAGGTGTCCAAAACTGCAAATCCTCAACGAACTCCTCGGACTCAGACCCAAGCCCGGTTACAGGTAGTCATCGATAACGTCTCATCCCCCGCTAGCCAGGCTAATAAGCCTATCTTCGAAATCCCGAGCCCACCCCGCTCGGAGGATGATGGCCCATCTGATGTGGAAGCTTCCACCACTTTCCGATTCCCTAGAGGTTTCACGCCTGCGTTGAATACTCCCAGTACTGGGCCACGAGCTGCGACCACTGATCGAGATGTCATGGACTGGTCTGCACCTGAGATTGAAGGCAGTATGGATGATGGGCACTTCGAGGCCACTGCCAGTCCTCTGGTCCAGGAAGGGTCTCAGGCTCTTAGCGAAGAGGAGCGGGAGGAGACTGACGGCGAAAGGTCTGATGAGGATGAAGCTGCAATGCGGCGGCGTTATCAGCGACGTATTAAGGGAGTGCTTCCAGCATCATGGCTGCGATTGGATCAGCAAAAGCAGAAGGAGGTGCAGCTTGGCTCAACGCAGCGGAACAATGAAAGGATGTCTGCGAGAACGGACGAGATGAAGGGTGTTGCTAGGCGAGTGCTGAAACATGGCGGCAATGCTAGACTGCCGGGCTCGATAGACGCACTGCGACAGCTTGCCGATTCTGACAGCGAGGACGGACAAGAAGACAAAGACGCCGACGACGAATCCATTTCACGTCCGCCGGCGGCTCGACAAGGGTACGAGCATACATCACTGTATCACGATATGGATGACGACATCCCAGTAGACAACCGGATCGATGACATGTTCCCCCCAGTCCCTCGCTCTACATCGGGCCTTAAAGCTCGAAAACAGGGAAAGAAAGACACTACCGTCAAAAAAAATGGTGTTTCTTCTAGTCTTGTATCCAAAAGGTCTCATATCAAGAGACAAGCAAGGCTAACGGATCACATTTACCGGACACAGAAACAAGAGAAACGAAGAGCGCCAGCTCTGCCTAATATTGGTGTTTTGGATGCACCAGATGTTGTTTCTCGACCTCGAAGCGAACAGCCACAGTTTCTCAGGGTTGCCGCACGCAAGGCGCGTAGTCGCCAGGATAAGGGAAGGAGAAGCCCGTCTCGCAAGGTCTTCAAGTTTAATTCGCACGCAGATACTGAAGATGCGAATGCTTCGTTGCATGAATGGCGATCAGGTGATCTTCGACAAACCAGACTGTCTCATATGCAAACCAAACCTTTCAAGCAGCAGACCTCGCGAGAAGGCCATGCGAAGACACAAGATCGTTTCGGCATGAAAGCAGGTCGACCGCCTGTAACAACCATGGCATCTTCACTATCGTCAATACATCCGTCTAGAGACTCGGGAGAACTTGGTGTCCGAGTTGAGGAGAACCCTCGTGATACGGAATTAACAATTCCGCCCCAAAGGTCAAATGGTGATGATGTATCTCGTGACCCCGGTAGACCAGAGCAACCAAGTAATAGATGGATTGTCAAAAGGAACTTCGCAGTCACCTCCTTTACGAGAAATGGCTTTAGACCTGCGTTGCTCGAAGAGGTGAACCCAGCCGGTCGACCTGTGTCTTCGGTATCTTTCCAACGATCACTATCGCAGTTGAACCGAGATTACCGCGGTAAAAACCTTCCTCGAATAAGGCGTGAGAACGTGGTCATGGATAGGTTCATCGCGAGTCGCAGTGCAACACCTGTTTCGGCCGAGAAGTCAAATGGACCCGCCACGGCCCAGATGCTTGACAAAGCGAGCGTCAGACCCCAAATTGTACAGACCCGGTTGCAAAGTCGTCAGGGGAGGAAGCGTCCACCAAGGCGGTTGGAAGTCAATACGGTCCAAGAACAGGAGCCGCCTCTTCAAGAGACAATCACAATCTCAGACTCGCATTGGGTAGCCGAGGAACCGCAGCCCTCTGGGTGCCCCGTCGAGGCCCTTGAAGGGTTGCAGCGAACATATACCATCAACTTCAACATTTCTCCGTTGGTTTCAGGAACGTTTTTTCATGAGTCAACCTTTATCGGAAGCGGAGAGTTTTGTCGCTCGCTGAAGATTCTCACCAGAAACCTCGACACTGACGCTGGATTTTTTACTTTGCATCTTGAAGATGAACGTCACCGTTGGGGTGCTTGGAATGATGCCGTTTCCTCCGGTCTCGGACTTGCTTTCGACAAAATTGTTGAGGAATTGGACGGATCGGTCGAGGGCCCGGTACAGTCTCTCACTCGAAGTGTCGACAAGCAAGGGTGCATGGTGTACCGTTCCTTGATCAAATACGTCACAGACAATCTGTCCTTCATCGATCCCATCGATAGGACGGGGTTTGTGAGGCGAGCGCATAGCCTTGTTTGCAAGGTCAATGACACCTTGGCGACGTTGGTCCCGGCAACCGAGCCGGAGATGGATCACCTTCTGACAATCTCTTCTTATAACGCTGTATTCGTGAACTTGCTGTTTCAGATCGCAGGACATGAACTTGTCGAACGCAGTGTTGCTGACGAGGTTATGATCTTATTGAAGCTGTCGTCGAAGCAGACCATCGCTGTTATCGCAAGCGAATTGGGGCAATCCAGTATTCGCAAGCACCTACAAGATCTGGAGTCTGCAGAGGCCCGCGAAAGAGGCATTCGCAGCGGCAGATCTTCCTTTCAAGCATATGTGATTGTCCGGCATGTGCTGCGCAGCAATGATAGTGTGAAAGGATATTTCGAGGATCTGCTAGCCCAGGCCTACACACTAACTGACGAGGGCGACTTGAGCGAGTCGAAAAACGTCCCTCAGCTGGAAGCTGCGTGGCGGAACGTGTTCACATCCTTGCCTCTGAACGAATTTGATGTTCGTGGCATTGCCCAGATTGGCTCACGGTTCCGTGAACAGCAGGACAATTGGCCCGTGATCAAAATGCTGCTACGTCCTGCGCTTGAAAGCTACGAAGCCACTTCTGTCGGGCAGCCTGTCTCGTATTACATTTACTGCCGGGCTTTGTTTCACAGGTGCTTCCACCTCATCAACGGCTGGGGTTGGCGGGATTGCAAGCCAGTCTTGGACACTTTATACGATTTTTTTGCCAAGAATACTTTGTACAATTTGAGGCAAGAAGAGAACTACAAGTCCCCATCTTTCCTCAATGAACTTGACCGCAATCCTTCGTTACACGTGCAGCCTGGCGAGCCATGCTTTCATATCTTGTTGAAGATCATTGCAAGTGGATTAAAGTCGTTGGCGAAGTCCTACGATAAAAAGAAAGTTCGGAATTTTGCCTGGCGCCTGTTGCCGAACCATGGCCGGATGTACCCTAAGGAAAAGCCCATTCAACAAACCGACTTGGATGCCTTGAGAAACCATCACGACCTGCTTTGCACGCTGTACTATGCAGTTCCTGACGGATGCCGACCCCGGTTGGAAACCATTCGGGATTTAGTTCATCCTGCAAGCTCTCATAGGGAAACATGCAATATCAGTCTTCGTTCCTGGGATCGATTGGTTCGCTTTAAGCTATCAACTGACGAAGAAACCTCGGGGCTTGAGGCATTTGCGGACTGGCACTGCTATTTCGTGACCGAGCTATTGAAACAGCATGCAATGGCTCGGCAAGAGGTCGAGGCCCAGAATACAGTTGCAAACAAATTCTCCGATAAGTTGGTTGAAAAAACAATAGCGCAGAATCAGCGACAAATTGAATCGCTGCTGAAGACGGCTCTGAGCAATCTACGAGGTGCCGTCAAGGCGGCACCGAAATTGGAGCATGCTCAAAAATTGGTGTCAAAAATGCCAGTAAAAGCGCTATTAGCGCTTTTCAACCCCCAGCTTTCTCGCGTCAATATCATTGTCACTGAATCTCTACTGGTGGTACTTGCCTATCTTGAGAAATGCAACGCTTCTCAAGCGCAGGCCCCAGGAACAGCAGGTCCACCCGTTGCGCTGGACGACGATAGCCAAGAGTATGGGGACTGGACTGACATTGAAGCTGTATGCGGGGAGATGACTACTACAGCAGCACCTGAGATCGAGTATGTAGAGCAGGCCTTCCACCCCGCTGTGTCCCGACTTGTCTCCAACTGCTTTGGTGAAGACCATTGTCCTGAGGACGCAATCCTTCTCAGTACTGTCGAATGCTGGACCTCCATCGCACAAACACTTGTTCAGCACGGACTGCGACATTGGCACAGCTACTTGACTCCCTACAACGGCGATTCGTGGGCAGCGCTTCGATCAACTATGCAGACAAGAAAGTTCACGCCCTTTTTCTTGGCAAGCTGCATCGAAAAAGACGCTCGATGCATCGTCGACTGTAAAGTCCAGATCCTTGGCATGTGGATGGCCAGCTTGGTCGAAAGGGTCGCCTTACTGAAATACCAACACCGCTTAACAGAGGCGTTAGTGAATCAAGAGGATGCGGATCCTGTATTTCAGAATTTGCCTTTTGCCCTGGACCGCAAGCAGGGACGATATTCTCTCAGCTTGGAGGACATCAGCCAGCGCCGGTTGTCGCTGATATCTAGTCTCTTGTCCAACATGCGCTCGCATCTCCAAGACCTTGAAGACGCAGGCGCACGCGAATACTCGAGCACAAAGCAAGAATACGCCGAGGCAATCCAGAGAATGATGTCATCGATGAAGGCAAATTATCAGGAGCTAGGAAATGGCACCCAGAGCGTTCAGGGCGCCTATGTCGATCTCGTCCATCGAGTTGTAGGGTTCCTGCAGCAACACAGCAGACAAATCTGCCCTATTGATCCGTTTTTCATCGATCCAGCTTCTTTCCCGCTGCCGTCCACGGACCCGACCTATATCGTCGCCAGATTGAAGAGTTATGAGCCCAAGGTCTCGGTCGAGAGTGGGGCGAAAACGCTAGTGGTGTTCGTCCAGAGCGTCTCGGAGAGGGCGGCCATAGATGGTCAACAGGATTACCTTGTCAACCAGTTGCATTCCTCGATGAGCGAGACCTATGAGAGCGGCAGCCCGGACAAGCCCACGTTGAGGTCGACAATGCTGCAGGCTGTTCTCCCTGCCTACCTCGAGACAGCCTTCAGTAGCCGGGCGGCTTGGATAGTGAGCCGGCCGATTGTGCATACCATCCGCCTCGTCTTCGAGGAGCTTCTCTTCACCCTCGACTCCACAGACTCTGCGTGTGTGGGGTCGGTATTGAATATGGTCGCCTCTGTCTTCGGACCGTCGTATCGTGCATTGCAACTTCCTTTGTTCCGGAACGTCAACCTGCTTACCGACCCCGCCGCAGCGGTGACCGCTGCTTCGTTCTTGGAATTGATCACGTCCGCCTTGCCGATTGTAGACTACATCGACCGCGGCACCATAGACCACCGAGCCGCCAGCGACAACATCCTCCTCCAGCTACGGGCCTTTCGCCAGCTTGCTCTTATCGCCCTCTCCCTTAACCTCGGAGAAAATGACGGTCACAACCACCTTTCAGCAGCAGCAGCCGTCTCCCCCGGTGGCGGTGAATTCACGCAGTACGCCGCAGCCTTCACTTCCCACCCAGTGGCCCCCACAGCCCCAGCGTTCTTCCCCGAGCTCCGCCACAATGCAGCCCGCGAACTACAGTCTTACATCTACGAGCACTGGTCCTGTCACCAGGGCAAATACTATTTCACCCGCCGAGGCGGGCACCAACCCCAGGAAATCGAAATAGCACCCGCAGTGGCTACTCAACTCGAGCAATCTCCCCTGCTTGCGTTGCGGACTGCGGCTCAAAACTTCGTGGATACCTTAGACAAACTTGGTCTTATTGAGGATGATGACGATGAGTGAGGCCTTCTTGTTTGGCTTCAACTGGTTTACGGTGCTGGTGAGTAGGTTGAGTTGGGCTATTCTGAAGCTTATATATTCATGCATGATGATTCCCCCTTGTTGAGAGTTGATGTACCGGCGTATGGTCATGGATGATGGGGTTGATAATGGATTGATAATAGTAATACCATGTCTCCTTCCCTCTACATTTTTCTTCGCTTGCTGGGTTTGTGTCTGGTGACAACCATGTTGCTGGACTGCTAAAATGCTCTGCCCACCCTGTAAGTCAGTTTACGTGACTAAAAGTAGCGTGGATTCTGTCAAACGATTATTTTGGGAATAATCCCTGATCGATAAGGTGTTGGTTCGGTTCGATTGGGCCAGCCACCACAAAATCCGCGTCAAGGAGGAGGAATATGGGCGGCTGAATATTGAACAGATCCCACATCAATCCATCATCCCAGATGGAGGGGGGCATCAATCGCTCCCATGTGGCCGATGTCAGTTGCGTCGTGCCGATGCCTGGACGGAACCAGAAGCCCGGGGCGCCGAGACCTCGTCACGTGGTGAAATCTGCCCTTCCCCTTCTGTTTCTGCCGAGTGCAGGGCTATCACGATACTGAATCTCCTGGCGGCGGGCTAGTTGGTGCTGTAGGCCTTCGAGATTGTACTAGATATGCGGTCATCCTAATCGATACCAACGTCTATCATCCCACTATCGAAGGTTTCGTAATCGTCCTTCGCACCACCCCTTGAGGAAGGGATTTGATGAAATCCGACCGCAAGCAGCACGTTCTATGGCTTGCAGTACGAGTCATAATTAGAATGATCTGCAATCTATAGCTTGACCTCAGATGGTCTTGATAGTTAAACCTTATACGTGCGATCTGGACGGGTCGTCGATTGGGTTTGCCGCATGAGATTTCTTTGTTCACGTCGCGTAACCGCAACCTTGTTGTTGGGTCATCTCCATAATTTCTAAAAAAAAAGAAAAAAAAAAGAAGACGAGAGATGAGAAAAAGCTTCTAGAGCATGCGGCTCCCTCGTATCCTCTTCGCCAGTATCCCCGGATGTCGAACGTGGTCTAGACCCCCGGGTTTAATAGACAGGTCTGCGAAGATGTGCGATTATGTTAGGTATTGAGACATCAGGGATAACAATCGACCGTACCGACACTTGAGTGATTACTTGGAGTAATCAGACTGGGAAGATCGTTCAGTGTGCTATTTTTTTTTCTTCGAAGATGCTCCTGTTGACATGCCGAGTGTCTGTGTAAGAGATCCGAGTGTGTCCCCATCCGATGCAGACATCTCACTAGACCATGTCTGAGGCATTCTTTAGGGTAAGGTGTTCGACGACCGGTGTACCAGTCTTTCCAACCAGCAAGGTGGCCATCACCAGACACCATGGGAAGATCTGTGACGCAGACAGGCTATATTGATCTATCCTCTGGTGTGTAAAAAAGATGTAGCGTAGAAGGCTACAAAAAGCGGTGGGACTCAACGTGAAGGTGTGGCCAGATTAGGTCACTTGCTGAAGAGGCCGAGTATGACCACGTACTACCTACGAGATAGTTGATCCTGATCAAGCCAACACTCTTTACCGTAGGTTAGAGAGCGGCAATAGCAACAGCAGCCAAAGTAACAGCGGAGCTCAACAAAGTTACGCAGTGCAGATCGATAGTGGCAAGTGCAAAAATAGCCGGTGATCTAAATATGGCAAAATGAAAGGACGCATTGTGAGACTAGGGCTATTGCAAAACCCCTAGACTGGACTAGTTTGATGTCATGGCTTTTATTCAGAGAAACCTAACTGACTATATTATCATAGCACTTAAGTAGATTTCATACTCCACACGCCAGGAACCATATTCAAGAGCATTCGAATGATGAATAACCATAAACAGTCTGAGTTAGGACCAATTTGGAGCTATTACAGAGCTACTCAATTTGATGTGTTACAATTATTGTTTCTCACCACTGCTATCGATTTACCGTCTTTGTCCCGATTGTTCCGCTTTCTATCCGCAAATAATCCGAGGTTTATCAGCGAACAACACTCAGAGGGGATGAGATAGAACCGGACCGGCGGATCTGAAATCATTAATCAAGACTCTACTGACGAAACTCGTATCGGAAAACACTGCTTATTGTAAAAGACTTACTGATGTTTTGCAGGAAGACTAGAAGGATATGTCATGTTTAAGCCCTGGCAACGAAGTCGCGGGCACGACGCGAATCCTTGTAATCCCAGAATCGTTTAGCCGAACTTCCAGTACTGCTGCTACCAGATCCACCGCCGGTTACAGTACTGGTGCTGCCGGATCCAGTGCTGTTGGTGCCACTTCCAGTGCCGGAACCGCCGGTTGCAGTACCATTGCCAATGCCTTCGGTATTCGGGGCAGAGGCAATAGCGTCGGCAACCCCAGTTCCAGTATCGCCAGCGTCGGCCGCCTTGGTCGCAGCAGTGGCGGCGCCATTCCACCCACCACCACCGGCAGCGGCGACAGCGACGGCAACCGCGGCGGTGATATCGCCATTAGCACCGGAGGCGGAGGCGACGGCGGCAGCGGCAGCAGCGGCGGCATTCGATCCATTAGCCCCATCGGAGGCGGCGGCGGCGGCAGCAGCGGCAGCAGCACTTCCTCCCCCGGCGGCGGAGGCGACCGCGGCGCAAGCGTCGGCGACTGCCTGGCCATCTCCCCCAGCGGATGCGGCGGCCGCGGCGGCCGCAACAACAGCGACGTCCGTTCCATTGCCACCAGCGGAGGCGGCGGCCGCGGCGGCCGCAGCGGCAACACCCCCGCCGCAGGAGGTGACGGCCGCGGCAGCAACAGCGGAGGCGGTGTCCGCTCCGCTAGCACCTGAGGCCGCGGCGGCGGCCCCGGCAGCAACGGCGGCAACGTTCCATCCACTCGCACCAGCGGAGGCCGCGGCGGCGGCGGCAGCAGCAGCAGCATCATCACTGCCTCCGCCAGCGGCGCTGTTGGCAGCGGCCGCTGCATCAGCGACGTCCCCTCCGTTACCACCCGAGGCGGCGGCCGCCGCCGCAGCGGCAACCACGGACACATCCGTCGCACTACCTCCACCAGCCGCAGCGGCAGCGGCGGCAACGGCAGCGGCTTGGGCATTCGGTCCTCCTCCAGATGCGGCGGCTTTCGCTGCAGCGGCGGCTGCATCCTTTCCGCTGCCGCCTGAGATGGCGATGGCGATAGCAACATTGACCACAATAGTAGGTGGGCCAGAGGGGACTTGAGGGATAGCGGTAGGGGTGGTAGTCGGCCGAGGCTTGCCGGAAGTCCCAGAAGAAGTGCTGGCCGTGCCAGATGTGGTGGAGGCCGTGCCAGATGTGCTGGAAGCCGTGCCAGATGTGGTGGCGGCCCCAGACTCAGTGCTAGTCGTGCCAGGCGAGCTGGAAGTGCGGGAAGAGGTAGTCACATCAGCGGTGCCAGTCGTGCCAGGCGAGCTGGATGTGCGGGTGGAGGCAGGGGCAGTCGTCGCAGCGGCGGTAGTCCGTCCAGGCAAGCTGGTCGGAAGCGGAGAGGTCACCTGTCTCTCTTCCAGAGGGGGAGAGCCGGGCTCTGGGTGTGCAGCTGGGTTGGCCACTGCTAACTGCATAGCAAGCTGCAGCAGCACGATAAGGGAATAGAGTGTGGACTTCATATTGAACCTAATTCAGTGCTAATCTTGCTTGTTGATGTTACAGACTGTATTGCCATAAGTCGCAGAAGGACTATCTGCACCGCTTTTATATTGACAAGCAGCGGGTCCAGATGTGTCGCTCGGGACAAAAATATCCATCCAACAGGTCTAGAATCAAGGAAGGATCTAAAAGCAGAGGTCTCACATCCTCGAGAACTTTCTTGGCATACGACACGATATACGACAGAATAGACGATACGATATACGACACGATGTTCAATACTGATAACCCTTAGGCTTTGGTCTAAAAAAAGGCCTCCTCTACAATGTTGCAAGCCAGCTGTAAAGTCTCCATGAACCATTCTTGATTACACGGATACGAAAACCATTAGTATAGGTATCGGAACCATATCGCATCACAAGAGTGAGGATTAAGGTTACGAAACAAAGAAACCTGTATAAGATGCATTTGGGAGTCCTAGCTTCCGGACTAAGCTGCAAGTCATTGGTTTTGACAAGCTCCTTAGCCTGACAGGCTGTCACTATAGGAGGAGCGGAAATCGCAGCCACCCGTCGATCCTCCCGCGCCCCGCCCTAAGCTAGCTAACCCGAGCCCGCCATGTTCGTGGTTTCTTTACGCATGTGGGATAGACTTTCTTATCTGGGCTTTGGGTGGTGAACCTGCCCCCCCTCCCCGAAAAAGTGAAGAACGGGCCAAGAGATGGTGCAACGGTCGAGAACAAACGATCGACCGTTGTGGGGCTGCTGAAGACGAACGAATCTTGCGGGCTTGGGAGTCTGGACGGCTAGGGCTACGTCCGCCTGACCATGGGTCAGGCGCTGCGGTGAACCAAGATAACCTTAATGGTTGACACGAGGCTTACGATGGCACAACCATGGAAATGCTTAGACTGGTCGCTCCAGGTGTTATGTCAAGTAGCATATCATAGCCGGGCCCTGTGTAGTTACTGGCATACGCATCCTCCTATCTCGCGATTTAACAGGATCTATTCCCAAGCGATGTCGAGGCGTCAATACTGCTGTAGATAAAATCAGCGCTTTGATAAAGCCCTTAACTGGAGCTCAAACAGTGGAGCAAAAAAATGGATAATTGCATCATTGGTACTGGACCGACAATTGATGTGTATATTGGGAGGAAGATAGACTGTTCCATACGGGATGTTCCAGAGCTGGCCGTCTCACGCCACCATAGAAGTGTCTATCACATCGCAGCCCCCCGCCAGTTCACAACGTAAATAGAACACGCAATAACCAAATGCGGTTCCCTCCATGAGCAGTTCACGCAACTTCGTGAGGCTAAAGGGCTCTGGTCCATTGGGCCAACCCGTGATTCGAGCTCTTCTGCATGGCCACCCTGCTGTATAATAAACCACCCATGCCGTTTGCAGCAGAGCATTCAGCGTAGCGTGAGACTGTGGGCCCCACCTAAGCCGCGCAACCTATTGCCGACACATTGATTGACAGTCTTGGCACCGGGCATAGCCTCAACGTGGGAACAAACAACGAAAGCACGTCACGATTAAGGTCGAGCTCGTTTCGAAACCGAAGATTCTCATCTCCTTCGATGAGCCAACCTCCGGTCCAGATGGCCAAGCATCGTACAACGTAGCACGGTTTCTGAGAAAGCTCGCGGATGCTGGACAAGCGGCACTAGTAACCCTTCATCAGCCATCTAAGTTACCGGCTGCGTCTATTGAAGAAGGGCAGACACGCTGCCTATTTCGGTGATACCACTCCCCGGAATATGCTGAACCCACGCGCGAGCTCGCGTCAATAGTCCACGCGGCGCACTCCAAAGGACCAACCGGCAACAATGGTTTGGATAATGCGATACCGCTTCTGTATCCAATCGAGGCTATTTCTGCGGCGGCGGATGAGTCTTGCCCCTGTTCCGCGACGCCGGGTACATCCACAATGGGATGCGCATTCGTATCGGACTCGGATCTCCAACGGCTTCACGTACTGGAATATCGGCGAGCCCGTCCGCGATCTGCAACTGTGACTCTCTTGTAGAATTCCATCGTACCCGGGGTGATCAATCGCCTCCAACCGCTCTTCATCGAATGATGCGACCCGTACACTGCGGGTCTTTCTGCAAGCTCTTCTGACATAGGGGCAGGATTCCTCGTGATTCTTGTGATTAGCCCGTACGCGCTGGTTCACTTGTATGTGGCTTTGCAGACGCGAGCATCGACGAGGGCCGAGCGATGCTGTGACAAACAGATATAGGGCCATGGGTGAATTATGTTGAGAATGTTTGCATAGAGAAGGTTTCTAGACCAGCACATATGGAAAGAGAGCAAAGGTGGATCAAGCGCGGGAAGGAGATATTCCCATTAAAAGTCTTATCCTCTAGGGAAGTGAAGGCAGCAATTGTATACAATGAAGAGAAAAGCGCCCTCTTTTTCGGAGCGTAGCCCACCAGAAAGGGGGGGAATAATGAAAAGAATCCATATCGAAGGGAACCGACACCCATTTTCACACACCATCAAGAAGCAGAATCTAAGAAGAAGTCGGGCAAACAGTCGTCGTCGTCTTGACCACCACCGTCTTCGTCGTCGTGAACGGGATGTGGTTCGTCGTGGTGGCCGTGTACACGGTCTGAACGGCGGCCGCGGCCGCAGGAGCAGCCGCTGCATCTGCATCGGAGGTAGTACTAGTTGTTGTGGCGGTGGGGGCAGAGTGGGTGATGGTGCGGGTGTTGGCTTGTGTGCGCGTTTGCGTTTCTGTTTCTGTCTCCGTCTCTGTCTCCGTCTCCGTCTCGGTGGCAGTCGTGGTGACGGTGGCGGTGCTGGTGACGGTGCTCGGGGCCGGGGGGTTTACTGCTGGGGCTGCTTGATTCGCGGCTTGGGTGTTAGTGGCTGTGGCAGTGGTGGTGACGGTGGTCGTCGCGGTGGAAGTGGAAGTCAGGACGGCAGTTGAGGTGGTAGTTACAGTAGCAGTGGTGGTCGTCGTGGCAGCCGGCGCATTGGCGGCGGGGGCGTTGGCGGCGTTGGTGGCGCCGCTGGAGCCGCTGTTCGTGGGGATGCACATGCAGCCTCTGTTGGCTTTGTTAGTTCAGTCCAGGGTGTTGTCTTGGGGTTCAGGGGAGAGGGCTGGCTTACGGCAAAGCCTGGCCGAGGAGCTCGAGGCCCAGGAGTTGCAGGGAGGGGGTGTTCTCGCTGGCGCACATGCCGGATTGGAAGCCCTGGGCAATACACTGTTGTCTCTGGTGGTTAGTATATGCGATGCCGGAGGGGTTAGAAGGATTGTGGGAAGGCAGAGGGCGACTTGCCTGAACAATACAGACGTTGGCGTCGCATGATCGCTTAGCGAGGCTACCGTGCGAGGGCAACGCGAGCGCAGTGTAGCTGCTGCATGCGAGCAGGAGAGTTACAAATGAGGTGCGCATGTTGATGGTTGATTTATGGAGTGTGCAAAGCTCTTCGATTGGGTAATGGCGAAGTGTTGAGGTTGATTATCGTCTTGGTGATAAAAAGATCGTGAGGCGTAGTTCTTGGTTGTACAATTTCAAGCCGGGGATTCTGAGGCATTTAAATCCTGCCTTTCCAGAACTCTCGCAATGCTTACATTGAACTCAAGCCTTTGAGGCTAGCAGTGTGGAATTCGAGAATGATACATCCTTTATCCTCCCTTTCACGCCATCCGAGCTAATTTTGGGGTATCTTCCCCTTGAAAAGATTAAGGAATGCGTGGATCTCGAGATATAACCGTCCACCCCTCGGGTGGCTTTGCAGTTGTTGCCCGGAAGACCAGGTGTCAATAATGTGGAGGGTCAGGGTACCCCAGTAACCGGGCATCTGTCAGTGCATCTGGTATGTGTAAGTGTAAGAAAGAAGCATTCAATTGGCGGAATATAGAGGTTGACCATTTGGGTTCGGTCAGGTACCCGAGAGTTGGGTCTTCCCCCTTGCTTCATCCACAATGCTATTCTTCGTCTATCAATCAAAACACACAACAGCAATCGCTCCTCTCCTGGGCACCAACTGAGAAGGGTTGACTCTTTTTTCTATCCTTGACAGTATGTTGTTTTTCATGGAGTTAATCCGAGAGATTGGGCCTGCGCTAGTTCCTGGACGACCAGATTTAGATTTCTCCCTTATGAACCCGAGAGTGGTCGCCACTGTCAAGCTTTATGTTGCTCGTTAACTGTACCGAGCACATCGGTCTCACAAACTATATATAGTACAGTTGAGAAATCGAACAGTAGGGTTCTGTTGACCAGAATTTCACAACCAAATCCGAAGGAGTACCACAAGCAGTCAAATTTTGTTAAGGTCATGGCCAAATAGTAGAATTACGGGGCCTGTGACAGAATTACTCTAACTTTTTGATCGCCTGTTCTCTAGAGAACTTACATCCCAAGCTGTACAATCTTGAAACCAAAATACAGTTGGTTGAACGAAGTCGCCCAATGGCCCCTAACCGTATGATATATACAAGCTTGATCGTTATGCCTACTTCGCTAGTCTACTCTTCAAGACAAGGATCACTTGATTTAAAGCACAATCTGCGAAAACGCTAAGATTCAAGACAACTTGGCGCTCGGGATTTGACATGTGAATAACGCTCGCTACCTTTGAGATTAAGTCATATCACCGCGATTCCGCTCCGGGGCAGGGACTCAACCGAGGGGATGTTTCCAAACCTTGTTTGTGGGAGGTACAAAATCGTCACTATCGCCAGAGTTGATAGTCAGACAACAATGACATGGATTCGTGTGGGAGGTTATGGTTATCTGTGTCATTGTCACTATGTGGGCGTTTGGGGAGGTATATTTAACCGCTACCAAAGACTACCTTGATTGTCGGTGAACTCGAAATCGGGCAGCAGGCTTGTAGCTGCCTCAACGTTTGCATAGGTATCTGCTTTTGCCCCGTTGCTTTTACAATTGATCCGTAGAAGATGAATTTGTAAAACAATAGCAGGACCATGATTCTGACGGCATAATTGAGATTCATTAGCCGAGAGACGCCATCCAAACCACCCGAGCTATCCGATAACCGCCGAGCCCTAAGTCGGGTCCTGCCGTGCGGGAGTGCCTGAGGCCCACGATTGGTCCAGCCGCGTGGTGCTACCAGGATCCTAGTACTCTCGTACTCCTACTAAAGCTGGAGCATTGAGAACTAACTAACATCAGTGACAAGTACCATTCAGCATAGGCTACAGGCCTCTCGGCTAGACAGCTTCAAGCTCAGCCGCACCATGCAGTTCATCAAGAAAAGGGGGGTAAGAGCAGTGCCCGGCCAGCGGCAGGCTGAATTTACTTACAGTAAGATACAGACTGCAAAACCTCACCAAACCGTGCAGCTGCACTCTCCACTCTCACACAGCCTTGTCAAGCATCTCACGCAGTTCATCCGCAACAAAGGCCGGATTATCCCTCTGGACAAAGTGGCCGGCCCCCGGCGCCTGAAGCGGGCCCTTGCTCCGCTCCGCGTCGGTCAGCCTCGCCAGCCCCTCATTGAACCGATGCCAGTAGGGATTCAGGTAGAGCTGCGTGAGCCGCGGAGGCGCGCCGCCCATCCTCTCGAATTCCACCTGGAACGTCTCGAACTCATGGCCCACCACCGTCACCCAGGGCCCGCGGCCGTCCGGGCCCTGCAACCTGGGCCCGTCGCTGGCCGGCAAGAGCTGCGCCAGGTTGCGTCGGCTCAGACCCTCGCGGCTGCCGTTGCTGGGGTGGAAGACGCGTTGCATGTAGGCTCTTGCGGCGCGGATTGCCTCCTCGTCCACCCCCTCTGGCAAGCTGCGCGGATCGAACCCGGCCGCATCCGGGTCCGGGTAGATGGAGATGAAGTCGGAGTTGGCGAGCACGCTGTCCAGGAACAGGAGTCCGGCGACGGTGCCGGGGTTTTCTTGGGCATAGAGGCGGGCCAATGCGCCGCCGATTGAGTTTGACACTAGGATGAGCGGGAGTTCGCTGAGGTTGGCGACGCCCATCTTCTCCGCGGCCACCTGGGTGAGTAGCTGGTGCAAGTCCCGGACCACGATTAATGTGTCGTGGCCGTGCGTGGGGTCCTCGGCGGTGCTGTCGGCGGGGTCTCGGTCGGTGGTTTGGCCCTGGCCGTACCGGTCGTAGGTGACCATCGCTGGCAGGCCGGCGGCGGGAGGCTGGGCCTGCAGGCGCGCGATGACGCCCTCCCAGGAGGTCTGCGGGAGTCCAAGGCCGTTGACGAAGACGACTAGAGCCGGCGGCTTGGCGGCGCCCACGGCGGGGTGGAAACTGTAGCTGAGCTGAGCGGAGGGCTTGGTAGCTAGGGAGATGAATCGGTAGTGCGACATGGTGAGGGAGGAGATGGTATTTGGATAGACGGGGGTATTGAAGGAGGGCAGAAGAGATGACAGACTAAAGTTAGGGAGTCGGGGCTATCGAGGGCAACTTATGGGCAGTAACTAGTAGGCAGGTATAGTAAGCGGGGACCACCTCATGGGGCTAATGCTCTTAGCTTTCGGCCCGTCGGTTTATTGCGCCACAGTCTACGGAAGACACAGCCCCGAGTCAGTGGATCCACTGCCTATATCGAACTATATGTAGGTTAGCTTAAGCACGAGAGAAGCCACAGTCTCTGTTCCGATCAAATAAGCAGATCCTAAAATTGTTGCATATCTGAAGCATCCCTGGAGCCGTGAAAAGCTTCTCATGGTTCGCTGTGCCGGGTGGGTAGATTAACTCGATACCTGTTCTGGAACTTGAAAGAGAGAATACAGCAACAACCTACATGAGTTACTGCAGTGAGTCAAGACTACGTCAACACCGCTGGTGCCTCCGCACCCGGCTCCGTCACCTGAGCGAACCGAGTCAGGAGCCCTATGGTCGTCATCCTCGACCCGTGCGAAATCATCCTCCCAAAGGGGATGAGCCAGCGCAAACACATTCACCGTGCGAGAACCACACCACCAGAGAATCACTCCAGCCACCTACCGCAAAGGCCCGTCGAGATGTGAAAGCATCACGAAAATCCACCCTCAAGGCTGAAACACAGGCGCGTGTTACTCTGGACGCGTCGGGCCTCCCTCCACCCAATCACAGCGCCCCCTCCGTCGAGATGTCAACCAATCGCGAAAATCCACTTATAGGGCTGTTCCACTGCTAAAAGGTGTCTGGGACGTGTTGACAGGGGTGTGACGCGACGGGGGCCAATCGCAGTGTCTGGTCTGGCGAGATGTCAACTGATCGCGAAAATCCACCTTTAGGGCTGAGCTCCGCTGCGGACGTGTTGGCTGGGACGCGGTGAGACATTCACTGTCGCGTGGTTCCGTGGGGGTGATCTGGATCTTATCTGATGGTGTTGCCGGTTGAGGTGCGGTTGTTCGGTGGGTGGTAGGTGGTGGGAACCTGGGTTTCCGGGTACTGTACCAGGTGGTGGTGAAAGGATGACTTCAATGAGCATAGCGGGGAGGAAAGAAGTGGCGATGGACCGGGGAAAAGAGAATTTTGAGGGTAGGAGAGGCGCGGAAGAAGGAGAAGATCATGGTGAAGAGATGGGAACGAAACCAGTCCATTCTCTCAGTGCAAGCACGGTGACTAGGTTGTTTCACTTGGCCGCGGGTGGCAGTTGCAACCTTCCCTTCGGTTGCTTGTCTGCACATATCATATTGAGCTAAAGTAGTAGTAGTACCTTATATCCTACCCCCAAACCAGGTTACTTATGCCTCCTACAATTCATGTTGACAATGAAGCACGGCTTCACAGCCCAGTGAGAGGTTGATGCTTAGTTCTGTGAGTTCATTGGCTGACTCGAATTGCCCTCACTCGAATTATAAGAGGTTACGAATTGCTTGAAATCCTCGACGGGTAAATAGTTCGGTGTCAATTTGGGTCGCTTACGATAGACACAGATGCATACAGTCGAACGCAATACAGAAAGCGATTAACATGAGACACTTTTGCCAGGGGAAAGTCAACCCGCTCTGAAAGACCAGACTAGCGCGTTCAGATTCACTCACTCGTCATCTCCAAATAGCTCCTCGTGGAGATACGCATCCAGCCAGCTCTCATCGTTGGTGGCTCCTCTGGCCTGATTCTCCTCGGGGCGTACCTCATCCAAGATCCCCCCCGAAGCGCCATCATTATGACCCGTAGCCGCGGGGGGCGCGGATCGTTGAAGCACCTGGCCCGCCAGCTGGAAAGAGGAGCCGGGCTTCAGCTTGTCGAGGGGGAGGGGCGCAGGAACAGCCGGAAGAGCGGTTTCCGGGGCGGATGCGGGTTTCGGCGGCGCCTCAACTGGCTCCCCCGCTGCATCGAGTCTGACCGTCGTTTCGGTGGCGGTGACCGCGGCAGGTAGGGGCTTCATCAGATTCCAGTACTTGAATTTGCGAATGGCCGCGAATTTCTTGACCATCTCCGGCGCGGGGATCTTGGCGGGTGCCGGCGGTTGGGTGGCCTTGGCCTGTTCCTGCTCCGCCGCCCTCTGTTTCTCCGCCGCCAGCAGCTTGAATTTCTGGACGGTGGCGGACCACTCCTGCGGCAGATAGTACACCTGCTCCTCGGTGCTTCGCTGCATATCACCCGCCACTTTCATCGCCAAGTCCGCGACGGGGATGAGCTCCTTGAGGATCCCATCGAAGGCCTCGGGGTCGACGATCGCGGTCCACGCGAGCGGGAAGCAGACCGCCGCTACCGGGCCGACGAGGGGCAGGAATCCCACCGCCACCGTGAGGCTGTTCTTGATGAAGTCCGCCAGCCAAGTCGTCGGCTGCGGAGGTTTCCACTGGATCGACAGCCCGTAGTTGGCGCTCGCCACCGTCGTCCAGCTAAGATCGGTGCCGTCGCTGACGAAGGGCGCCGGTCCGCCTTTTGTTGGGGTCAGCTTGCGGTCCACCATGCGGATGATGCGGGCGGAGAAGCAGTTGTGGCCGCGTAAGGCCCGCGGTAGCGAGAGGAGGTTGACGAGCTGGCGGACGTTGACTGCCATCGTCCATTGAGCGTCCGGGGCCAGCCCTAGCGTGGCATCGAGGTTGATGGTCCCCGTGGTTTGCGCGCCCACCCAGTCGAGCTTATCGTGGCTATCGACGGCCGGGTGGACCGTGACCGTGATCTGCCGCGGGATGGCGAAGTTCACCTGCAGGAACGTGCACACGTCCGGGTAGTCCTCCGAGGCCTGTTGCGCGATGGGAATGTAGATCCCCCGGATGCACGCCGTGCGCTAGGAATTGAAAATCAATGTTCAGTGAGAGATTCCATAGCCTCAGACGAAAGATTCCAGTTTCCCCCTCCCTCTCCTTCTGTCAGGGCAAGAAAAGTGTAAGGCATACATCAACAAGAAACCACTCCTCCCCCTTGGCTAAGAGGGGCATCGGCAGGATCATAAACCAGGACTCAAACGCACCCCCTTTGGCCTGGTCGCGGAACCGATTCCCGCTCACGCAGAGGTTGTGTTCCACTGCCCGATACCTTTCTGCGTCACTGTAGGGCTTCTTCCCGTACAAGAAGTGGATATTCGTCCAGTTTCCATATTTGGTGTCCCACCAGTCGCCCTTGACTACCCGGTAGGCAGAGCGTGGATGGTAATGGACGTCCTTCGTGTAGTAAGCCGCCTCATCGTTGAATGCAGCGCGGTTCCAGATATATTCCACCAGGAGGTGGCCGTAGAAATGCTCCGGCTTGTCCGGGTCATAGGTGGAGGAGCGGATCCCGGACCGCTTGAAGAAGCATTCGCCTTCGGGGTAAGCGAAGGACATTTTTTAGTATGGAAGAAGATCCAGATAGCTCTTGATGTGTAGTAGTTCAAAGAGTTGAACTAATATATGCTCTGAGTGAGAACGTGGAGTTTGCAGATATTTATGATCATCAAGAAGGGGGCGTCCATCTCAGTCGATCTGTATTTTGCTGGGAACAGAGCTGAAGAGCTGTGCAACCCACCTCCATGCGAAGAACAATGAAACACCCTCCTTTCGCTGGCGGGCACATGAATCATACTTTCAGTTTGACGTATACATTCACATATACCCCGCAAATGATCTTGTGATTCTGTTCGAAGGATAAGCCTACCTAATCATGATTGGGAACCGCTGGGAAAGGAATTTCAGAGATGGTTAGGGCTGGCTGTGGTTCGGATGGTTCTAGACCACACCGATCAACTTAATCGTCTCAGGTAAGACAGCCTGTGTCAGACATGACTGTAAGTCACACCTCAAGCTACGGCCTTCGAGTGCGATCCGTTGAATACGAGATTCCTGTTAACATATCTTCAACTATGATCCTAGCACGAACATCTCAGCGTAGGACCGGCCAAAGAGATGGGAGTCAGGATGCAGGGCCTTTGCGACTGCAAGCTCGATGTACCACGTTGTGTGACATGTTTTACCTTCTGTGCCGTATTTCAGATCCTGGGAAACAGATCCCGAAAAAGGTAGTTCATGCACTTCGGCGTCCTGACCGAAGAGGGGGATAACGGACATCATAAGGTGTCCATGAAGTCTGACTTTGGATCCAGCTGCAGCAAGGATCATTCACTCCCCTCGTGCAAGCAAGAGCTGTTCTCACCGCCCTAAACTACCTATAGTCGAAAGCATATGCAGCAGAGCAAATGAACAGAACGATGTAATTGAAGAGACATGCCCAGGAATTATTACTCACCGCAGGACAAGATAGGTAGTTAGGGGAGATAAGCTCGGTTTCGCTTCACCCGAAATGTGCCACTAGACTCCAGCACTCGTGTAAAACGCGAATCTGTCCCTGAAGTCCTCGGTTCTGCTTAGCAGTCAACAATCATCTTTTGATAGATGTTCCACACGATATATGCACCCGTGATGTGGGTGTTGTCCTCTTCTGTAGCTGGCTCGTGTAGGCGCAAAGGCTCAATTTCCGAGAAAGAGTACAGCCACCTGTCAACCTGAACAATGGATATGACAAATCATGGACTTTCGGCTAGATCCAACCGTTCGAGCTTGTGCAGATAAGAAAGTCCTTTCTTGCAGTGTCGTAGGGCGGCATAGGCGTATCGATTATGTGGCTGTTGGGAGACATGGAGGGTATGCTATGCTCCTGCGGCGGAGTAGAAGTTACTCGGTCATTGCAGCCCCCTAGTGGATCCTGTTTCCTTCATTGTTAGGGACGTGGAGAGGATTGGGGAGTGGATTTGCGCTGGCCTGGCAAGAGGTGAATAGTGCATTAATCACAATTTTCTTCAAGGGGGGGCAAGTGTAATGGGTATCATGGATGGGCAGGTTTGTTTTCATCGGACGGAAACCGGTTGTTAGTCAGTTATAGTGACTGTACCTGATCGAGCTCACGGTACTGTTGCGATTGACCCAAATATGAAGATAGTGCACGAGAACTTCCAATTCAATTTGTAGTAGTGTTGATCAATGCCAAATGATCTCGTTGGCATCGCTTTCATAAAGGGACGATACGAATGTAGATAAAGCTAAAGATGATGGACCACAGTCAGGGTCAAACTGATGCTATATGGGGTCGATCGGTAGAATTAACATAACCTTCAATAATGATAACTTTCAATAACCTTCGATAATGGAGCCTGATAGGCACCGCGCAGCATGTATCTAATAAGCATGGAACCAGCCAAAGAAGTAATTACTTGAGATGCGATTAGGAACTCGAAAGCAGGAGAGGTGGCCCTTCCTCGGTTTATCAAGTATTTCAAAACCAAATAACTAGCTCAAACAAAAACGAGGAAGAAGAAAAGAAGGCAAACGGGGCGCTAAGAAAAGTCCTCCTCTTGCGACTCGATGTTGTTCTTAATCCGCAGCAGGAGCGTCGTCTTCCACTTATCCAACTTGCTGAGCTGGTCGTACTGGAAAAGCTTGTCGGCGAAAGCTTCCTGGTCGCCTGCTTCACAGGCCTGGACCAGGTCGACGAGAAGCTGATGCTCACGCGTGGAGGCGAAGGTGGTGTCGATGTCGCGGTAGTTTTCGAGGGCACGGTTGGTGGCGACCAAATCCTATTTTCGATGTTAGGCAGTGGAGGATGTTAGAGGTTGACAGTAAACCAACATTCGTCGCCAAGTGGCAGATACCAGCCTTGAGGAAGTAGTCCTTGACCGACCACTTCATGAGGTTGTTGTTGATAGATGAGCGGCCAATGCGCTCGTAGTGCTCGATGGCCTTGTAGTAGTCACCTTCGAGGGCAGCCAGATCCGCAGCCTTGAGGTAGTGCTTGTTCGCGAGGCTGCGTTTGCAAGATTAGCTCTGCCGGATAGATGGCCCGAACGCTTCATCTCTGAAGGGTAGAACATACGCTTCAGCATTATCACCCTCAAACCATTCCGCTGCCTTCTCATAGGCTTCCAGAGCCTTCTTGTTGTCACCCAGTTCCACCTCATACACTTCGGCCAGATGTTGCTGCTGCGACGCAGCGCGACGGAGGTTCCCCTTGAGCACGTAGTGTTGGATAGCGCTGGAGAGCACGCGGGCGGCGTCCTCGGGGTCGGACTTGCGGTAGACCTTGAAGGCCTCGGTCAGGGTGTTGGCAGCGTCATCGGGCTCGTTGAGGTTTTGCGCCTGGATAGAAGCGGCCTTCTCGAACGCAAGACCGGCTTCCTTGTCTGAAAAGGGGGAGAGATTTGGTGTCAGGGTTGAAGTAAGGCGACTCGGAATGCGGTGCGGAGGCTGCTTACTCTGCTTCTGAACTCGGAAGGCATTCGCAGCCTGCGAGTACAAGTCGGCGGCATTTTCATATTTCTCTGTGCGCCCACCGAAGAAGCTGAAGCCACCAGATGCGCGACTCAGCGCTTGATCAGCCTAAAGAGTGGAGGAGCATGGAATCAGTGATCGTCATTCATTTGGAGTCGGGTATGATAACGTGGAGGAACAGCGGGGCGGGGGAGTGGGATAAGGAGATTTTACTTTTTGGAGAAGAACTCGAGGATCTTGAGCCATGTTGAACAGCTGAAACTTATTTACCGCAGAAGAGAGCAGAAGTTATATTCCAGCTAGAGCAAATAAAGGATATTGGAGATATGAGAGCGGCTCAGCCAGCAAGATGAGGAGAAGATGGAGGGCGAACTGAAGCGTTCAAGGTTGCCGTCACTAACAGCGGGCGGGATCGAGAGCTTCCCTCCACATCAACGTAGGCGGTGGGCTGTCCCGCCCTTTTATTGGAGGACAGCCATTATTGTTGTGAGGTGCTTTTTGCTCTCTTCCCTTCCTCCACCGCAGTTCACTGGGTCTCAATCTCCAGCCTGTCTTGCTTGTTTATCTCTCGCTTTGGCTTTTACAATTGGCACAAGTTGTCTACTACATTGTTCAATCTGACCTACTACTTGCGCAACGTTTTACGCACTCATCATCACGACCGACATGTTCTTGCGCCGCAGCAGCTCACGGCTATCCGCCTTGTTGCGCCGTCAATCTCCGCGCTCCCTTGTCGCCAAACATCGCTCATATTCTACTTCCCAGCCTCAAGGACAAGATGACATTGACGCAATTCTTGCAAAGCCGACTTGGTCTGTCCGCTCGCTGCTCCCCGACGAGACCGATAAGCCCTCCATTCCCTCGGTGACTCCCGAACAGCTTCGCCATCTGCTCCGCTTGTCTGCACTGCCCCAACCCGCGAACGAGGAAGAGGAGAGAAAAATGCTCGACACTCTGGAGTCCCAGATCCATTTTGTGAAGCAAATCCAGCGCGTCGATGCCAGCGGCGTTGAGCCTCTACAAAGCATCCGCGACGAGACTCCTGAAGCGGTGAAGGAAAACACGATTGGTCTGGAAAAGCTCAAAGAAGCCTTGTCCAAGGAACGGGTTGTCGGACGCAACAAGAGGATTCAACGAATTGAATCGCAAAGGAACGAGCGACCGGACGGAGACATCTGGGATGGAAACGCCCTCGCATATGCTTCCAAGACCAAAGGCAAATTCTTCGTTGTGGATACCAAAAACTAAGCGCTTCTTTCTGAAGGAGAAAGAGATCAAAATCAGGCACTTTGCACACACGCTGGAAGGCTGATTCAACTTAGGAGTGACTTACGTGATTGTTTCAGCTGCTCGAAATAACCGGGGGCAGTCTGGGCGCTGAGTCAGCCGTGATCTCATCTCCGCTGCAAGCGGCGACCTCCTGATTTCTGTCTCACTCACTGATGCCTACGTGATTGCAGCTTGTAAGACACCCCTTAGCATCAATTGATGTAAATCTCCGACTGTGGTCATCCGCAATCATGTGGAAATCGTTCAAAGAGAAACATGCTAGCAAATTCGGGTCGGGCCATGCTACGCCGCCTGCTCCGTCCCCGAGCGACCGCGGAGCAGATCTGACAACCATCCTCGACCGCCCGCAGCGCGCTGACTTGACTGTTCTGGTCGCTGAGGCAATTGAGCAGATGCGAAATGGCATTGTCGCTAATTTCCATGTCGCTCCTCCGGCCATCCAGGAGACTACACATGACTTCTCTAAACATGAGGAGGACGAGGAAGATACGGACTCCTTGTTTGATCCTCTTGAACATCACGAGGACGAAAGCTCAAACGACCGTGCTCCATCGGAAGTAAAGACTTCGACCAAGGATCTTCAACTCGAGGCCAAAGCTCTCGCGGGCTTTGATGACTGGAGAGATACCGTCCTGCTCCGGATCGGGGAAGTAGTAAATCGGGACGATGATGCTCAGACTGAATCCAGCCAATACGACGCATCGCAAGAACTGCCCGAGCCACGACTGGAACAGGATGAGACTGCTTTGAAGAAACTTCGTGAGGTTTATCCTCCGGTCGAAACGCCTCTCGTGCACCTGCCCAGAGCGAAGAAGCTGTTGATCCTACACTCGTTATTACTGTTGATGCTGAGTCTAGAGCACTACAATGCTCGCTCACGGGTACTAATGCTGTACGTATCGTCTTCCTTAGACCTTGACGTCAAGATCCTCAATAGAGACGAAGTCAAGGTTGCACGGGGACTGCTCGACACGGCTCTTCAGCTTTCCCAAGCCGAGGCCAAAGAACCTGGGAAGCACCGCGATTCGTCTAGAAAGTGGAAGGTTGGAATAGCATCTGTCGCAGGAGCCGCGTTGATCGGCATCACGGGCGGGCTCGCCGCGCCTCTTGTTGCGGCTGGTCTTGGCACAGTTTTGGGTGGGCTTGGCCTTGGCGCCACAGCCGCTGCTGGCTACTTGGGCGCCTTGGCTGGTAGTGGTGTCATCGTCGGAGGGCTCTTTGGTGCTTACGGAGGCCGCATGACGGGTCGCATGGTCGACAAGTATGCGCGGGAAGTGGACGACTTCGCCTTCCTGCCTATTCGTGGTACCCATCGAAGGTCGGAGGACGAGAGGGAGGCAGCTGAGAATGATCATATGCTGCGAGTCACAATCGGCATCTCAGGTTGGGTGACGGAAGAAGACAACTATGTTGTCCCGTGGAAAGTGATTGGCAGTGACTCAGAAGTATTCGGTCTACGTTGGGAAAGAAAGCCGTTGATGAAGCTCGGCAACGCCATGAACTATCTTGTCACGAGTGCTGCCTGGGCTGCTGGAAGTCAAGTCCTGTCCCGTACTATCTTTGCTCAGATTATGAGCGCAGTCATGCTACCCCTGGGGCTACTCAAGGTTGCCCGCGTTGCGGACAACCCATTCAGCGTGGCCAAGGCTCGTGCGGACAAGGCCGGTGAGGCACTTGCGGATGCCCTGATCAGCAAAGTACAGGGCGAAAGATCTGTCACGCTGATCGGCTACTCGATGGGCTCCCGGGTTATCTTTTCTTGTCTACAAACCCTCGCCAAGCGGCAGGCATTCGGCTTAGTGGAATCAGCGGTTCTCATGGGTTCACCTACTCCGTCTAACGCACCTCACTGGCGCCGTTTACGCAGTGTTGTCAGTGGTCGATTGGTCAATGTGTACTCTGAAAACGACGCCGTTCTCGCGCTACTGTACCGAACCAGCAGCCTTCAGCTTGGTGTTGCCGGTCTACAGCCTGTGCAGAGTGTGTCCGGGGTGGAAAATGTGGACGCCAGCGACTTTATCAGCGGCCATCTGCGGTACCAATTCCTGGTTGGACGCATTCTAGGCGTGGTGGGTCTAGAGAGTATCGATGCTGACGAAGTGGCTCGGGAGGAGGCAGCATTGGAGGTCAAGGATAGAAAGCAGGAGCAAGAGCGCCTGCATAATGAGCGTGCCGCTGGATTAGATGGGGATGAGTCCGCGCGGCGACTTCTGGAGAAAGGCGATGCGCAGGATGAAGAGAAGATACAAAGTGAGGTTGACCAGAAGACCAGAGAGGGCTTGTCTCAGGATCACGAAGTGCGCCCTGTTCAAACTAAGAGTCCAATCAACCAGTGATGCGTATTGAGCTGTATTCACTGGAGGAGAATTGACAGGCTCCTTAGGTCAATAGAACCTGAACCGAACTGGATTGAATTGCGGAATCTCGAGCGATGTTCATTTAATTATTGGTACCTTGAATCACCCGTATTGACAGACCGTATTCACACCGTAGATTCCAAGATTCTCTATCATCCAGAGCGCTTCTTATTCAATGGAACCCTAAGAGATGACACCCCCCGTTGTCAACAACTTCCTCTTCCTCTACCACAAACCATCCCTCCACGTCCACCCACATACCAACCAACACACCTATCTCCATCAAACTTATCTTCTCTTTGTCTCTTCTACTTCCGAGATTATGGAATTGGCAGTAGCCCACACTTGACAAGGTCTACATTCCAACCGTGACCCACTGGAAGTCTTGAAATCCGGCTCAACAAGTCAACTCCAATGACCTTCAACCCGAAAGACTCCACAAAGGCTAAGAAACCAATAGAATCAAGACCTCCACAGGTAAGAGAGGTTTAGCAAGAATTGGAAGCCTGGTCTAATGCTCGAAACATAAGAAATGCAGCTTCCAGACCATAATCAACCTTACCTACTACATTGAAACAAAGGGTGCACCAGGACCCTTCCACCAAACCTCCTATTTATATGGGCTTGTGCAATGCGGCAATTTACCACGACTACGTCGCGATATACCGAATGCTGGTGGCCGGCCAAATTCTGATTTGAGAAGACGTTGACGAAGTATCTCTAGTTAAGACCTCGTCGTGAACTGTGGCCGATGTATGTCATCGAAGCAGACTTTTCTAAATCGACACTCCTGAGACAGGACATAATTGGTGGATTGGCAATTCGCAAGGCCAGAGTCCTGCTTGCCTTGCTCATCCAAGCCGTTAGGTGCTGGCCATATTGGCCGTGCTATAACTCCTGAAAAGAATTTCCCGTACCCGCGTCCAAGGCCTAAGGCCAAGGCGAAAGCCGCGGCTCCTAAAGGAGCCATCCATACTCCAGAGCATCTGCGTCGGCAAGCTGAGTGTGGCAAACAGCGCTTTCGGGACTTACAACCTCACACATGATCAAGAGAAACTAGACTTCCTTGAAACGTGGTAGAGACTTGGGAGTGCTGATGGGTAGGGTATCTATCCCATAGCCATACATCGGGCACTTTCGCTAATGGACAGTATAGGTCAAGTCTTACAATTGTCGATATGGGTACGTGACCACGTACGATCAAACGAGATTGGCCAAAAGGGCTGGGATATACAGGTTTCAGCTGTTTAAGAGTTTCTCGTATAGATGCACACTTGAGCACCTCCATTGCTTCCACCCGTAAAGCACAGAAACCACCATCACCACCACCACAAAAACAACTGCTGCTGCCACTAAACTGTCTGCAAGTCAATCTATTGAACTACAATTGCCTTCGCACTAGCCTTGAGGGTATCCGACAGTAGATCAAAATGATCACCAACTTTACCACCAAAGCCACGGCCACGGGAGGTAACAATCAGGCCCAACTTGGAAGAGGAGACTGCTCTCGTGGTGAACAGAGACTTTCATCCCGACACGAATGCTGCTGCAGATGCGGTCAATCCCCTATAAACCCCGGAACCGACTCAACGGGACCACGGTCATCGCACCGGGAGAGCAAACTTCTCCAGCAGCGGGGGCAACTCTACCAGGGAGAAGAAGCCTGAGTGTCATGTCGGGAGGGCAAGGGCCACTCCGCCGAATGCGTGGCAATGTCAGACCGGTCAGATCGTGCGCGTAACCATCGCGCATGTGTCAGCTGCATCTACTCTACTTCTCAGAAAGGGTCCCTGTGCGACCGCACTTGAAGTCCATCTCTTGAATGAAAACAAAGCTCTTGTTACAATGTTCCTTTCCTGGTGTCAGCGTCTTCTCTACGACATAGAGAAGTGGTTTCTTGCGGAAGACAAAAAGAACCTCAGCTTTTTGTCAAAGCCGCTAAAGCAGTGGCCCCTGGACGGAGCAATCCATAAGAGGATTGCCGGCATTCGTTAAGTCGAACTCATTGTCGTACTCATCGCGATTTCGAATCCGTCCTTATCACCAATCTCCCGTCCCCATCTCCTGGCTCATCGACATGTATCAAGACGTCGATTAGGTATTCAGTATCCGGTCAATGGACTCGCATTTCCTTTGTACACCTTCAATCAAAGACAGCTCGAACAGCTCCTGCGCAGCAGCAACCCAAAGTTTGACTATTGGGCTCTTACTATTGCTTGTGCTCAGGGTAGCCTGCGGCGGCAGCAGCAGCAGCACCACGCACGGCAGAGAGAGGCATAAGAAAGATATCATCATGACGCAACTGACTCGTTTCTCATATCCGAGGCAGCCAGTCCGGTACACCGGTACATAGATGGAATCTCACCATATGTACGGGTTTTTCGCGACATACCATCTTACCTGGTTCGTGCGTTGAGCTTCCGGAGGAATCAGATTTAGCGGCCTCGGGGTCTATGGCACCCCTAGGAGGGGGAGAAGAATGAACATTTCTTCAACCCAACGGGTTTCTGCCTTGTGTAGGACAGTCATCCATCCGCTGTGAGGATGCGAACCATGCTGATAACTACAAAGCTCACTGGAATCTGGTCACAGAAAGGACAAGGGAAGGGAAGGGAAAGGGGCGCAAGTCAAAGGTCGAGGAAAGCAGCCTACAACTGATCCCTGTCCCATACGCCTGACTTTCGTCGATGACGGTTTTACGCATCTTGGGGACCAGTACCGTCGGTCGTCCACGGCGACGAAGACCACCCGCGCACGTGGGTTTGTTGTACGATGGAAAGGGCACGCACACGCACGGACCTGAGCATGAAGTATGGATAATCGACAAGCATATGGGCGCATATGGCTTGGTAGCAGAGTTGCAAGAAACGCGAGTAAGGGATATCGCACCTACTTACTTTATTTGGGAGCGGGCAAAGAACCATGCAAAATTGTGCGAGTCGAGGGCGATGAATGGGATGGTGTATGTGGAAAAACTGCTGATCCAAGATGGGTCTGAGGCTGTTTAGCGGAAGGAGATGCAAGATGCAAGTTGTGCTGGGAAGAGTTTCGCATCCGGCGTTCTTCTGTATTCTATACCATCATGAATATTGTCTGGAGACAGGAGGAACTACTTGAGGATGTTACAATTGATGCTGTACAGGTCAGCTTGTGACTTGCTGCTTACCACAGTGCTACTGTTGACTTGCATGACGGTGCACAAAACGTGCAGATATTTGACATTATGACATTAGAAGATTAGCGAAATCCAAAGACCAAGATATGACATATCCATCACTCAATCCATTAACCAATCAGACAGAAAATTCCTAAGCTCGCAGCCTCCCGAGCGCTCATGCACAGAATGATGAATCCACCTCAGTGTAGGTCGCTGTAACCCGACCCAGCGCAACGGCCTGGTTGTTGGTCAGGCTGTTCATGGCTGCCTCAGCAATGTTGAAGCCACCGGGAGCCGCATCAATGGCCGTCACATAGATCGAGGTGGTGCCGTAGGTCAGCTGGTAGCACTTTCCGCAGTTGGGACTGCCCCAGCCCGACACGGTGGGAGCACCTCCAATGTTGGGGAAGCCCGGGATGTCGGCAAAGGTAGCGTAGTTCAGGTTGGAGCAAGAGACGGTGTTGATGGATTGGCTGCCAACATCAAACACTGTGTCGTAGGAGACGGAAACGCTGACGGCCTCAGCGGCCTCGGTAGTGGTCTCGACTGGCGAGGCTAGAGCGGAGGTGTAGAAGACACTGAGAACAGCCAGAGCAGATGCGAATGACTGCATCTTGGAGTAACGAATATTGTCTGGGCTGGGAGAGTATGACGAGGTTGTTGCTCTTGGTTTCTTGATTGCGTGGGTAAGAGGATGTGTGTGATGAACTTGATGAGCAGGTAATTTGAAGTGTCCGAGGAGCGGTTTATATAGCCTTCTCTTTTCATTGACTTGGTCGCGAAGCGGTGTGTTATCGAAGGTAGGCTCGCTCAGTGGTTGCCTTGGATATGACCTACCTGGTCAACGTGCTGCTATCATCCGTCGCATCCGCCTAAGCACTGGAGGCCTGATGCTGGGAATAGTAACATGATCACAGAATATATCGTCCACGTATTCCGAACTAGGACAGTGACAGGTATAGATCTGCACACAACGAGGCGGGAGTGAGACATCCCCCCTCATTTGGCGGAGAGCAACACCACATCAGTAGTGAGCGGGAGAGACATGCGGGGGTGGCAGGGACCGCAGCACAGACAATCCGGACCAGTCAGAGCAAACGAGCTCGGGCTTGGGATGAGACATACAGCCTTAGAGGCATTTGCTGCTCTCTCATCCGGCTACCTCCGACTGGGAAAAGAACAGGTGACTTGTCTTGGAGGCTGTGGGTTGACTGGGAATGGATCCTATTCATAGAACATCCAAGTAATACAACTGCAGCATGGCCAGGTCATGCAACCCCATGCCAAGCGACTCAGCATTCCTTCCCGTTTTCCTTCTAACAACGTCAATCATCAATCTCGACGTTGAAGCTGCATGGGGATATTTTTACTGGTGAGTCAAATATGGCCGATTCGATGATGGTTTGGACCTTGAACCAAAAATCTTCTGCGAAGGCTTGACTACTCTGGGGGGATAGCTTGGCGAATGGTGCCGCTTGATCATTAATTGTTAAGGTCTCATCATGCCAAGAAACGAGACGAGCCATTAGGGAGGGATCGTCGCATCCGGCGTCGAAGCAGCGCGATGCCTCCCGTCGATCAATCCTTCCAGATCCGATGTTCGGAGTAACCCCCAGACAGAAGGTCGGGTACGCACAGTGTAGGAGGTCCGAAGTCCTGAGGTGGAAAACCACGGCCGCATTTGGGTTGGGCCGCGACGGCTTATCCTAGAGATTGAGGTGCCGAACACCTCTAAGGCACTGTGCACCTGGGATAGTTGCTGTATTTTCCCACTGCCGACCGGTTGGAAATCCCTCCAGAAAAGACTTGGTCTCCGCGTTCTTCTTGTTTGTTACCTGCGACAACAACCCATGCCCATTACACCAACAGAATTGAAAGTGTTTTCCGTCGAGGCCCTGTTCATGTACTCTGGATCTGACGTTTGAAGCTGTGTCTGCTGATGACGATGGAGGTATCGGGGTAGCCGCAGTATGGTGGGATGGCACTTGGAGTAGACCACGGTTCGTGGTTAGGAGCTCGTTCCTTGGAACCAGCCTCGCGGCTGGGAAGTTTGGTATAGTTCAGGAACCATGGACGAGCCATCACATGGCTGTTTCTGAAGATTGGCTATCTATGGGCCTCACGAGGTCGTACCCAGCCGATCGGGTCAGCTTCTGGCCACGATGGGGGAATCCCGAGCAATTAAGCTTCAAGACCATGGCTTTGAAGAGGTCCGCTCATCCCTGAAGATCACTGCACAACCCGAAATGAGTCAAGGTTGGAGTAAGAGATGTGATGGCGTGTGGAAGGAATGACTTGGAGGAGGAGTTGAGACAGTTGAGTTGACATCGATGTAGTATGAGTAGTCGAGTTGGTTGTGTTGGTGAGACCTTGAAGAGGAAAGAAAGCGAGAGACACGGAAAGGTCACTTGACTTGCTTCTCTTTCTACTTTGTACTCTTCCTTTTCACCCCACCACCAAATGTCAACTCTGTCAACTCCCTTTCTCAATATACCACAGAACACAATCACCAGCATCTAAACAATGCAAAGATGCTGATACCTTGCATCTTCTCCCACCAACAACCGGTACCAGATTTCTGGGCCGCGATAGCCTTCCACTGGCGGAACTCTTGAGGTCGAGAAGCTTTGTGTCTACGTAAATTCCCTGACTGACAAACTTCGATGGCGTGCGAAAGCGACTAGCCCACAAGCAGTCGGGGGCTGTATGAGCCTGCAGCTACTTGACCCAGCTGCGTTTAGACTCCGTCGCATCATCGGAGAGCGTGCGCTCCAACCATGAAGATCTTTGGCGTAACAGCCCGACTTCCCCGTGCAGATTAGATCGATACTCCGTCCTGCAGGCGATCCTGCACAGAACTTTCGACTTCTTCTCGAGTCCTCTAGCAGACTTCAGGGGATTAGCTGTTCCAGCATGGATCAGCAGTCCTCAGTAAGGAGCTTGTCGCCTGGTCCGCACCAACGGCACCCTTCCGTTCGAAGAAGATCCGGTTACAGATTGACGTAAACACTCATTGAGTATCTTCTGGCAATCAAAACCTGGCAATCTTCCTCTCCTCTGGGATTGAGCGTCTTTTCTAGACTTCCTCGCAAATCGGCGGTTGTGCAGCAGCGCAACGGACTCGGAGAATACTAATAAAAATGATTTTGTTAGATGCAGAAGTGGACCCCGCGAACGAAGACCGTGCAGCGTGCAAGCTACGGAGTACTATTCCTGCTAAATCCTGCGCTAGCAGTATGCGAGCTTAGCATTTGGTGTTTTGGTCCCTGTGGTCCACTCACTAACCCGCACTAAGCTTGACCCATTGTCAGATTTTCGGATGCTCCATACCAGATCTGTGTGGCCCCTATCCGGGTCTGCAGTCGGAAGAGGCAAGACGTGTGGATGGTCACGGCCAATTGTGCTGGCAGGATTCAACTAGAAGGCGAAGCGAAAATTAAGGATGCTTCGCGGAGAATTTAGACTGGACGTTGCCATGCATGATAACCCAATTTCTAGCCTGCCAGTCCCTTAGCATCCTCAACAACCTTCTGCCCCAGGATTTAAAGCCTGCGCCTGTCACTTTTCTGAGCCGGCTGGACCCTGGTACCTCTGTCAACCTAGCACTTTGGATCTAGGTACTCTTACACCGGGAGATGAACGATGCCTGCTCTGTCACTACTGTCACACCTGCTGTACAGCAGTGATGCTGGTCGCGCCCATCTTGCAGGTCGGTCGACCCCGCAGGTCGGAATCCTCACGGCCAGCGACAAAGCAGGGTTCATCGCCATGGGTGTTGTCGCTCTCTGTTCTTTTGTTGCATCCTTCGGTCTGCTGTCATTCCTTACCTATCGTTTCATCTTCTGGCGTCAATACTACAAGCGTCCGCTGGCACAGAACCAGTACGTTGTCTTAATTTATAATCTCCTCCTGGTCGATCTCCAACAAGCAACGGCATTTTTGTTATGTCTTCACTGGGTTTCCAAAGGCTATGTCTACTATCCAAGTGCACCCTGTGTTCTTCAGGGATGGTGGATTCAGATTGGTGATCCTGGAAGTGGTCTGTTTGTCTTGGCGATCGCCATGCATACGGGTGCCGTGGTTCTGCGAGGTCGACAGTTGCCATTCCCGATCTTTGTCGCCAGTGTCGTGGGCCTTTGGATATTCATCATCATCCTTGGTCTCATTCCCGTTGGCTTGTTTGGCTCTGAAACCTTTGTTATATCCGAAGCAGGCTGGGTAAGTGGTCCTGAAGTTGCTTGGTACACGGTTTCAAAAACTAATCTTTCTGTCACATCTCCAGTGCTGGTTGAGTCCACAACACGAGACGGAGCGACTATGGCTGCATTATCTATGGATTTTCCTCGCCGAATTCGGTACCGTCATCCTTTACGGAATCATGTTTTTTTACCTCCGACGCCGTATGCAGGAGGCGGCGTCTCTGCGTCAGAATCACCAAGAAAACTTGAAGCGATTGAACCGGGTGGTCGTTTACATGGTCATTTATCCTTTGGTTTATCTGGTGCTGTCGCTTCCGTTGGCGGCTGGCCGCATGTCAACCGCCCGGCATATTGTTCCTAGCCGTGCTTACTTTGCGGTGGCCGGGACCCTGATGGCTCTGTCGGGCTTGGTGGATGTGGCGGTGTATACCTTGACTCGCCGCCACTTGTTGCTGGAAACTGAGCTCAGTGCCTCGGACAGGATGTATGCTTACACGGAGTCGGCGGCATACCAAACGCACATCACGACAGGTCACGGCCACAGCGAGACGAAAAAGCCGCGCATGAAGACTCGATTTCGGCGGGGAGGCCTACAGAGCATCAACGACACGGTGGACGACAACCGCGACTCGTCTACCGAAGACATTGTGCGCAAGACGGACATGGAACTGGCTGATCTGGGACATGGCGTGTACCAGGAGACGACCATCGAAATTTCGCACGAGCCAGCTGAGCCCGAAGATTTTCAGAAGATGAATCGCCACAGCGGGTGATGCCGGTGGAGAATTCAGCCGGATTCTTACTCCACCTGCCATTCATTCCCTAGATTAATTTTTTTCTTTTTCTTTTTTCTTTACCCCTTCATCCTCCTGTGTGGATACAGTCACTCTTTCTACTTACTGAGCATATCTCACCCCTTGTCACGATCTTTCTTACGAGAATATCCATGATCACTATACCAATTCCTGTATCTATAATGTACACCTAGGTTGTCCATTGAGGGCAATTGATAATCACTAATAACTTTCTTCCTGGTGACTGTCTGACGCGGCCTGTCAATGCTGTTTGCTGTGTGATTACGGATACCTCCCCCTACTTTCCGGTTGCACGTTCAATTGTCAACCCCACCGACGGACACTGAAGCGGATACGAAGCCGGCTGCCCTGGATGGCACTGCCCCGACCAATGGGCGGTCTGGAAGGGCAGTCGGCATGAAGATCGACAGGCCGGCCCCACAACGTGGAAGCTTGAGCCGGCGAGAAATCTGATTGGTCTCCACCTCGTCGGCTGCCGCACTAGGCCTACTCTGGAGGTACTCTGGTTTTTCCCTCTTCGGCAACTCCCTGCGGCTCCAGCTCCGACTCGCTCAGTCACTTCTCAATGAAACAGGGGCTGGATCGTCACCAGCATCGACTGGCAATTAAAGTTTTCTACCAGCTTCTCGGTTGTTTCCCGTTTATACGAGATGCCTGCTGGTTCTGGTGCTGCTAGTCTCCGGAGCAAAGGATGTCGCAGAGAGACACGGCAGGAAAACCTTCATCTGTCCGGATACTCGGGTCAAGCGAGACTGCATGATGCATTTGCTAGTCAAAGAGAGGGTCGAGTAGCTACCTAGTCACCGGTAGGCACCTACCTTGATGTCGCAGTCCCTTGCGTATCTAGCGGCCGACACTTGCTAGCATACGTCTGAGTTAAAATACATACATCTGCAGCATGAGCTTGGCGGCACAACCAAGCACCTGTCTCTCCTGCTGTCGCTGGCGCTGTCATCTCTGCCACTGACTCGCCGCCAACTTACAGCATACCTCTCCTCTGGGCAACCATTCCCAACGTGGTCATCCTTACCGACACGCGTTCCAGGATACCTGAGCTGGTCGTCGACGGCAGCAGGTTCTTCGCGTCTGTCGCCTAAGCGATCCACTTATACGCGCACACACCCTTCCCGGTGGCTGCGCAGCTGGCAAATGACAGCCTGCGTGAATTTCGAGTCGAGCGTCATTTTCGAAGCCGAAGCGATGAGTGGCTGTGGCTGGAGCTACGTCCCGTAACTGTGGATGTGGCTTGGTGGCTGAGGTCGGAACCGTGGATGGTACCCAGTGGGCCAAGACTTCGTGATTAGTCCGTGATTCCTCGCGTGCTGTGTTAGTAACGGTAACAAGGAGGTGGATATCGAGAGACTACGATGCATGTTCGAGCGTGTTGAGAGGTGGCAGGGCGGTTGATGATATCTTTGCGTGACTTGGGACTTGGATGTAAGCTGTGCGACAGTCATTGGTCGGGTTTCGTCTAGATGGAAGAATGATTCGCAACACTATGGCGATCATAACGAACTGGAGATGAGCATGGATAAAGTCAGCTCCGTGTGTTTTGGTTGGGTTCCGTTGGCTAGAGGTGCTCTAGACCCATGTTCTTGCGATGAGATTGGAGGAAGAGCAGCCGGTGTTGTGTATTACTTACTGTTGGATGACTTCGATTGTTCCTTCCATAACTTAGTCATTCTGGTTATGAACATGCTTGGACGATCCTTCACCGACAAAGCCATTGTCTGTTGGTCAGACTAGATTCAATGACACTGAACTGCGTCAGGACAGGGCATGGCATCATTGTTAGCTATCATGGCTCACATTGCAGCCATGGTTCATAGTATATTAGCATAACATTTTCTAGAGTGAGGACGAGTTTTATAGCTGACAAGGCCATGTTTAAGTATAAGCATGAAATTTGATAGGTTGACATCTATGCCCTCATTTCTCAAATATTCGTGTCTACTCCGATGCTGATCTCTCGGTTTCCTTCAGTCCTAGAACAGGTATGTTCCTCCCCAGCCTTGAGACCAACAATTCACCCCAGGAGAAGTCACATATGTCTGACTCCATCCTGGTAGTCTAGTTATGCACTTGATAAGGGGTGCTATCCCGGACCCGTTCCCCTCCCCAATTCATTCATATCTACTAATCTGGCCCGATATCATGTCATATATATGAGATACGCCCTTCCATGATCAGAATAAAGTCTGAAGTTCTCAGCAAGAAAGACGATACTATCTTGCCAGATATCAGGAACAAATCTCATACCCACAGCCTACTATCTCACCTACTGGAACTACCTCAACCCTTGGTCATTTCACACCACACGGCCACATATATTTCCCGCTGACTCGACACACAACACCATAATTTATCATTGCAACCTGCAATTAGCACTACAACCAAACCGCCATTCAGCATAAAAAAAACACTCTCAAATATCCGATTACCCCAAGGTACATAATATAGCCAGGTATCCAACACCCGCACCCCCCTCTCCCACGTAGTCGGCTATAACATGGACATCTCTAAACCCCTTCGACCCCGTCGTCGGCCCCTAAGGTTAGCGCCGGCCCTAACCTAGTCTAGCCTACCTCCCTATTCCCATCTAATATCTACTACAAGACACCGCCTCACCCTAACGTCTTAGCTTCGCGACCCGGCACTTTTATTTTCATCTCGAGGTTACCGTTTCCAACAGAGGAATGGAGAAAGGGGAAGGAGAAAGACGGGACTAGACTAGCGGAACGGGCGGATGAGGATCCCCGATGCTGATGATCTGAAATTGGAGTTGCGATGTGGTAATTGTTTCCACTTGGGTTGGTCTTGCTTCGATTGAGTCATGTTGTTGGGGACTGACTTACTCATGTAGGGGGGGAGGGGGAGTGTGTGTGTGACTGAGGCGATGGACTGATTAATGAGGTGGGTTGGGTTTGTTTCTTACGTTGGTAGGGGTGATGTATGCTTATAGTAAATTTGAGTGATGAGGTAGGGTTTGTGATTGTTGGTGGTGGTGCTGTGGAAAGTGTATATATGGATGGTTCATTGTCGTTAAGTTTCATCGATTGTGTCGTCGCGTCTCTCGATTTTGTGTTCCACAAGCTTTGAGAGAATTCCTCAAGCAAGATGTCCATGATTCCATATGGCCTCGACTTTCCTTACTTCTACTCCTCACAACGTGTTTGTTTTGGTCCGAGACGGAGCGGAGACACTCGGGGTTCTGGTCCCGCTCCCCGATACTATGATCCACCGGAATGGTCGTGACGTTCTTGCTCCTGGAGGCGTGGGGATGCAGAGTATAACATCAGAAAGTAGTATGTAGATTGTCTGATGTTTAGGATTCGTTGTTGTTGTAACGTAAGTTAAAGAACTATATCATAGTCAAAAATCTCGAATATGGGATCTGAACGTACGGGGGCGCAAGGTTCAATGGTCAGACGATGCCAAGCCAAGGCTGCAGTGGGGGGTTCAGAGGCTCAAAAAAGGGCAGAGCGGGATGGTATTCAGGTCTGTCGTACGGGGCTACCGGTTGTGGATCGGAGGGTTGGTGCTCGTGCTTGTGCTCGTGGCTTTGGTTTGATGGAGGGTGCTTGTTTCACCGCTGTGATCAGATCACTGGTTGGTAAGGTTGGTGTAGCGACAGGTGAGATGTGCGTTTCTGATTCTTCTATAGTACAAGTCTATCGTCTCATGCCACAACATCCAGCATCTCCTCCACTCGCCCGAACTTGTCGCGGGTCTTCCCCTTCTCCTGGCCGCGCGCGCGCTCGGCGCGGTCAATCTGCTGCCAGTCTTCCCAGCTCGTGGGTCGCAGGCCGCGCTTCTCGGCCTCCGGACGAACGCCCTCCCAGCCGAGGCCGGTGCTCTTGTTCGGACCGTTGAGCGAGATTTGGCCCCTTACATCGGCAGCAATGGCATCGGCCGTGGTGAACGCATCGGTCATCGTCGTGGCAATGACGCCCGTCGGACCGCGCTTGGCCCAGCCAGCACAGTACAAACCGGGCAGATGGGAGATGATCGAGCCATCGGGAAGCTCCTGACGATCGCCGGTCTCGGTGCGGCTGGTGATCCGCCCGAATCCATCGTTGGGGATCACTCCGCGCTGTGCATCGAATTGGACTCCCAGGTCTTCCATGCCCGGCAGCGCGAGCGACTTGTATCCCACGCTCCGGAAGAATGCGTCCGCGGGAAGGTCAACAGTAGCCCGCTCGCCGGTCGGAATATATTGAGGGGTCACTTTGGCGCTGGCAAGAAATGGGTCGGACGTGTCCAGTTGGTTGCGAGCGAAGGTGACATGTGAGAGGCGGGCCGCGTTCTCGGGGGATGTATGCAGGCTTTCGGGGGAGAGGAGGAAGTCCAACGACCATGACTTCTGTGCTGTGGACGGGTCGTTTGTGGAACCCTTGGCGAGGAGCTGGACCAGTCGTTTCTGGGCGCGAGGCAGCGCTGACATGACTTCTTCGGGAGGGAATAGATCCTTAGGGACCGGGTCGAACGCTACGGATGGTAGCTGGAGGAGTTCGCGGAGCTCTTTGATGGTGAACGCAGCCTAAAGCCCAACGCGGTAAGTTTCTGTGAAGACACAGCCAAGGGCAGTCAAGCAGGACATACCTGCATTGGTCCTCGACGACCCACAACGCGGACCCTTTTGATTTTGCTTTTGAGCAGCTCCTCTACCGCATACTCCGCGATGTCCGTCTTGCGCAATACATCAATATCCGACAGCAAGATCCGGGCCACGTCCAGAGCCACGTTGCCTTGTCCTACAATGACAGCATTCTCCCCAGTGGTCAAGTCTGGAGCCAGATCCCGATGCTCGGGAAGGCCATTATACCAGCCGACAAACTCCCGCGCCGAGTAGACGTTCCGAGCGGCTTTCTCGCCCGGGATGCCGAGCTCTTTGTCCTTGGGTGCGCCGTATGCGAAAACGATGGCATCGTAGTGGGGCTTGAGCGTACTCAGAGGGAGAGACGCGCCTAGTTCGACATTGCCAATGAAGTTGAATCGCGGGGATGTGGCGACCTCGGTAAATTTATCTTCGCAGTTCTGAATTGGACGGATGGTATGTAAGTCATGGATTTGAGCGATGCTCGGTCGCAATGGCTGAACGTACCTTGACCTCGGGATGATCAGGGGCAACACCATATCGGGCCAGACCAAATGGGACGGGCAGCTTCTCGTACATATCAACGACTACTTCGTCCACCTTGGCGAGCAAGCGATAGGCAGCATAGAAGCCGGCCGGACCCGAGCCTATGACGGCGACACGAAAGGGTCTCTCATTCTGTACCACTTGGCTGTATCGACGAGTTTGTTTGACAAAGTGAGCTCGCCGAGGTCGTGTCAAGCCGCGCCACGAGGAGCGAGTGATCTGCGCGGTGCATTGAGCGCAGACATAAGGGGCACGTTGGAGATGCATCGTGTCTGAGGGGGGAGAAAATGAATCACTCACTCAACCACGGGCAAGCCACTTGCAGGGTCCGATGACATCGTATCACGTGATAGCTCTATCACATCCGTTGCCGGGCCGACAATCGGGCGTGTTGTTGACGATCGGGTCGCAAACCATGGAAATGAAGGAACCTGAAAGACGGTGGATGATGGTTGGAGTGTGATTAGTTAACTGATGGATGATGACAGACGCAGCAGCCTGCTTGCTTTGCTGCAGGTGCCAGCCCTGCAGGTGCGCGCTTGCTTCCCCTCCCCTTCACTCCCCATCGCTTTCTCCTCTTCCATTCCTCCTCCTCTTCGTTCCACGGTTCCTACATTCTCCCTCCCGCTGTCATTACTGTCGTTCACTTCCTATTCCTCCCCTCGTGAACCTCTTTCTGCTGGTTGCGACGGGTATTCTTTCTTTCTTTTTAAGCTTATCACACGCAGCATTCCCACATTCCACATTCCTCTCAATCTCTGCTCTCCACCCCGCCTATCGCGTGGGTCAATGCTCTAGTCCTTAGTTCGCGGCGTCGTCGTCATCCATCGCGAACATGGGCGAGTCCGACCCTCCATATTTGTATGATCGCCCCATCCGCCAGCATACAGCTTCGCCACGGTTCTACAGCCAAACCTTCAATCCCAAGGCCGTGACGGAAGCAAGCTGGGCTCAACCGGAGCCGAGAGCGGAAGTCAAAGGTCCTTTGGTTGATCTCAATCGGCACCCGGACTCGGTAAGCATCACCACTACCGATCGTCGGCGTCGTTTGTTTATTCGTGCTCATGATTTCTAGTACTACAATGTTCCCGATCGGACGCGATGGACTCCAATGAGCCCCCACACAAAGAGTAGAGTAATTTACGGAAGAAAGGTGCAACTGGGACTGCGAGTTCTCGCCTTGATCGGTGCGCTGGGATCGTTGTTCTGCTCAATTGTCATCAAGAATGCAGCAAACACCATCATCTGGATCGTGCGAGTGGGGGTAAGTGCTGCACTAGACCACGAGGAGTAGATATGTACTGATCGCGCTCTAGCCCGCTGTGGCGATTTTGCACAACATATACAGTATCTGGCATTTGAGCCGATCTGCGATCAGCAGGCCCCCTGGCTCTCAGGCCAGCTACATGCTGTTCGCTGGAACTCTAGATCTGGGATTAGTTCCGTTCTACGTCTTTTCGGCATTTCTGGGCTACAGGCAGTGGACTGATACCGCCTGGAACTGGACCACGATGCTGAGTTCTGAGTTTGATGTGACAGCCAAGATCGCCGAGTCCACGTTTCTGCTGAGTGTTGTCAACGGAGGGTTGCATGCTCTATCCCTTGGGATCTGCATCTTCTTGGGGATAATCTTCCGCCAGATCCACCGTTTGCCTCCGGACATGAACCCACTGGAAGACAATCTCACTGCGCGCCCAATGAGTCGCAGCAGACAGAGCATCAAAGAGAAGCATGCTAGTTTGTCCACTCTGGATACTGACGTTGGTTCAAGTGAAGATCCATTGATCGATGCTCGCAAAATGCCATTCGTCCACACCCGCGAGAACTCGTACCTCGATGGCTTGAGTCGCTATCCTCCCAGTGTTTCCGACAAGAGACATTCTCAACATTCGCAGTCCAATAAGCGCATGTCGCGGGCCGAGTCGATCCCTCAGCTGCCATTCCAGCAGCCTAATGATATTCCGGACGATATCACTATCAACTCGCCAATCGAGAACCCCGATATTTTCAATCGACCAACCACAACAATCTCACATGGCTCCCCAGTCCGCAAGCCGTCGCCCGCTATGCCTCCCCGGTCTCAATGCGCGAGTCCTGCTTCAGATAATTGGATCGTGTACCCATCTCGCTCTGGGACCCCCGTTGAGGCAAAGACTCAGCATCCAGACCCTCGTGAACCATCCTCCGCATACAGTGCCGCCGAGACACTGACGTCGGCCAAGAATGGGGTCATGGATTGGTTCAACGGCTCGCATCGACAAGATCGGCCTGTTGGACAAGCCATCACAGAAGACGTTCGCGGCGAATATGAGTCAATTGCAGCCAACGAGTTCTACAGCCACAACAATGACGACGACGTTCACGATTTCCTGTACCGTACTGGCTTTTATGACAACGCTGAACAAGACATCGGCGACAACCGGATCGACATTTTCCAAGACAGCGACCATGAACACGAATACCTTGACGAAGAAACTCGGAACTCACTGCGCGTCAATCCCCTTGCCTTGAATCCTCCGACCCCGCAGCCAAGAATCAACGGTATCCGCAGCGTCACCCGCTCGCCAAGCAACAGCAGCGGCCGTATGGCTTTGACCGATATTCCAAACCTATCACCTAACCCGCAACAACCTTCAGACGCAATCTCTACCGACCCAAGCCCGAAGAAGAGCAAGACCTTCTACGGAGACGTATCTCTGGCAGGCGGAGGCAACGACAGTGGTAGTAACAACATGACGCGAAAGGCCAGTCTGGGACAAAAGCTCGGCAAGTTCACCATGAATCGGAACCAGAAGCGCAGCGCCTACGGTGCACTCAAGCAGCACGATGACGATGACAACGACTACCTGCAAGCCGACCCCGTTACTCTGGCTGGCGATCGCAAGGGTCGCGTGGTCAGCAACTCCGGCGCGGACTTTGGTCGAACGACCACGGAGTCGCATCCCGCTGCAACTGCCAAATCTGCCTCGTCAATGTCCTATGGGAACTACCTTGCCGGTTTGGGCGTCGTGGGGGTCGGAAGACGTCGCGAGGTCAGCGGGAAGATCGCGGAGGAAGGCCGGGCGGAGACGAGCAAGAAGCCGGGATTGGAGAGCAGTAGTCCCGCGCGCGGTGACGAGAATGCCAAGCCTGTGCGTGCGGCCGGATGGGCGCGGTTCGCTGGGCTGTAGGCTCGGTGTTATGGGGGATTATATCTTGTGAGGTGATGTGGTTTGTAATTATTTGTGCTTACGGGAGGGTTTCCTTGTGATATTTTTCTTCATGACTCGATGGGTTATTGATTTGGATGGATTATGATGATCTATGTGGATTATGATTGGTTGATTTGATTTGCTTTGATGGATGGGAATTCCCGCTCGGCTGTGATACTCCGTTAGGTACCCCTTGTGTTGCGTATTGTAAGTAGTGTACAGACGTCCATACTGGCTGGATTACAGCAGGAACAAAAATGGAATGGAAGAACATATCAACCAGATATCTGGAACGTTTGTAATACACATATGTACAGCTGGTAAAACCAGAAATAGAAAATATACAACAAGAAAGATAAAGCAACCAATAAGTACACGTCACCTCAAGGCTGAAGAGAATATCAAAAGATGTGTCGAATACATCCCCTTCTAGATTTTAGGGGGAGCAATGGAGCACCTCAAGAAGGAACGCCCTCATACTCCCACCCCTTGATGACGCGCTTATTCCGGCGGGAATTGCGGCGGTTCGCGTTACATTTCACGAACAGGGTCAAGGCGGCGATGATGCAGATGACGATGCCGGCGATGGCGGCCACGAGCACGGTGCGGCGCTCCAGCTCGCCCGGGTCGGCCGCGTACGGACACCCCGCGTCGGGCCCGCCCGTCACCCAGCACGAGGTGACGTCGAGGGAGTTGAGATCCAGCCAGACTTCCTTTTTGGTGGTGGCCGTGGCCGCGGGGTCGAGGATGTCGGACTGCGTGAGGAGGTAGTGGTACAGGAAGGAGTTCTCGACGCCGGTGCGCGGGACGGAGAGCGAGGTGTTGGGCGGGCAGGCGTGGTCGTAGGCGTCGGCGAAGGAGTGCGCCGTCGCGGACAGGCGCCAGGTGAACGGGGCGGTGCCGACGCGGCAGGCGGCGTGGCGCGTGAGGCTGCAGTTAACGGCGCGCCAGTGTCCTGCTAGGGTGAGGTCCATGACGGCGCAGTGGTTGTTTGTGGAGGTGTCTGAGTCGGAGTCTGAGGATGACGTTGAGGTGTCGGCGGGTTGGTGGATGGACCAGGCCCAGGAGGTGGCCATGGAGAGCTGCTCGTAGGGGGTGATGGTGTCTGCGGCGGTGGTGTTGAAGAGCGTGTCGTTCAGCGATGGGGTCAGGCCGCAGGCCGTCAGGTTGACCGAGACCGCCGACATCTCCTGGATGGTGGCATTGCGCGACTGTCCGGTCGGGATCGGGATGTAGTCGGAGATCGCCCAGGAGGAGTTGGCGTCCGCGATGCTGCTGGCGCCCGGCACGTAGTAGCAGGTCGAGTCGAGCTGGCCCGCCGCGTCGACGGAGATGGAGATCGTCGAGGACAGGAAGTGCGCCGGGAAGATCAGGCTGTGCGCCGCGGACAGGTCGTACCCCTGCAGCTGCGGGTCGACGGTGCCGTATTCCACTAGCAGCCGCTTCTCGCGCGCCAGCTGCACGAACTTCCCGCACGGCCACCCGTCCGGCGTGCTCTGGATGCCCTTGGCGTCCGAGTCCACGGTGAAGTACTCCGCGATCGGCTTGTAGCTGTCGTCCACCTCGTACCAGGATTCGTTGAGGTTGGCGCGCTCCGAGGCGAGCTCCGACGGGGTGTAGACGTACGAGGAGAGCTGGTGGTCGAAGATGGAGTTGAGCGTGTCCGAGCCCGTGGGCAGTTGGCCGCCGGTCAGCTCCGAGGCGGCTTCGTCCGGGTGCGCGGCGCTGGCGGCGGCGTGCAGGTTGAATGTGACGAAGCGGATGTATGCGGTCAGCTCGGTGCTGGTGCGCTGGAACAGGCCCCGGAGCACGTCGATCAGCCCGTCGAGGTCGACCTTGGTGGTGCACCGGTAGGAGCCGAGCTCGTAGAGCAGCGACCCCGAGGAACTAGCCGTCGCGGTGACGGTCGCCTGCGCGGCATTGGTCGCGGTCGCGGTCGCGGTTTCGGTCGCGGTGCCGGAGACACTGACGACCGTCGCGTCCTGGGGTATTGAGACTGGGCAAAGCAGCCATCTGCGTTCGTCGGGGGACCAGTACAGGTCCACGATCAAGCGACGATATCCGACCGTGAGTAGGTTCGAGATGCATCGCCCCGCCGCATCTTCGTCATAGATATTGTTGCTGAAGCATGCTGCGCGCAGGGAGACAGATGAGGTGGTGACGAAATTCAGCGGGATCTGGCCGGCGACGTCTCTTTCGCTCTATGCGACATTAGTGGTATGATTCAACGTAAGGTGGAGTTTGTCGCAAACTCACCAGGAAGACAGCCGACTGCGTCGCATTGAGAATGATATCGGGATCGAACTTCATTGATGCGTGATTATAGGCCGCGGACAGCGGAGAGGCTGATTGCGCGATGGAAAAGTCGGCATGACCGTTGGATTTGGAGCTACATGCGACAAAGCATGAGTTGATGATGCAGCAGTGGAGAAGGGAAGGTGAAGCAGCACGGAAGAGGGGAGGAGGAAAAGCTCCGGCCGGCCGAGTGCGGAGAAGAAGGCGGTGGGTGACTTTGAGCCCGGCCCAAACACCATCTGGCCTCTTCTTTCTTTGCTTTGCTTTGCTTCCACCTCACCTCACCTCACCTCACTTCACAACTCAACTTATCTCACCCCGCCCTTTCTACCAGCCCAACTCTTCCTCGCCTTTCTGTGTGCTCTTTCCAACCCTGAATATTCCCAGGGGTTTCATTGCCAACGCCGCGTGAAATTCTCTGTTATCAGCTACCTCGATCTACACATCCATCACTCATTATGGCGGCGCCCGGTGGGCCATCTCCCCAGCAGATCGCGGCCATGCAGCAGCAGTTCGCTGCTGAAGCTGCCAGACGCGGAATGACTCCGGAACAGTTTGCCCAGCAGCAGCGTGAACAACTCGCCGCAGAGGCCGCTAAGCACAACATGAGCACCGAACAATATGTCGCGCAGCTTCGCGCGCGCGCCATCGCCGCACACCAGCAACAGATCGCTCAGGCTCAGGCTCAAGCCCGGGCCCAGGCCCAAGCACAAGCTCAGGGAGCTCAACCGCCCAGCCAGCCCGGTCAGCCCGGTCAGCCCGGCCAGAACCTGCCAGCACCTCAACAACCCCAGCCCCAGCAGACGACTCGTCAAGTTCCCGTCAACCCGTCCAATCCTCCCGACCCAAAGGCGATCGCGGTGGCGCAGTTCCTGCAGTCGCAGAACCTCAAGACGCGGACTTGTATCATGGACGGTCAACGGAAGGAGATGTTCAAAGGTTCGATAACGTGGTAGCTCGTTCGATAACAGTGGCGCTGATGCAGTTCTCTAGTGAAACGCGCGATCCGCGCCCTTGAGTCCCCCGCCTATGCTAAAGCCGCCGCCAAGAAGAACTCCCTCCTCCCGCCGGTGACCGACCGTGCTTCCGCCGAGAACGTCTTTAAGCTTCTGCCCCTGTCCCTTCTGGCTCTCCGAGTCTCCAAGGTCGATCCCCACGCGGGACACAACCACGCCAAACCCAAGAACCGTGTCAAGGGACTGTGGACGGTCAAGATCGAGCAGCACCAGGAGACCAACCCGATGATGCACTATGTTTGGCTGTACGAGGGACCTCAATTGAAGCAGAAGTTGATGGCGGGTGCCGTTGTGGCGGGTATCTTCGCCGTCGTGTTGTTCCCTCTATGGCCCATGATGCTGCGACAGGGAGTCTGGTACTTGAGTGTCGGCATGATGGGTTTGCTGGGATTGTTCTTCGCTATGTCGATTTTCCGTCTCATCTTGTTCTGCATTACTGTCTTCGCGGTGCCGCCTGGTCTCTGGCTCTTCCCGAACTTGTTTGAAGATGTTGGGTTCGTAGACAGTTTCAAGCCCTTGTGGGGCTGGCAAGAGGTATGTGTATCTTCTTCTCCTGGCCTGGGACAATGCTGACCAACCTGACAGAATAAGAAGAAGAAGTCGAAGTCGAAGAAGGCTGTGGCTGGCGAGGCCACGGAACCTGCTACCGAAGCCGCCACCGACGCAGCTCCGGCAGCATCCACGACAGCAACTGAAGCACCCGATACTTCCAGCACTGTCAAGCGCGATTTGGCGCCCCGAGTGGAGGAGGTTGGCGACGAGTAAAGGGGCTGCTGGGTTGGTTGCGGATTTGCCTTGTACTGTCTGGCACTGTTTCAATGGCACGGTTGGGTTAGGTATCATATCTCTTCGGTTTTCACGTTTCGATGCTTCCGGTTTTACTTATATGTGGGCATAAAACGAACTTGATCTTGGGCTTGCAATCGAGAATCATCATTACTTTCCTTCATGAAATGCTCCGGAGTTTAGAGTTCAATTTAGCTATTTTTCATGAATTTGTTCCTTTCCTGTTGCATTGCAGCAAAACCAACAACAGACAAACGGACTTGTCTAACCCCTTACCAAACTATGATCTGTGTGGGAAAGAGCGGAGGACGTCACGCTGTCCACTAACGTCACTTCTCCTTCCTTTCAGTAGACAGCCGTTGCGTTTGAGCCTCGTTTGCGAGTCTGTCCATTACACATTCCGCTCGACTATTGTCTGTTCTATTTTTCGGCTGGACACTGCCTTGAATATCAAAAGTGTCATGACAATCTGGGACTCAGTCGTTGTCGCATACCCACAAGCCTGCAGGGTAGTGAGTTTCTATCAAATACATTGAATATTCACAAAGCCGCTTCTGCGGACCGTCATTCACTCTTCTCTGTTCCAGCTTCGCTAACCCGTGACATTACCTTCACTTCCCTTTTTTGATACTTAGCCAAACCTCTTTTGGATAATCCCTCTTCCTCGAGACGGCAAGAGAACATTTCGAGAATTATCTCTACGCGCTCACTTGTTTAATGTCAATACAATCCCACCGACGTGCCTCCCGCCTTTCATATCCTGCAACCAAACTGGTACATTTATCCACCGACTGTTGATAACGGAATCTTCAACAATCATATCATCGATGTTGTCTGATCATACATCTGCGGTTCAGTGATCATGGCTCCAGGGTCAGTTATCTCCCACAGTCCCTCATGTCTTCTGAACTGACAGCGTTATTTCATCTAGAGTATGTTACGAGTTTGCGAACAAGGGACACTGCAACAGAAAGAACTGCAGATTCGCCCACGTGCAAAACGACCAAGCGAGTCCCTCTCCGAGACCAGTATCTCATCACAGATCATCATATGCTCGCCTATCGAACTCAGAGAGAGACTTTCGAGCATGGAAAAGAAACCTTGATGCCATTAGCACTGCCTCTCAGTTGGGGCCCGTCTTCCGAGAGGCACGGCGACTCATCGACATTGATGTTGGCATGCGGCAGTCCGTCATACAAACACTTGGTACTGAGAGTGGTTCGAGATGTATCAAGAAAATGCTTGAACAGACCTTCGAAGGCCTGGACGGCTCCAGACAATAACAACTTCTCAGAGCCCAGGTCATCCCATTCTTCGAAGTAATTTCCCACCCAGAGGTGCTACCGTCTCCAGTCCTCGGACAAGCGGTCGGAACCATCTACAACTTTCTTTATGGCATAGGGGGTGTCAGTGCACCACGACTCTTTGCCCACATCTCAGACGTCTTGAAAGATCGTGTAAAAGATGAGATCACCGCATCCTGGTTGGAGGTTATTCTTTTGGTCTTCTCTCAGATGGTCGAGCTCAACTCGGAGGCCCTCGTTCAAGAATATCTCAGAACTGTTGCCAAAGGATTTGAGGAGATCTTTCTCCCCTGGACGAGCAGTCATACGGAGACCTCTTTACACCACCAATCTCAAGTGCACCTAGAACGCCTCCTGAGACGTTTTAATATTGGTAGTTCCCTTCCGAGCATCGGCCAAGATAATTCTCGAAATGCCGTCGGAAGTTATGAACCCTTTGTCAGTAAGTGCGACCCACCTGGGGGCCGCCATGACAATGATCATGCAGATATCCGTCGGATCCGCATCATGCCAAGCTACCAAGAGATCCTGAGTACACGAAACGAGTATCTTCCCCTATACGATCCTTCACAGTGGCATCTACATGGTCTTGAGGGGCTTTTAGATCGCAACTTTCGTTTGTTGCGGGAAGATACCATCGGTCTTCTCCGTGATGCCATCCATTCGGAAATCAAGCTTTCAGGACAATCCCACCAGAAAAATAAGAGTCAACAGCGAACAAACGTGTACCACGGGGTGAGAATCCTCAAGATTGACTTTGACTCGATGGCCGGTGTTCACTTCGAGGTTGGCTTTCGTCAGCCTGCCAATGTCGCTCCAACGTCGGCTACGAAGCGCGAAGAATGGTGGAAAATGTCTAAACGCTTGCAGCCAGGTGCTTTGGTATGCCTCATAACTAAATCGAACTTTGTGCTTTTCTGTACCATCGTTCAACAACAGCCAGAGAACATGTCACAAGGACACGGCGCTAGATACCAGCGACAAGAGAAAAATTATTTGTGCTCTCTATCGGAAGATCCTCAAGTTGCACGCATTACGGTGGAGCTGACTGATGGGAGAAACAAGAATATTCAGAGTCTTATTAGACAATACACACAGCAACAACCGTGCTCCGCTCTGGTGGAGTTTCCCGGTGTCCTTCTCCCAGCTTTTGAGCCGACTCTACGAGCACTCCAGACATTAAAGCAGACCGCGAACTTGCCCCTGTCTGACCTGGTCATTCCTCCTCGTCCTAGTACCTCGGAGCCCAATACAGTCTCTCCTCCGCGGTATGCCCTAAAACCGGGGTTCCGATTCAATCTCCGATGCTTGACAAATGAAGATAGGGATTTGTATGTCTATCCCGATCAGCCAGCCGACCTACGAGCTCTGCGTCAGCATTCCAGCCTCGAAGATGCACAGGCGACTGCCCTTGTCGATGCTCTTCAACGAAAACTTGGATTGATTCAAGGACCACCCGGAACCGGCAAGAGCTATACAGGTGTTGCTATTATCAAGGTCCTTCTTGCAAATAAGGGCCCTGATATGGCAGACTTAGGACCGATCTTATGCGTAACATACACCAACCATGCTCTTGACCAACTCTTGGGTTCCCTACTGCAAAGCGAAGTTACCAAGCAAATCGTCCGAATCGGTTCGCGGTCCAGATCTGAATGTATGGAGCCCTTTCAACTACGCACGCTCGCGAGAAAGTTTGACAAGACGAAATTTGAAAAGAGCAGTCAATGGGAGTCTCATCGCTCTCTGAAAGAGTGTGCTCGTGAGTTTAAGAGCATAGACCTGACGCAGAGAATCACACCTGCTCGACTAATGCATCATTTGCGCGATCACCATACGGATCATTATAACCAGCTTTTCGGCTCAGATGAAGACGGCTTCAAATATCAAGAGAGCAAGAACAGCCAGAAGGTCTTCAATCATTGGCGCTTTTCCGGTGGGAAAGCCGATGCCAATCATGTTCGAAAGGTCGAAGATTTGATTTCGGTCAAACTTACGCAGATGTCACATTTCGATCGAGAAGCTCTGTACCGACATTGGCAGATGGAGATATGGAGCGAAATGGAAGAGAAATTGATAAATATTTGCGAGTCACATAACACAACCAAACATGAGCCTGATAACATTCGCAACGAAGTTGATCTGCGATGTCTCGCTCAAGCTGATATTGTTGGCGTTACGACGAGTGGTTTGGCACGGAATCTTGAGATGCTCCGGAGGATGAAGTCCAAGGTTGTGCTATGCGAAGAGGCAGGAGAGGTTCTTGAAGCCCATGTGCTTACCACTCTTTTGCCATCGGTCGAACATGCAATTCTCATTGGGGATCATCTCCAGCTCCGGCCCCAAGTACAGAATCATGAATTATCGCGCGAGAACAAGAATGGTGGTGAAAAGTACGCATTGGATGTATCTCTCTTCGAACGCCTTGTCGATGCAGAGAGCCCTATGGGTGTCAATCTGCCATTCAGTACCTTGAATACGCAGCGGCGTATGCATCCATCCATTGCTCAGCTTGTACGTGGCACATTATATCCACAGCTCCAAGACGCAACATCTGTGAGTGCATACCCTGGCGTTGCTGGGCTTCGAAAGCGTTTATTCTGGTTAGATCACCGTGTACCAGAGGCAGACCCGTCAATTGAGGATGCAACAGCCACATCAAAATGGAACGACTATGAAGTTGAGATGACTACAGCCCTTGTCAGTCACCTTTTACGGCAGGGAAAGTACAGGAAGGGTGATATTGCTGTTATCACACCTTACCTTGGTCAGCTTCACAAACTACGACGCAGACTCGGCCAGTTGTACACCATCGCTCTTGGGGACCGTGATGAGGATGACCTCAATAAGGCTGGCTTTGACGATGATCTGACTCCAAACTGCACTGGAGTAAGATCAACTCTGCTGCAGAGCGTACGGATTGCTACAATCGATAATTTCCAGGGCGAGGAGGCTAGCGTGGTGGTCATCTCACTTGTTCGCAGCAATCCGCAGAACAATTGTGGCTTTCTCCGGACGCCAAATCGAATCAATGTCCTTCTTTCTCGAGCTAAGCATGGCATGTATATCATTGGCAACTCGATGACGTCGATGCATGTTCCCATGTGGGCTGATGTCCTTGAGATGCTCGAGCAGAACGGAAACATTGGCACCAGATTAGAGCTACAGTGCCCACGGCACCCGCACAGTGAGATAACCGTTCGCGAACCAAGCGACTTCCCACGTCTCTCCCCCGAAGGAGGGTGCAATCTTCGATGTGAGAGGCGTATGTTATGTGGTCATGCATGTGTGCAAAAGTGCCATTCTGAAATTCTACACAATGCGGTGTATTGCCTAGAACCTTGTCAGAGACCACTTCTGGGATGCTCTCACCCCTGTCCAAACAAGTGCGGCGATCAATGCCCAATCAAATGCATGATAAATGTCTTCCAGGAGGATAGAGAGCTTGATTGTGGTCATTTGGCGCCGAATCTTCCATGCTGGCAGAGTCAGGACTTGTCAACCGTCCGGTGCGCTGTCTTGGTCAAGAGAACCGTCCCGGGCTGCAGACATGATGTTACCGTGGCATGCCATGTTGATGTGACCTCTCCACGTTACAGATGTACTGCTCAATGTCGGGCACCGTTAGCCTGTGGTCATTCGTGTAAGCATCCATGTGTCAAGTGTGTCACCAGAAGTGATACCGGCGAAACTCAGACCGATCATGGTCGTTGCCAGCAGATATGTGGCAGAAACCAGTCTACTTGCGCTCATCAGTGCGAGACGCCATGTCATGGTTCAGCAGCGTGTCCACCCTGTCAATCAGCCTGTGATGTACGCTGTGGTCATTCCAGATGCGACAAGAAATGCTCGGATCCATGCACTCCTTGCGCCGTAGAGATCTGCCTGTCTTCCTGCCCTCACAGTTATTGCACAATGCCCTGTGCTGCTCCATGCGATCATGTCCCATGTTCGAAGAGGTGTGATCAATTGCTAGCGTGTGGACATCAATGCCCGTCCGTCTGTGGGGAGATTTGCCCACCTGCGCGATATTGTCAAATCTGTGGGAGCGATGAAATTAAGAATCACATGGTTGACTTTATCTCTGGGGAGACCTACCGGGACATCAACCTTGACGAGAATCCATGTGTCTTTCCACGATGTGGTCACTTCTTGACAATTGAAAATATGGATGCACAGATGGACATGAAGAAGTATTACATCCTTGACGCAATGGAGAAGCCAATTGGGATTGCCGCATCGGTGGCGCCGTTCGCCATGGACGACATCAAGACGTGTGCCAGCTGCCGTGGGCCCCTGAGAGATATCGCCCGGTACGGACGGTTGGTGCGTCGTGCTCTCCTGGATGAATCGACAAAAAAGTTAATATTGTACATGAATCGCGAAATCGTCCCCCTGGCGCAGGCACTCCCTCGATGCATACGACAGCTCCAGGAATTGACAAATGAACGACCTATTGCCTGGCCGGCTACTGTGAAGATTGCGGGCAAGTACGAAGGGCAGATTACTGTGATGCGGGACATGCTTTCTCGAGCAGACAAGGGACGATGGCAGAATATTCTTGGTCTTCGGCAGAGAATCAAGAAATATATGAGGAAAGTGACGCCCGAAGAGCAGCCATACAGTAAAGTACGCAACCTGGTTGCCATCGGTCGTCGTCGAAAGGAAACTGCTGAGTGCCCTGAGCCTGGAAACGACATCCTCCAGATGAAGGGGTCAGTTCAAGCCACCGCGCTCAGTTTGCGTCTGGATATTGCCTTGCTGGCTGATTTTCTGAAGCTTTATCGCGAGGCCCCGAAACAGGCCGATAGTGTGATCGAGATGGATCTGTCAAAGAATCGCAGCCAATGCAAAGCTCTCGTGGAGACAGCGGGACTCTCAAATCACGTTGTTCATCAGACGGAGGGCTATATCTTCCTCGCCCAGCTCCATGCGTTCGAGCGATCGTATGCAGCCTCGGCTGCGCTGGTCGATCAACACGTGGCCCATGCCCAGGAAGCCCTCGATCACGCCAGAACCCTCTGCACCTCCTGGCCTGGTCAGACCCGTGGCTTGATGGACGAAGTCGAAGGGTTGGAGAAGATGCTTCGCGGAGCGACGTTCTATACCCCCGTAACCAACGAAGAACGCATGGCGGTCATTGCTGCCATGGAGCAGGAGTTCCGGGGCACGGGGCATTGGTACTACTGTCGCAACGGCCATCCCTTTACGATCGGGGAGTGTGGCATGGCGATGCAGAGGTCCGTCTGTCCAGAGTGTGGAGAGCCCGTCGGTGGACAGAACCATACCGCCGCCGAGGGCGTGACGCATGCGAGGGACTTGGAGGAGAATTTTGCGCGGCTGAGTTTGGAATAAGTTTCTGTCTTGCTGTGGTTTGTGATTAAGATCTTGGATCGCGAGATTTGAACATATCTAGTGCTTTGGTTTTGTATGACATTTTGCTTAGCCGAGCTAGCTGGTTATCGAATGAAACTCCCCCCTTGAGATTAAACCTCACAAGTCCTCCAAACCCACAACCTCCCAAACCGACAACTCCCCCGACAACAATCGGCATCGCGCCAACAACCCTCCCCTTCCTCCTTACACGCCCTCAGCTCCCCGCAGACCAACTCCCCATTCACCCCACAATTCCCCGACACACAATCCGCGTCGCCCGCACACGCCGCCCCATACGCCCCCGGCCCCGGCGCCGCCTGGCACATCTTCGTGGTTCGATCCTCACTGAACAGACTATACGTGCACACCAGCCCAGCCACACACTCTTGCGTCTGCTGACAACCAGCCCCGTACTCGCCCCCGGGTCGCGCACAGATCCCCGCCGCACACCGCCCGAACCCGCACTGCGCGTCGACCAGACACGCGGCCCCGAGCCCGAGCACGGCAGGGAGACAGGTGTTCGTCTGCGGCGCACATACCCATCGCTGCTGTCCGCTGTCGGTGCCGGGACTGCAGTCCGAGACAGCCGTGCAGGGTTTCCCCGTCTGCGTCAGCGCGCAGCTCCCCGTCTGGCAGTAGCTGGTGCTGCATTCGGTGTCGGCGGCGCAGCATGTCCCTGCGACTAAGCGCGGGAGGCATCGGTTGGCCGGGTGGACGCAGAATTCGTTGGGCTGGCAGGTCGCGTCGGTGGTGCAGGGCGCTCGCGTCAGGAGGTACTCTGCGCTTGGGTCGGGGGGTGGCGTGCAGGCTTGCGTGGGGGGGAGGTGCATGGTGGTGATGGTTAGGAGGAGGGGGAGGAGGGTCGTTGTGGTTGTTCGGGTTGGGAGACGCATTTTTGGGGGGTGGGGGGTTAGAAGATGGTTAGGTGAGGGGAGGTGAGGTGCGGTGGTAGGGGAGGTGTTGGGGGAGTTGATGGGCTTTATGGGTTTGTTGTAGAGTATGGAGGAGCTATGACTCGAGTAAGTTAAGTTACGGGGTATGAGGCTAGTGGTTGGTAACATTATCTGGGTGGATGTGCGATGATCGGCAACTTTATTGATTTCCCTGCATGATGCGATGCTTGAGGGGCCGGTTGATGTAAGGGGTTGGTTTGGTACGGAGTACCGGTAGAAGGGGACTGCACTGGACTGCACTGGACTGGTCATAGGGGTGATTCCTGTTTGAGTTGGTTGTAGATTTAGAGATATATTGGGACCTGCTGTAGGTATCTTTTAATGCCGAGGATATGAGTTCTGAGTGAGGGGGGCTACAGGCTGGTAAGTAGGCTTTACAAGTTGGGGTTGGCCTCTTCTGTTGCTCTGCAGGTGATTGCGGTCGGTTCCTGCTTGACTGCGAGGCTACCTTGTCTTGGCAACTTATCCCAGCCAGGAACAAATTTAAGATTTATACTTATCTATGCTCAGTATCTCCATGAGCCAGCGTCTAATCTGTATGTGCTTTGCACGCCTCTGGAGTGATTCGTTGGAAGTCAACCAACCCCCTGGGTAGAAATTGGTAGATGTACATAGGTCAACATAAGAATTTGCCCGCAGTACGCGACTGTTCGATTCAAATAAAACTTACTGAGAATCTGATCAATTCGCGTACACCAATTTTCGGACTCTCGGAGATTTGAGTTAGATAGTTTAGATTTTGCTTCTAGTGTAAACTAGCATTGATTGGCCCTCGAAACGAACATACAGCAGCAAGCTCTTTGTCCCAGGGAACAACAACTCCCATGTCATCCTCAGGTCCGATAACCCTAATAGGGACGTACGATATAATGCGAAGACATTTCGCCCCGGCAACCCCATGCTCACAAAGGCGGGCAGGTTCGACTGCATCGAAGGGCAAATGGGGGCGTCTTGATGATGGCAAAGATCAATAATGAATGGAACGAAAAACCCAGACAAACAGACACTAGATCTTGCGCACTGCCGCCTAGAATGTTCGTCTTCATCGGCGCTGCTGTGCAGGATCTCAAGCACCATAGAACATGAGATTTCAGTCACAATCACCGTGTTCTCCAGAGGCTGGGCCACAACTTTGTCCTTCCTCATAAGTAACACCATGCCTCTGGTAGTGGAATGCCGTGTCAGCTATATCAAGAGATAACCTTCCATCGAGGATGCGACCATACCAGGGCCGCAATGGGTGACTTCTGGATGCGACTCTCATCGAAGGAGGGCAGGGCGGCCAGCTCATGGTACTTGAATGGATGGGACACTATGGCGGCTAATGTGGTAACGGTAGGCTAGAGTTCACCCGCAGCTGGAGGTAGATGTACTTGCTTCAGGTCTTGACATCCCCAATCAGCATAATGATGCACTTGGTGAAGTCCAGATCCTTCCCAGTCAGCTGCAGGTGAGGAGGGTACTGCTTAGTGTTGCCCTGCAGCAGTGCCTGATGTGCTTGTTAATTGTTCTCATCTGCTTGTCTGTGCTGTAAAAACAGCTCTTTATTCCTGGAAATGCAAGACCCGGCAGAAGGTGTTGTCGTACTGCAAACACACTCCCGGGTTTGTCCTCCATGGGCTCCGACCTTAAAATGAGCCAGCAGCCAGGTCTGCACCTGGATCTGCTTCCAGAACTGCATCCAGCTCCTCTTTTGTTGGTACCGGCATATTGGCGGATGACTGCGGCCATGGGGCAAAGCACACTTTGTTGCCTTTCTCGGTATTTTCGCTGAGCGTCCGGAGGGAAGTTTTAATTCCGTTTCCGCAGAATCTTGAGTTTTATAATCTGTTCAACAATCCTCCTGTTGTTTTTTACAACAAGAGTACACCCCAATACCTATTTGCGTAGTAGCGGTCCTCGAATGAGCTTGTTCAACTCCGCTACTATTATAAAAGCAGCCCAATGCTTTAGATCCATATCTGCAGACCAGTAGTCAATTATGATAATACCGTGGAGTAACAGAGCAACGGGGCGTGTCGTCAAGTCCGACATGCGAATGTTGGAAGCGTACCTCGGATCCAGCCTGTCACTGCTCAGGTGTGCGTGCCGCATTTCCCGCTCCAAGAAGCTGAACGGGGAGCCTGAAAGGAACCATCGAATGCGGCTGTTGTGCAGAGTTTGATCTAGAGTAGAAGAATGGAGCCGTGGCATATATCCAAGACATAGTATGATAAAAAACATCACACACTTGAAAAAGACGACGAAGGCAATAAATAAGGGACACCAGAAGGGTTTGATGTATTCGCTCACTCATAGGAGCTTTGCGAAAGGAAGAACCAGGTCCGCCATACGAGGGCTCATAACCTGATGAAGTGCATCGAATCGGCGGTGGAAGGAACGGTGGCTGAGGAGACCCCTCGGTTCGTTGTTCGTGTCATCTCTTTTTCTTCTTTTCAACCTGATTCTGTCTCCGGGTCTTCTGAAGTGCGGTTTGCGCGTTCAGCTATCTATTTCACAACAGCCTGGCGTCCCGACTCGCTGCGGATTAGGTAGGGGCATAACCAGACTCCGTGGAGGGAAAGGAGTCCTTACCATCTCGTTGAGACCCTCTTGTACATGAATGGTATGATTCTCCCTTTGGATACGTCCAAATCTGTCACACGCGTTGCAGAGCGGTACCCCATTCTGGTGTCCATTTGTCCCTGGGCTGTAGCCCACTGGCATGTGACAGTGCAAAATGATAGAGACCACGAAGTGCATATACATTTGTGATCCAGGGTGGCAACGAGGTCTGCAGTGGTGGCCATGGGTGTGGCGGTAGTGGTTGCTGGGGTGGCTGGCTGCTTCATGATCGTTCTTTGGTGCATCAACCAAGCCCTGGGAATCGTGGCGGATTCTGTCCACAGAGTTCATAATCTCCGAAGCGAATGTCAAGGTTCTGCTATCCAAATATACCCCAACAGACCTGTGAACGTCAGCGGTGAGAGTTGTAGAATTGGTCAGACGTATATTAGCGCCGAGTCGCATTTTCCTTGACCATGAGAACTTATTTGTCTGAAAGACATGTCTTTGGCTGAGCCATATTCTCACTCGACGACGTCTGAAGCACATGTACGCCCAAAATCTTCTTCCAAAGCCCAGAAGCGAAGAGCGCAGCTCTCAGCTGGTGTCCTCCGTTCATGCGACAGTCCGCCGAGCGCTATACGTCTCGTCCATATTATTCTCTGCTTTGTCCATCCGCTGTTGGTTTTTGGAATGAAGAAATCGTCGTGAGCCATCTGGCAATTTCTCTATACACTTCACCTCCTAGATACCCATGAAGTTCTATGCGGATTCCCTTAGTCTTCTCTTCAACCTCATCTATTGCTGGTCTGGAGATTGTGGGTAATGGGCTATTGCCGTTGGGCTTGTGTTTGTGGACAATGCACATGTCATTTCCGGGACGCTTATATGTCGTATACAATCCGTTGAAAAGCACCGAGCAATCATATAGCGGGCCGATTGCCCGAGCGCCCAGAGATTTCGGCAGAGTCTCCACAGTACCCCTTTATGATGAACTAGGGCTTTCAACACGTCTGTAGCTAGAAGAGGCTTAGACTCGGATTGTAGCATGGCCTCGCACTCCAGTGCGCAGGACAAGCCACCGACCCTTTTCATGAAATCGGAGGCCATTTCACTTGCGATCCTAGAAGTCAAGGCCGGTTTGGGTTGTGTCTGCATGGTGTCGAGATTAAGAGCCGGTTAGTAGGTGAGGTCACAAGGATCTAGTAAATCCTTGACGTTGACTTGGGCCCTGGTCAAGCAGTCGCCTTGATCGATCGATTGCTGTGCAGGCCCTAATAAGTGTATTGTATTGGTTCGTACGGAATCCAGGTGCGATAGGCCCAAGTTACTGACAACCCTGAATCGCATTCTCTTGGCTGACCACCATCACTGCACATTGGGGCTCGGATGTGTGAGAGTCATGAGGAAAGCAATTAGACCGATGTTTACTACATCCTCGTCGGCTATTCGAAGCCTCGCAGGCCCAGTCCAAAACTCGACTGGACTATACCTCATCATAGACCCAGGCTGTTAGACATGTCCTGTGAAAGCCTTTAAGCTATTGTTTTTCTGTGAAGGTAGTTGAGGTCCATTTACCAGTTCATCGCCGTGTTTCCTCTCAGGAAAGTTGCCAGAATCATGGGGCACGATATTTCTTGGTGTCCCTGGAGCAGTCTTGGCTTCGATGGTTACCACCTTCTGGGTTATGGCGCCCCAGAATGCTTGCAAGAAACAAACTGGCCGTATACCTGGCCCTCTGATGGGTATATGTCAGAAGTGATCCGCTGCTTACTCCATGGTCGATGTCCAACCGGCACACGATGCAGATTGTCCGTACACATACGCATCCACACAGGCGGAGGTGGCTGCCGGTATCCATGTGAATTCAGGCTGTCGCCGCAATGGCTCGAGAGGGCCTCGAGGTCCCGCATGTATTCGGTCACTTTCGTCCCTTCACCCTTATCCAGATGGAACTCGTCTCGAATGACTCGAGCGTACACGACACCACACTCGTCCTTACCTTCAACATGATGAAGCCTCTTCTTGCGAAAAAGGGTCGGGATTTGAACCTTTGCTGTGCGTTCCGTGGCCTGGAGAATCTGTGTCGCGTAGAACTGGGTTGATGTTAGAATCACAATCCGGTTCTGTGCTTTCCTTGCTTCCGGGTAGCCGAGGTGCTCTATCTTCAATCATGACCCATAGAGTTGCCGTCGTTTCAGATTATGTCGTCGGTCGCGGCATCTTAACCACGCATCATGGATGTCAGTCGATTGTGACTCGGAACGTTGAAAGGCCATCCGCCTCGAGTCTAGGGGAGGGTGATGATGTGTCAAATAGCCGAAGCATTTGTCGCGCCACGCGCAAAGTCTCGACGCGGGCGATAGCCACATAGACACGCCAGCAGAGTTGAGGCGAACGACTGGCTTTTCTGGTATGCCATTGTAAGCAGCCAAAGGAATTCCACTGTCAGGGTTGTTTTGTCATCGCTCAGTCCAAGTGGGTAAAGGGCAAAGCGCGCTTTCTCTCCTCAAACTTGTGCGCTATGTTTCTGAAACATATGGCCATGTGTGCCCGGGCATGTTCTGATCATTTTTAAGCTTCGAATAGTAGGTCTGACAGCAGCTAACCCACAATGTTCGCAAGTCAGATCCTTGGCCCAGGCTTAGATAACAGATCATTCCGCAGTGCTGAAGGTGGTGCTTGCAAAGACGAGTTTCTGCATCGACTCGGTCGAATCTGCACAAGCCACCCATGTGGGCCACTCCTGGCCTTGTATAAGCTGTTCCACTATCATTATAAGTATTTCGGCCGGGAGCTGTGCGTGTGATGGCATTCTGGGGTCCTTCGGTGCGCTTGTGCGAAAACGTCGAGCTGCGAGCTGCGTTCTTGCAGATGGATAGGCAGGCTCAAGCCAGTGGCAGTATCCTCTTCTTAGACTAGCTCTTCTATGACCTTTCCACGGTCTGACATTTCAAGATCATGCGGCCAGTATTCATTCAGTGTGCCTTTTTCCACATACCCCAGAATTTGGTCGAGAAAAAAGAGAAAGAACTGGACAAGGCCTTATCGCCACTAGCACTGTGCCTGTGGGCGGAGACGGCGGTGGCAGACGGATGTACTGCCAATACTCCCTCCGGTCGACAAAGAGGAACAACGCGACGTGGATGATCAGAAACGTGTGCGTGAGGCAGATCGATGTGGACAAATTAAGACACGACATGTGGGATTAATGGTGTAGCAAGGAGAAGGAAATCGACGTGTGCGAAAGGAAATACGACAGCAAGGATTACTAATGTAGCAAGGGACGAGACGTATGCTTCAGCAAACGCGGTATGGTATGGACGTCAAATCTTCTGAGTCGACACTGTGGCGAGGTGCGTTTTTGGATATTCTGGAAGTGCCCAATCGCTGAGAGGTTTGTCGACGCAGTCGGAAACGGAAATATCATCGAGCGCCAGGTATCAGGCTTCGAGGCCCTGCAGGAAAAGGTCTAGGAGTATCCTCGTGGCTCTTGGTATTGACATATCACGGTGTCGCCAGTCAAATCGGAACAGCATTGAGCCTGGCCACTTCATTTTTTGACCCTATTCATCATTTCCAGAGTGTAGTCTCTGCAACTGGCATTTCGTGTTCTCATCGGGTTAGCCCTAGCAATACGGCATGCGTAGGGCGGCACCTCCTTGAAGCCATTTCACGTACTTCGCCGACGCCTCATCAAATTATCCCAGTGTAGATCCGCAGCGGACAGTGATTAGAGATGAGAACAACGTAGGTTCTCAACATAGGCCTCAAGCTGGCGCCAGCGAGCGAGCGAAAAAGGCCGTGTTCCGCGTCAACTACGGACATACCGTGTCTCACAGAGCTTAGTAAAGTCTGGACTGCTTAGTATCATGCCGGGATGCAGCGTTGAAGCTGTCCTCGAATCAATCCCCTAGAGACTTCTCTCCCACTCCACGAAGGTACTGTGGACATTTCTCTCTGAAATGTCCTGTTTCCCTGGTCCAGCATTTTCTTTTACTGAACTAATCATTGCGGGCACGAAAGCCAGCACAGTGGTGATCTGACGGCGGATGAGCGTGTTGAGCGCAACGTGTCGGATTCGTGGATGCCGGGGCGAAACAGCCATCCTGATACCAGAGCTGATGCTTTATAAATTCTTGGCACTATCGGTCACACTGCACCGATCACGGCTATTGAATCCTGCCTTCCGACGGTGGGAACGCCCAGGACATCGGTGGCAGAGACCTGTCAAATTCGCTCAGATGGGCTTGTGAATCACTCCCGGATTATACTCTTTGCTGTCCCGATTCATACCGAAGATCTCTCCGCGTGAGTTCTCAATAAGCACACCGGCGCCATCGATTCCTTCGAGCCTTTCGTAGATGTTGGTTGATAGTTCTGGATCCCTGGGCTAACGAATCTCGTTTTTACTGGTAACCAGTGTCTGACTGCCATACTCGCGTGCAGTCTAATCAGTCCAAGCTTTGGAAATTGCACTCTGCCTGCTAAGCTCCCGCAGATGATTCACAGCGAGAAGGGTTCTTATGGCCGTTTCCAAAGGACTTCGGGAGCTTGGCCAAAGTATTTCTGCTTAGACAGGAACTGAATTAGAGGAGCACCATCGCGTTGAAAGTGATAGTGGGAAGGAGCCCGAGTACTCGGCGTGTTGACTTCAGTCGCAACTTCAGTCCGAAAGCCTATCACGCCTGAATTGCGTTTCATTTGTCTGATCACGATCTTGGGATAATGATGGCAATCATCGAAGATCATGAAAAGCGACCATTGGAGTGGCGGTTGGATAAATAGACCTGAGAACTGCACTGAGACCGAAATCTATCGAATGCGACAGCTCGAAAGGCCGCTTGGGCTTTTCACGACGAGACACAGTCAGCATGCTTTTGGCTCTCGTCTTTGGTCACACATACCTTGCTCAGATTCTGAATACTCCAGACGCATCCTTTTTCCTGGATGTTCGAAAGAATACTAACCTGGATTGTGGCATTTTTGATATGATTGGCGGGGGCCACAAGCCGTCCCTCCTGAGTAAGGGGAGAGAGGCCAGTAGCCCCCCGATCAGGACGTAGCATGGCGCAAGACAGAAGAATCGCATGTAAAAGCAGAAACAACAAGAGCCGTTGGTAACATCCACCGGAAGCTCGGCGGAACCTCGTCGAACGGCGGGATAACAGGGACCATCGCTTACAGTAAGCACAGTCAGCCAAGGCCCCAGCCAGATATGAAGGGACACAAAGAGGGAGGCGAGCACATGCAAGAGCCTTTTCTACCTTGCTAAGCAATGCGAGGGTCCTAGCATTCAATGGACAGAGCGAACAGGCAGCGAATCGGCGTAATTGAGGAGGTCCATAGCTTCCAACATGTGATGAGATCTCGGAGATCATTGAGAGAATTGACTGAAGCCATTTCTGAGAGCAGAACAGAACGCCACGCACATCAGTCAGCCTTATATACCAGGGAGTTTTAAGAGGAACGAGAAGAAGGACCGGGAAGAAGCGGAAATGGAGAAAGCTACCCCTGGAAAGATAGACTTGATATGGGAGGATTTGAGGTCAAAGGATATAGGGAAAGAACCCGACAGGCATGGAATCCGCTGAATTCCATTGTCTTGTGAAGTCATCTTCACTAGGATGTGTGAACGTAATCCATAGGAGCAGCCAGTCACTCATGCATGAACTTCCCAAAGGTTGCTTCGCAGATGAAGCTGCAGCAATCCACTAGCGATATGACTTATTTTGTCGATCAGCGCGTCATGAGCATCGGGGGTGCCTACTTCTCTATAGTGAACAAATGACTCACGTTTGGGCGAAATTCTGAGGCGGGTATCCAGCAGAGGTTGTTCTCGGTGCTGATCGTATGGTACTTATTGACCAGCTGTGGGCGTGAACTGGCGTTGTCATTGACCCGCTTAGCAACCCTACCATTCATCCAGAAAGCAATATCCTTCCAACATCGTTGCAGGTGGACACGACGAGCAGCTGGTACGGCTTGCCATCCCGGCTGGGATTGCGGAGGAATAGAAGAAGACAGCGGACCATCCAAAAGGTTTTCCCTGTGCCGGGCAGTTCTTGCACGATTCCGATCGGCCCATCCAGACTGGACAAGATGTAGACCGCAGCGGTCTGCGGGTCGTGGAATTTCCATCTCGCGAGAAGTTCGGCCGGGGCAACGCTCTGGTTGGCGATGGTGCTGTACAGATCGACCGTCGGCAGGCTGTCGGAGCGATTGGCAAGCAGGGTATCCCTGCCAGCATATACTGCCCCTCGTCGGTATCAGAAATCCCGGCGACGACAACTTCATGTGCTTCAAGCACTGCACTACCCCCGACGGGGCCAGCGCTGCGTGCCTCCTACCGCGCTTTCTTCAGATAGGTTGCGTTTGCAGTCGACTTGTCCCATTCATTTTGGAGCACAATTTTCCTCCACTCAATGCGGAAGTAATGATAATGCGCACTGATATTGGTCTTGTCCTCTGGGCGTTGATCTGCTTGCCTAGAATCAACTTCAGGGCCCGGCACGGGCAACATTCCTTGTCAAGATATCCAAGCCCGTTGCTCTGATATACATACAAGCCCTGGCTGTTAGCCTTGACGGATAGAAGTATAGTCTTTCAGATCAAGACTGACCGATACCCCACGTCTAGAGGCGCACTATCCTCTCGAACTCCTTGATGTTGTTTAAGCTGTAAGTAGTTGAGGAGGTTAGAATCCACCCTGGACTCATAGTTAGCTTCGTGCCACAGCTTCTTTCTCGCGATCTACTAGCATCAGCCGCGACGGATCTCACATTACTGGGCATTATAAGCCCACACGCTGACCAGTGCGAAGAATGCGATGCAGCTCCGCTGGAGTGGGGACGCTCATAGGAAGGGTCGCGACAGTACCCACACACCTGGTCGGGCGGAGGATGCCCTCGTGGAGCTGGGCCCGGACAACCAGCTGCCTGGGATCCGATCACTCAATGTACGGCACAGACCGCACAACGGGTTCGCGGATCCAGGCCCGCTCGCGACCCGACAGGGGCTGCGAACCTGTCCAGGGTGGGAGGCCGGGCACCACGGCGGGTGTTACCTCCAGAACGACCTGCGAACCAGGCCGCGGGAGGCAACTCGACGAAGAGTGAGGCATCCCACTCTTCCTCGTTAGCCCGCTCGCGGGGAGCCGGCTGGTCGCAAGGAATAGCCCTGGGTGTGCCCCTTGGAGGCGGGGGAGGTCCTGGGAGCATGGAGGCTCCCCGGGACCCGCGGGGTCCGCTACGATGTTGGTCATCGTTAATTGAAGCACCCGGTTGCCCCGCGTATACGTAGCAAGCAGTACGCGAGGGCAAGGGGGCAGACGCAGCGGCAGCGTCTCGCACACGCGTAAGAGTGGTGCCGATGCACGCACACGCCAGTCTTTGTATACTTGCGGCAACCCTCACCATCTCGCGAAGTGCGGGTGTGGAGATGGACGAGGATGGGGTGAGGGTTGCATACGATCCATGCCACGACCTCGGAGATGGACATATACATTGTTTCTTAGAAGTTCGAGCTGCATTTGCCAAAGTAGTCTCCTTCCACCGGAGCCAGAACTATTCGAGTCCCATATCTCAGGCTGCTCCCAGTCCGACGCCCGCCCTGCTCTGTCTGGCAGGTCACTGGTTCTTCTCTGGTAAGACATTCTGGAATTTCCTTCCTCGAACCCTCACCACAAAGGTTCAGAGGGAGAGAAATCCATTCTCGTCGGAGACGTTACTAGAGGCAGGGTGTTGCTAAACTGCCTATCCTCTCAAAAAAATGAGTTGAGAATTGACGAAAGCCCCATGGGATCTTAGATCTGTGTCACACGCGGCGCGGTCCTTGGACCTTTCTCTGCATGGGCATTGTTTGGTTGCACATTTTAGAGGCCATCCATGAGCGCTCCAGCGATGAAACCGTGTGACGACTGATGTCTCAGCCGTTATTTGGAAGTCTCGATGCCACACAACAAACCCATGGTATGTCACGCGTGGACAAGGATCAATCCGATATTTCTTCCGATTTGCAGCAGCGCGTCGATCACGCATAGCAAGTGGTCAATCAGGCCGGTCAAGGTCAGCGCCATCCTGAACTGCCCTTTTCGTCAGTGACCCTAGTCGACCATCATCTGTCACCCCTGCATTGATTGCCATATACACCGCGGTCTGAACACGGTAGAACGCACGGGGCTCTTGTGTAAGCGGCGATATCAAGTTATTGAGTTAGTATGACCATCCTCAGGGAACTCCATCCGAAAGGCTCAGAGCCATGTTGCAGTGTCTTAATATCAGTCTTATCCAATGCATTCTGATTGGTATTCCTTCGATGCCCCTTGTGGCGTTTCATCAATGCCCTTAGCCAAAAGTGCAAACAGAACGGTCCAAAATGTTAGGGGCTCATGCATATGGCAGTAACTGTCGAAACATCGAAGAAGCTTAAGAGCACAAAACTTTGCCTCTAGGCCCGATGATCCTTCAGGGTCATAGAAGAGAATGTAAGACTCCAAAGCCAAATCGCAAACTCCGCAGTCCACCTGACAATTAAGCTTGCAGACTTTATCCCGATACCGATTTGGTGTCATGATCCACCGGCCTAGGTCAATCACTGAACCCGGGCCGGGTTCGGTGAGATGGACTTCGATAGCAGACTTAGCAACCTGATCACTAGCTGCAAAGGTCTCCTTTCCAGAGGTATCCTGTGACACTATCGGCTGGCAGTAGGGAAGATTTATCCGAGTCTCGGGAGAATAAGGATTCGGTGATAGTATATCCCGAAGGTACCTGGAATTAGACTTCCCTGATAACAGACGATGTGACTTGCATTTCAGAGTAGCATTCAGCGCCCCGAAGAAAAGGCCGAAATTTCCACCGAACTCAAGCTGTTGATAGGGTTATGAATCACGATCACCGAAGAGAAGAATAAGATAACAAGTATAAGAACAAGCTGGGAATATGACAACTGATATGATCTCGTCAGGCAAGAGTCGATAGTTTGGTGAAGTTGATCGCGCGGTGTCCGTTTCCTTTTGCTACTATGTGATAGCGCAGCGTACTGTCGTCTCCCTTCATAATAGCCACTATTCGAGGCATTTTTACGATGTAAACAGCTGATTTCCTCAAGCACCGATGGTACGTTGAATAGCTCGATGATCCGAACAACCGCTGATTTTGCGACCAGATAAGAAAAGCAGCGACGAGCCCATTGACTCTCTGCTCGGGTCGCGTATTGAACTTGTCTAGTTCGTCATTGGTAATGTTTGTGCCGCCGGTATTGACAATACGGTGGAGGTTCGACTTAATCTGTCCTTGCGCGTAGATGTGAACAACTGAGTTGTCGTATACCATGGTGTGTCGATAGTAGCGAGTTTTTCCTTGCATCCATCCTACCAGGAAACGGGGAAGCTTGGGCTCTTTGAACACTGGGGGCTCTTCGGGAGGGGGATAGTTCTTGGGTAGCCTGTCGGCGGAGATTATGTCTTCGATATCGATGAAACGAATCAATGATGTGCCTTGGGTGATGTCGAAGTCGTTGTAGTCGGGGTCAATGCCAGGAATAGCTCGTATAGCTCGATTTCTGATCCGAGAAATCGAACATCTCCGAAAGATCCGTTCCGTTCCAGCGGACAATGTAAGGTTTCACACCCCCAACTGGCTCGACCTTGGGTCCACTGAATTCTGAGATCATCTGACCAATATCCCTTCTAGGGGATTATACTAGAGAGAATTGTGCCTCCCAAGCATGCTTGCTCCCATCGATAACAGTTGCTGCATTATCTCGAAGCTTTTCGGTCGAAGCTCCGCATCTGCTTTTCTGTCCATCGGGTAGCCGCCTTTTGCACACTGCTGACCAGTGCATTTGAATATATAGAGCCGATGAGCTTGAGATTCCTTGCTAACACGCACAAATCCAACAAGCCTGCTCAAGCTGGTTCATGCATGTCGATGACGTCAGTTTGCTGAGCGAACGCATTTTGCATGCTTCTTCGCATCGATGACCGACCGTCCACCAAAAATGCTCTGTAGTGGTTTCAGATGCTCATGACGATTCTTTCAAATGGCCCGCTCAAGGCAAACAATGGCCTTGTGGGATAGTTGTACCTGGCTGGACAACCTTGGTTGCCGAATCCTTGAAGGCACGAATCGGAACCGCAATGCATCCGTGCGCCTTGGAAGCATCCTCTCTTTGCCCTTCAACCACCCAGATTCCTGAAACCATTGATTGCATCTAATGAACCTGTGATGCCACTTAACTCTATCAGTAGATGTTAGATGGCAGTAGTCGAAAACAAACCACCCCTCGAGAGTCTTTTTGTCGCGGGATGGACCGCTTGGGTCTGGCACCAAGATGAAAACGCCGGCGCCCCAGTATACATGCAATTTCTTGCTTAATGTGACCTGTCTGTTCCATTTCCAGCATTCGATATTCTCTGATTTCCAGAAGAGGGCCAGAGCTTCCTAGAATTGTTCGTAGTCTTTTTGACCTTTCGACCAAGGCGTACAGGGTATATGTGGGCGATCTCTATGGGGTCCCTGAACCCGGTGATCACGCAAGTAGACTCATCTTGTAATTCGCACTAAAGCAAATTAGTAGACGATGCGAATATGCGAGGACATTCCCGTTTGAAATGGCCGTAAACTTTGCACTCATTGCAGCGCGGTTCACCGTCATGATTCCATTTCTTCTCGTTCTCAATGCAATTGGCACATGCAGCCTGTTTAGTCATACGGTTTGCTTCCAGATGCTTTTTGCTGTTCGTCTATAACCTGTTAGCGACATCCAGGTCGTCTTTGGCTCTTTGTGCCGACCAGAATATCCCCGGATCATCAGAAAGTGCTCGTAAATGGCCGCATACTGGTATTTTCCGTACATGGGTGGTGTTGTACTTAGTTGACCTCTCGGCCGATTTCTTCGTTGCCTTTTTTTGGCGCCTCGATCGGGAGAATAAAGGATCAATAAATGAACATGAGCTTCGCAGCTGACGAACTCGTGACAGGCTGATGTATGCTAGCCGGTAAACGTCATGGGTGCCCTTTGGCCCCACCGATTGATGCACTTCTTTGCCTGGTTTTCGTATGCAGGTATGAAGCAGGGGTCTACCATAATCATATCTTTCGCTCGGGTGAGATTGATTCCGGTGCCCAGCATCTCCACAGCACCAATCAGTTGTTTGTCTTCAGGGCAAGGAGCATCGCTCATCACCCTGGATGTCCTCCCTGCTTTGGCCTCATTTTCGATTGCTCCCACCTCATCGGGTTTGGTGCAGTTTGCTGCCGGTAGCATGGCCACCGGTGACGATAACTCGCAACTGAGATGATAGCGTCCATTCCGGAAGACCCCACGGACCCATGATAAGCATCCTGTTCACAGCACAGTTTGAGGTGGTTCTCAAGATACTAGGCTGTCTCGTGAAAAGACATGGACGGTGATGGACGAGATGAACTGCCCATATACATGAGAGCGGTCCAGGGCACGTTTCCAGAGGCCGATGGCTGCTTTGATTGCACACCAGCTGAACCGGTCTTCCATCAAAGTGAAGAAGAGGAAACAGAAACTGAGCAGTCCTAGGACGGATCCCATAGATAGAATCCTTTTGGCAACATCTTCGATGTCCACAGCTCCTGTAAACAGGGAATAGATGGTAGACAAGACGGCGGGGACAGCAGTTAAGGAATCAGTGATGTGTAGCCACGAGAGGATAGGTCGCGGAGTTGCATTATGCAAGTTGTCCACACGGGTTGGTAGGAAAGACAGCGGAAGGGAAAATGGTATCTTAGTGATGACGCCTCTGAGAGGTGGAGAAGGCTTGTTGATTCCTCTACGTGAGGCTATCGGAGAGAACTAGCTAAGGCAGCCGGGTGGCCGGTGAGCTGGCACCTCAGGCACCAAGGCCCCAGGGCCGCCGTCACTTAGCAATATAAGCCAGGAGTTGATTGATGCATGGTTTCTCGGATGCAGATCATACAATGAGGAGATCACCATGGACACAGTCATGTGGTAGAGTGGCGAAGTAGAAGGAGTGGGCTATGAAGATAGAGATGGAGGTTGTAGAGGGAGATAGACACAGATAGACACAGATATGGAAGATGGAGATGGTGAGTTGGAGGTGGAAGGTTGAAGGTGGAAGGTGGAAGGTGGAAGGTGGAAGGTTGGAAGTAAATGAAGATGCAGACGAAGATGCAGATGGAGGACGAAGATGGAAGACGAAGATGGAAGATGAAGATGGAAGACGAAGGAGAAGATAAAATGGTGAGAGTTGAAGAGTGTGGAGGAGGAAGGAAGAGGAAGAGAAAGAAGGAGGTATTTAAGCACCTCGTCAGTCAGCGACCGCTGCATTATTCAATTAGTCTATTGTATTCAATAATTGATTATGGCTAGCAAGGAATAAGGACATGATGATTCACCGGTACTCAATACTTGGTAGAGATTCTCATCGATACCCAGGGTGAATGGATCTGCATTTAGGGCTTTGGAATATGAGAGCAGGAGTGAATGTTCATAGTCGCGCATACTTCCATGCCCATGAATCAGCTTTCTTTGATGACTTTGGGAAAATGATTGACAGCCTTCATTATCTACTATAGAGCATCCTCTGTATACCCATGCCTTACTCAACAAGGTTCACAAGAATCATTCATCATGAAGGCATACAAAGCCCGACATGTGACACCCAGCAACAACCCCCATCCACCCCCCTAAGCACCATCATGATGATGATGCATCTCACCCCCATGATACTCATTCGGATGAAAATCCGGATGCCCCGGAATCTTCCCGGTAGCCTTGTACTCTTTCTCCGGAAACGAGGGACCTAGTCGCCTAAAGTCAGCTTACCCTGGACATTACCCCCCCAAAACCCCCTCCAAGATTTGGTGATAACTCACCCAAAGTCGGATGCACCAGCGTCGTCTCATCGAAGATATCAAACGCATGCTCCTTAGCCCAATTGTCCACCATGTCCCAGTTCGCACACTCATGATCGACCACAAAGTTGGGCTTCGGGGCGCGGTCATTCGGATCCCAGGTGAAGGTGAGCAGGGCCACGTCGGCTTTGCACATGATGTTCTGGCGGAGGTTGTCGACGCAGTGCTCTATTCCATGGCCCAACAACATCAACAACAACATCCGAAGCTAGCTTTTCTTGATGTAAGGAGTGGGGACATACCAATATGAACCGGAGTCGTCGGTTTCCCGATATGGTAGTAATTCTGATAGACCACCTGCCGCAGGAATTTCTGCACACTGGCTGTCAGTCTCCATCCCCAAACCCAGCCCATCAGGGCAGGCTATCTTACCAGGCAGTGAAGTTGGTGGTATACGTCTGCTATCGCGTCAGCCTTCAAGCCACATACTGTGTATACTTCATACGACGGAACAGAAACAACATCGATAACTACCTACCCGGGATCGCATAATACCCCCCCTTCTCATCATTGATCGGCACCGAGGTGCGATTGATCCGGGCCAGATCCTCGGCGGTGACCCGGATATTGGAGTTGACGAACAGCTGGTGCCACGCGTGGTCGAGTTCCTCGGAGGGGGCGCCCTTGAACGGGTTCTTGCTGTCGATCGCGGCGTAGACGGTCTTGCGTTCCATGTGGATGGCTTCGTGGAGGGGGGCTATCTGACATTAGCCTATTCGTTCTTCACATGTTGAATATCTTGGAGTGAGGGTTTGGGGAGCGTACAATCAATCAAATGCGCTGGCTTAGACACTGGCCACTCCCTTGACTTGGAGGTCGCGATCAAGAAAGCTGCGCCGTAGAGCGAGGCAAGCAGGAAGTGGAAGCAGAGGCTCTGCCATCGGAAGAAGGAGAAGGGTCGCCGGGGAGGGCGGTCGATGTAGCAGGCCTCTTCCTCCTCTTCCAGAAGACGCTGGGTCTTAGAGCAATGCTCGTCATGGTAGTCTGGTAGAGGCAAGTGGTCGGAGGAGGTGCTGTCCTTGCTGCTTTTCTTGAGAGCTGCGTACATCTTGGATGCGTTGATACGGAGGAGGCAGAAGATGGTGATAGGATGTCTCGAACCCGAGAGGGTGTAATAATCACACAGACAGAGAGGGCAGCAAATGCACGAAGCACAGGTAAGTATTGCACGAGTTCGAGTATCAGTATCGGTGGTGGCAAGAAAACCTGCTTTCTGCGTCAGAGATGCAGCTATCCTCCGGCAACCGGTTACGGCTGGAATGGATTTCAATCTAAGTCCTTGGGACTGCTTTGCGAGTCATCGTACTTGGAGAAGGTAGTTGGGGTTGGAATTATTGGCAGCCAGCGCCGCTCGCATCATAGAAAATAGATTGGGATGGTTTGAAAAGCCATGTCGCCACTGTCGCCATAGTCATGAACCAGCACTACCTACATTCTTCACACGATCATCCGAGACAAGTCAAGGGAAATGCCTCAAGTACAGACCAGCCCTATCAAACCTTCATCCACCGTCACAATCTCATTCCTTCCCCTCTAACCCTCCGGAATCCAACCAAATATCCCCACTGCAAAGATTGTACATGTACAGTATCTGCAGTCCCCCCACCACCACCATCACCACCACCCCCAAGCGCCCAAATCCACCATGAAAACCCGAATTCCCAGCAGCCCAAATCACCATTCCCACCACTATCGCCACCACCATTCCCCCCAGGCCCTCAATCACCCATTCCAATTCCAGCCGGTCGCTTCGTCAACTGGAACGCAATGACGCTCCTGACTCGTACCGCCATCCTACAACCCAACCAGGCAAGGAAGAATGTACTGTGTCACCATCACCATCACCATCACCGGCACCCCTTTCGCATCCCCTCCCCTCTGCATCCTGCCAACATATCCAGAACCCATCAACGCTGTAGATGTAATCCACCGCATCCCGCAACATAAAACCCATCATCATCCCCGTGCTCAAAGACAGCTCCACAGCTCCTATCACCTCCATCCGAAATCAACTTTCTTCAGTATATCACAAAAAACGCATCTTCCTCTTCCCCGAGAATATCAACGCGGACATCTCGAAAAAAAAAATGATGTACTCGCCCAAGTTCCTGCTCGCGGTGTGCCTTACCGTGGGCTTGGTGACGGCTTTGCCTAGTATGTTCCTTCTTTTCTTTGGTTCGCTTCATCAGGAGAATGGAAGGGGGTATTGTGGGCTATGGATTGGGAAAGAGGCTGACTAGATTCGGGGTTTTGTAGAGGTGGGATCGACCAGCGAGTTGGATGGGGATCTCTACAATTACAAGCGGGCGGAGGCTGAGCTTGATGGCGACTTGTATAACTACAAGAAGCGGGCAGATGCTGAGCTTGATGGGGATCTTTACAACTACAAGAAGCGGGCGGAGGCTGAGCTCGATGGCGACTTGTATAACTACAAGAAGCGGGCGGATGCTGAGCTCGATGGCGACTTGTACAACTACAAGAAGCGGGCAGATGCTGAGCTTGATGGGGATCTCTACAACTACAAGAAACGGGCGGATGCTGAGCTCGATGGAGACTTGTACAACTACAAGAAACGGGCTGATGCTGAGCTCGACGGCGACTTGTATAACTACAAGCGCGACGGGGCCGAGCTCGATGGTGATCTCTACAACTACAAGAAGCGGGCTGAGGCTGAGCTCGACGGCGACCTCTACAACTACTAAAGCACCGCCCTCGACCCGGGACAGAATTGGGGAAGAGACGTGGGACAGAGGTGGCACTGGTTGTTACGGTGGATGATAGGGATGTAGCTTGTTGTCACGTCGTTAATGGTGGTTTGTGTTATTCGAAGGAGTATCTGTCTTTATCTGTCATCAAGATGGTAGTAGACTGTAGGTACATGGACTAGAAATGTATGCAGCCTGCCAGAAAGTCGGACGATGATCACAAGCAACGTAGAGCAGTTTCGACTATACGCTGGAACAAGGACATGCAACAGCATCAGCAAGCCTCCGTAACCCCCTCCTCATCGTCCAACTCCACGTACCAAGTCTGCACCGCCGCAAGCAAAGCAATCACCCCGGAGCCCCACCACGCCAACGCACTGAAATGGTGATTCTCCCCGATGCTCTGCAACAGGCCCGCAACGGTGGGGGAGAAGGTCCGGCACGCCGCGCCCGCGCTCGTCACCAGCCCGTTCACCCGCCCCAGGATCAGCGGATCCGGCGTCCACCGCTTGATGAAGATCAACAGGGCCGGGTAGCTGAACGATGAGAAGACATTGCGCACCACCAGCCAGGTCCACAGGCCGACAGGCCGCCACCCGCGCGCCGGCAGGAACGGGAGATAGGGCAGGCAGAAGTAGGCGGCCGGGTGGAGGAAGGTCATGACCAGCAACGTCCGGCGGAGGCCGAACCAGTCCGTGCACACGGGGAAGAGCAACTGAATGCCCAGGCCGATGATCCCGTTGATGCCCATCACCAGACCCACCGTCGACAGACTCATGTCGAGACCGCCCACCCCGCCGAGGTAGTACCGCGGCACGCTGGGATCGCGCGGGGTCCGGAGGAAGATGGGCAGCAGCTGGATGTAGGTGACGGTATGGGCACTCAGCAAGCAGACGGCGCTGATCAGCATCTTGACGTTGCGGTTCAGACTCCACAGCGAGAAGCTGGGAGTAGCAGTAGCGACTCCCTCCGTCAGCGCACGAGCACGGGCAGCAGCAGAATCCGCACTGGTCTGGAGGTGCTGTCGAAGGAGGGGTGAACTTTCAGACTGGGCTGGTTCTGGTTGCTGTGATTCATCTGTGCGCTTCAATCTCAACTCCGGATGAGTCTCATCCAGAGCGCACCACGCCAACACCATCGTGAACAGAACCATCGCCGCACAGGCCATATTGGGCAGCAGATAGGGATACTGACGCAGCAAGGAGCTGAGAAAGTGTTCTCCCAGGTTCAGCTGCTGCTGCGCCAATAGCCCCCCGAGGGCCGGACCGATTGTGCATCCGATGCTGAAAAAGAACGGTATGACAGCATACGCCCGTGCTACATTGATCGTCAGTGTCGGCCAGGATACACTCAAGATGAACCCCTCGCAGGACCCTCCAATGTATCGGATCAATCAAACCCACCTTCATGCTCCGAGCGACTGACCATCTCACTCACCATGGTCTGGACCACCCCGACATTCCCATTCAAGGCGCCCCCCAGCGCCCGGGCAAGAATGGCCATCCAGATGCTGGTCGCAAAGCCCAGCACAAACATGGATAGGACGGTGCCAGCGCACCCCAGCAACAAGACGGGCTTCCTTCCGATCCGGTCGGAGAGCGCCCCCCACCAGAACCCTGTCAGCGTCTCCGCCGCGGAGAAAGCCGCCACAAAGAGCCCGGCGTAGAACGCAGCGGGGTTGTTGCCGCTGTCGTTGCTGTTGTCGCCATTGCGCAGCAGATGTACCATCAAGTCATATGCGTACGGGAGGGGGGAAGTCAGAGCGACTGGCTCGGCGATGCGGCATAGTCCTGTGGTGGTTGAGGAGGACATGAGCGGGGTAGAGTTTCGCGTTTTGAGTGGTGGTAAAGCTTACCCAGAAGGAACAGTTGCCATGTGGGGAAGTATCTCTGCTTCGTGGGTTCCATCATTCACGTTCAGTTTTGGTGGATTTAGTGAACTTGGTGGACTCATCCCACGGAAATGGAAGAGCTGTTCATCCATGGAAGATATACGGTATGGTAGTGGGCAAGCGGTCACGTGCAATTTGTCACTGCAACCGAAAGCCATAGCCAGGACAATCCTGGGAAAGAAAAAAAGGAAAAAAGGGAAAAGAAAAGAAAGAGAACGGGTGTTCGGCTGAAGAAAGGTTGCAAGGGTCAGGGTCAGCCTGTAGAGAGGGTCACGCACTTCCCAAACGCCACATACTTTTACTACCACATTCCTTACCCAAACAGATTGATTATCTTCAGGAATACAAGTAATTAAGGATTTTGACAACCACCCCTGCAGAGTTTCTGCGGCAAAAAAAATGATGCTTTTATATGAACACATACAAAAACCAGCAGCCGTTCCGCAAGTGCGTGGCGTTCCAGAAGTGCGTGGCGCCCTCTATTTGCGTCCGCTTGCTTTCACAATTCACATCCACCTGCATCTTGGCGGGGGACCAAGTTCCCCCTTTAGGCAATTTGTTCAGCTGCCGGGAGAGGATTGTACTACCACACTACCTATACGCCGAACCATCCATCCTTGGAGACGAACAATCCCTGGTCCTGGAACATGTAGTATAACATGTGTATAGTAACTTAACATCTAGTAGATCTAGTTATAAACATATCCCTCCAATAAAACAAGGACTCTATCGTCCCCTTCAACAGCCAAAATCAAAATATGTAGATGGCAAAGTATTCTAGCATACTTTCACCTCATAGACAGCCAACATGTGCAAGTACAGGGTTCAGAATGGTATCAATTAAAGCCAAAGGAGAAAATAAGATCGCTGGTCGCTATGTGATGATGCGGGATCAACTGCATCGACTGTCAAAGTCTGTATGTGCAAAATATATCGTGCCGTGGCAACGTGGAATGCATAAGGGAAAAAGGGAGAATTAAACATGGTGGCCGACGAGTGAGCTTTTGGCGTTAGAGGTAAGATACGATGTCACGGAGTGATTCTCGATTGTCGGGATGCGCTGCGACGGCCGCTCGAGCCGTATGAACCAGGGGCCAGGCTTTTCCGCTGTTCTTGGATCGGATGCAATGGCGGCGCGATGCCTTGCCTGGGATCCATGCCTGGTTCACCCCAGCCAGGCGGTTGAGGGTCGATTGGGGAGGGAATCTTGGGGAGTGGACAGTTAGGGGGTGGAGCTGCAGGTGGCCCGATTAGTCCTGGCATGCTCTTGCGTCGGCCCATCCCGGCCGGCGGTAAGCGTGCATTGAGATCGGTCGGATACATCACTGATCCCCGCATCCGGGCGTGATCCTGACCATTTGTTTGCTCTTCAGCCAGAAGATGGAGCTCGGAAGGAGGCTTTCCGCCCACGGCGGTTGTAGGACGCAGCGTGTTAGCTGCGCTTTTCAATGGGTTCCGAGACAAGCGGGAAAGGCGATGAGTCTTCGAATCGACGCTTCGTGCGGGATCAACAAGGGAATCCTGCGAGCTAGATACTCGTAGTAGTTTGGGTGGAGATAATCCCTGAGTAGGCCCGACCTGGTGCGGCTCGTTCACAGCCCCTTGCCCAAGTCCATTCATGATCTTGCCTGGAGAGTGTGGGGGAGATGGGAAAGCTAACAGAGGATCAGCGGGTGAGTCTACGTCAACAAGGTCGAGAGCAGGCGGGGCCTGCGGAAACTGCGGGACTTGCAGCGGCCCAAACCGAGCCGTGAACCGTTTGCTGAAGGAGGGTACGCTGAAGTTTGGTGCGGGTGGAGAGGTACTGCGGTAGATCGGGTCGGGTTGGGTCGAATGAGCCCGAGGAATCTCAGCCGCCAACTCCGCAGCTGTGGGAACGGTCTGCGTTGGCGACGCATGCATCGATCGTCTCTTGGTTGACCCCGAAGCTGTTGGGCTAGCCATATCCCCAGACCTGGGCACATTATCAGCGGAAGGCACGCTCGGAACACTCGATGCTGTCATAGAGTAGAAGCGTCCCGAATTGCTGATTGGAGACGTGACTTCGGTATGAGTTGTGGAGATAGACCCTGAACGAGACTCCGATGCTGGAGGTAGCACTATCGAACGGCGGTTGATGGAGACATGGGAATTCCGGCGAGACTGGTCACTAAAGCTTGGATCCCTTTCCTCTCCGGACGCAGGCAGCTGGGGTGGAATCAGCGTGGAGTATCGCTTCGTATCCTTTGTTATCATTTGACGAATGCTGGGCTTGTTGTGAAGCTGGTGGCCTGGCTCCCCATCATCGGCCCTTTCAGAGATGTACTTCTTACCGCCACGCGCCTCAATTTGAGCTCGGACTGCCAACAACCAGGTGTTCATGTCTTCGGGATGATCGAAGACCAGCAAAAATGTGCGTTCCATCCGTCGAGTATGGGAACGATGGAACCCAAAGCGAAATCGATGATGCTTGGTACCTTCAACGCCTTCCTCGTCTGATGATTGCGTCACTTGAAGCACGTAGTGCTTCCCAGGAATAGCATCACTGGCAAATGCCACTGATTTGGGTCCCAACTGAAGCATTTTTTCAGGCAAACGGTCGTGCTTGCCGGAGCCCGCATATTGTAAGATATAGCCGGCGGTAGCGAGAACGTACACCTTCTGCGACCATTCGGTCTTACTAATGGTTTCAGAAAGGGTGCGCAGGTGCCTTTTTCGCTCTTTCTCTTCTTTCTTCTTCTTGGTGGTTGTGTCCTCCGCGGCGTCTCCGTTCTGCGATGCCTTGCTTGATGGGTCATCTTCACGGGAGACGATCCCTTTGGCCCTTGCCGTTGCTTGCATGCGTAGAATAGTGTCCACCGAGAGAGAAGGAACCGGCAACGAATCATGCTTGATCGACTGCGGGTATGCCTGGAACAAGGGCGGTGGTTTCCAGCCTAAGTCACCTGCCGGAGGTTGATCATCGCCGGACTTCCCCCGCGATTTCGCAGGAAGCCTCGAGCGCTGAGAAGCAATTGTGGTGGGAGATGTGGGTAGTGTCGCAGCAGAGGTATTGGTTCTCGGTGTCGCGACCAAAGTTGGTGACAAGGGCACTGCCCCTGAGTTGGGGGCCGGTTGCTCCGTGGCAGGTTTCTGTTCATCGATACCAGATAGCTTGGCCTCCGTGGCTGGCTTACGGGCCGATTTGTCGCGCCCGAAAATGTTGCGCAGACTGGATTTGGATGTCTGGCGTTTGACCGGAGCGGGTTGTAAAGGGACTCGCTCTCCTCCCTCCTCATCTGTCTGGTAGTCGGATGGCCGGGGTCGCTGTGGTCGAGTGGCTGTTACTTGTATCGGGCGCGCGGTGGGACGGCTGAAATTAGTTTGCAGCGGTGCCAATCGCTGGCCTCTGCGCTCGTTAACCGATTGTTGCGGGGAATCAATTTCGAGCGACATTCTCTGCGCGAATTCCCACAATTGCGCAGAATTTCGGTGCGGGAAGTCGGGGGATCTGGTACGAGTCGGGGTATGATCGAAGTCGGAAAAGCATTCAGCATTCGTGCCACGGCTAGGTGATGATTAAAACGAGAGATTCAGGTAAAGAATGTGGTCAAACTGGCTGGATGACTTCATCGACAGACGATGCAAGACAACGGACGGGATAGAGCGATGGTCGGACCACTAGACGTGGATCATTCCCGTCCAAATTGTGGAGGCACCGTGTCGCATCCACCAGAACAGAGCTCAGAGCGGTACAGACGAGAGAGAACGATCGCGATAACAGGCTGTGGATACAGGACGAGCCCAGAGTGTACGACGAACAGGGGATGATTGTCGGGAGTGGGAAACTGGGTCAACAGATCACCGGGGTGAAGATCAGATCAGGAGAAATCCATTGCCGTCCGTGAGCTATAAGAGAGTCGCAATTGAAGGTCATTCAGCGAGGGAGACAGTCGAGAGCAGCAAGGATAGAACAGAATGAACGATAAAAGGGCGAAAAGAGGGGAAACGAAGAGGCAAGAGAGTGTGAGGGCCAGGTTGGACGAAGGGAGGGGAGGGGAGGTGGGAGAAAGAGGAAGAAAGCGTTGATGACTCGATCGAAAATTGGCGACAAGAGAGAGGCAGGCAGGACTCGAGAGGAGAGGGGAGGGGGGCAGAAAGTATTAAAAATAAAATAGGTCACTTATTTTGTTTGAAAGAAAACGATGAGAGAGAATGAAACTAAAAATGAAACTAAAGAAGAAACGATGGGACGGACGAACGATGGACGCAAACCCGCGTGAAACGGGCTGCAGGCAAGGATCCCAAAGTGTTCAAGGTTCCCACTGCAAGATCCGAAACGGTTTGGTGACCGATGAGCTGAGGCAGCGGACTGTCCCCCACCCCCTTGGAAAGTCAGTGATTTGAGTTTTGATCTCCTTCTGGAAGGATAATGTTCGATGGGTGGATGAGAGGATGTTCAGGACGTCCGTAGAAAACAAGAGGAGGAGAGGGAAAATGGGGTCGAGGGGGAGAATCGAACAGCCCGCCAGAGATTCAATTCGATCCCCAAAAAAACAATGGCTGCTGCTGCCCCTGAATTGACCCAGCCTTGCAGGGCTCCACTTTCCTCCCCATCGCGTGTAAGAAGTTGAGCGTTTGAAGCTAGAGAAATGACGACGGAGACATTGTAATACTGTGAGCTTGGAGTACGGAGTAGAGAGCCTCCAAATTTGTTGTCCTGTTTGTCACATTTCTCCTGCTCTTCCTGGCAGCCATTTCACAGAGAAGTGAAGATGAATGAAGCTGTCAACCTCCTCCTCCACCACCACCCACATTCCGCCCATCTTATCTCTACAACCGAGGAAAGAGGAATCCGAATCCGCTGAGTCAGCCCCTTTCTGTCTGGTGGTTCCAGACTCTGGCTGCTATTCTCTCGTTCTCTCTTTAATTTGACTTTTGTGTGTTTGGACTTTCACTTTCACCCCCTTCAAGTTTGATGCTGCTGGCTGGCTGGCTGGCTTGGAGTTTCATCTCTCACCTCCTGATTCGAACTTGTTATACGCGCACAACATACAGGACTTATACAGAGTTCATGACAACACCCCCAAAATCGATACAACCCGAACCATCAATGGCACTTCCTCCCCTGCCCGGCCTCCACCGCCCCCATCAGTTCCGCCGCCTCGTCACAATGCTGCGCCATATCCACATCCTTTCCCGTTAGACCTCGCGGGTGGTGCGTCGTCCAGTGGATATCCACCGATCCAATCCGCTATTGAACCAGAACCACACACAGTCAGCCTCTTTACTCACGTAGTAATTCTTTCCGACCTGTCCATACACCCCCTTTTCTCCTCCTCGGATCGGATTCTTTCCCCCACCATTACTAGATGTCCAGACCCAGGAGGTATCGCCCCGGGAAAGAAAGAAGAACGAATGGAGTCAACAAACCCAAACACGAAGGGAGAAAAGAAAAAAAAAAAAACTTACAACAGTCATAGTAGGATGATGCTTCATCGTGGCACTTTGCGAAGCAACCACATTCACAAAGCTCTACACAACCCAGTCAGCCCATCAATCAATCCCCAGCCCCCATCATCCCTTGCCAGCTGAACACTCCGGGCCCTACCCTTCCCTTCCCCGGAAAATCAAACTCGGAAAAGGTTGGGTGCGAGAGGAGCGGAAACCGCCTTGGGAAAGGACTAGGCCACAAACTTACCACCGCCTTGAAATAAGTCTTGAAGAAGTACGTCTTCTGCAATCCCTGGCCCTCCGCATCCAGCGTCCACCCTTGCTCCGGCTGCAGCAGCGCGGTCAGGCGCGGCCGGAGCTCTTCCGCGTCGACGCCCTCGGCGAATTGCGGGTCAACGGCCGCGGAGTTCGCGGAAGCGGACATGCTGGAGGAGAAGACGCGTGTCGTAGTGGATGGGGAGGAAGTTGAGTGATTCTGTGTCCGGAGGCTGCTGGTGGGGGTGCTCCGAGTGAGGGGTGTAGTTCGGACAGGACGGGCTGGGGAAATAGTGGAGGAGGCAGAAGAAGAAACAGAAGAGTAGAAGCGGAAGGTAGATGGGCGAGCGAAATGGCTCCTTTGCAGGCGAGAGAGGAGTACGCAAGGCCGTGGGCTTGCCCTGATGATGTGGTCCATGCTGGATGGGATGAGCCAGAAAGAGGGTGTCTACCAGAATTGCGGTCGGGGATGCGCGCTGCGGCGGCGGCGTTTGCGCGGGTGGTGGAGGTGAGAAGCTTCGGCCACCCGCGCAAGGCACGTGACCCGCCTCCGGGGCGCGGCGGGCGGGTCGATCTCCCGCCGCGCTGAAGAGGAATGACGGGGCCAGCCAGCCAGCCAGTTAGCCAGTCAGCCGACCAACCAACCGTAACTTAATCACCAGCCTTCGAGATGACAAGGTCCATGGCCTAATCCTACCTTACTTACTTGTCTAGAAGACAAGTCTACTATAAATAGGACAGAGGCTGATTACGAACAGTGGGATCCTGGTCATGACACTCAACTTGTGATCCAGGAAGCTATTCAATCCTCTATGGAGGAAAATCTCATTGCAATTATGATGACAGCTGCTGACAACTTGAGACTAGCTGGTGGGATTGTAGTTTTAAAGAGCGATAGGACCGGTTCTCAGCGTAGGACCGGAAGCAAAAACCAAACAGTGAAGAACTGTCGAGCTGGGCCCCGCCGAAGCTACCAGCCTGCCCATATCGGCTCCATCCAGTAGGAAACAGAAGAATGAAGATAGAACAATTGGATGATATCTAGACTATCTAGAGTAGCAAAGTCCAACTCAGTGGATCATGATCCTGGAAGGATAAACAGATCGAACGGTACAAGGCTAAATCGAGAGTCAAGACACACAAAACAGGATGGATGAAGCCCTTCGCCACAGAAAGTGGGTATCAACGCTCGTTAATCATTTCACTAATATCATAGGGAGAAAATGGTTCCTCGTCGCACGCCCAAGCCTACCGCGAGAAACTGTTCTTGCGTGACTGGACTCGAGAGTTGACCCCAGAGGCTGGACGAGAAGCCACATAGCTATTGGCCCGGCTACCAAGAGTCTGACGGATGCGCAGATTCTGCTGAGACCGAGCAAAGGAGTTCGCACGCGACCCAGAGGGTATCCGAGAAAGTCTTCGACCATGGGTTTGGAGTTCAACTCGTGCATCGGACAATTGCTGGGCGAAAGGCGATCGCTTGCGAAGGACAGGCCCATACCAGTAAATGACATAGACCGCAACGACAAGCAAAAACGAAATGCAGAACAAAATCGTGGAAGCATATTCAAGATGGTACTTTCCACCGATATCTATACAACAATTGATTAGAACGACGTATCACAGACCATCGGATGGAGAAACTCACTTTGGAAGAAGGGTGTAGCAGGGATAGTCAGAACACCGGCCAAGAAGTCACGCGCCCATCCATTACCTCCGGTCGCAGAAGCCGAGTAAGGTCCGTAGGCACAGATCATGTAGTCGATGGTAGCCATATAGATACTGTAGTTGGCGATACCAACGATAGCGGAGAAGACCATGGTCCCGATCCAGTGGACAGGGGGGCCAAGACTGGTCCAAGCAAAGCCAATCAGTCCAATCGGCAAGCAGGGTGCGGTATAGAGCAGCCACCAAAGCCGAGATTCGTACTGAGCACGTTCATCGTCGGGCTTGTTCTGGCGCTCTTTGATGTTCCGTTTGATGACAGGGATGAATGAGAACCACGCAATGAAATATCCAACCAGAATTGGAAGGAAGGACAGACCGAGGGCCACAGTGCTAAAGTTCCACTGATCGTAGACGAGGCTGAATGACTGAATGAACATGAAGATCAGTGCATCACTGAATCCACTCAGAAGAGAGAGGGTGAGGACAATTGGCTCAGTCAAGAACATCTTGAAAGGGCGGACCCAGGTATGTAGAACCTCGCTCATCGAGAAACGTTCCTTGAAAGGAACAAGTTCGTTGGGACCATAGATGTTGGGGTCTTCGCCGCTCTCTCTTCTCTTCTTGGCAATTCGATCCATCATGATTGTGGTTCGAGTCTCAGGCACGAGAAGGAAATGCGCCACCTGGACGAATCCTCCGAAGATAAGTTGGATCCAGATGTTCCAGCGCCAGGGCAAGTACGCTTCGACGAATCCACCTACAACGGGCCCAATCACAGAGCCGCCGACGGATGAAAACACAACACAGGCGACGGCATATTGCTGGTCATCAGCCTCCCAGAGGTCAGCGATCATACCCAATGTGACCGAACCACCGGCTGAACTGAGGCCTCCCAGGGCACGTCCGACCATAATCGACGCGAAGTTGGGTGCGAGGGCCACGGGCAATTGCCAAATGTTAACCAAGAACAGACTCAGTTGTAGAATCGGTTTGCGGCCAAGTTCCTCACTCCAGGGAGCCCACAGTTCACAGCCGAAAGCATATAAAACCAGGAAGATCATTGCACCACAACGGGCAGCCTGCATGCTGACACCAAATTCTTCTGAGATGCCGCCCAAAGCGTTCGAGTAGAGACTGGTATTGAAGTTCATAGATGTCTGGACAAGGAAGATGACGCTGATAATCATCCACTTCCGCCATGCCGGGAATGAGTAGCCCAGCTCATCGTAACAGTCGTCTTCGGTAAGTTCAATCTTATCGTACGGTCCTTCCTCATGATGTTGTAGAGTAGCCCCCGAGTCACGGTTGGCCGCCAACTCGGGCTTCTGCTCTGTCAAGGCCTTTTCGGTTGCTGGATCCAGGACAACATCGTTGTGGGTGGAAGAGGAAGCCTCCGAGCTATGATATTTTTCGTTATCGCTTAGATTGCGTCGGTCAAGTTCTCCTCCCATGGCGGCCTGTAAAAAGCGTCTTTTAGTATATAGAACACGATTTTAAGAATGAAGAATGCGAAACAAATTGCAAGCCAAAGTCGATGGATCACAGCCCGAACCAAGCGGCAGAGGCGTGAAAGATAGTACCGAAACAAGCGGTAGGGACACAAAAGGTAGTATACAATCCAAGTAACGCAGTCCCAGGCACGCAAAAAGTGGTATACCAGACGGTGGTAAATTTCAGGGAAAAACTCAGCGAATGCAATGACAACGAGAATAGGAAGAAGCAGGAAGCAAATGAAAACGCGAAGAGGGAAGGCTATAGCTTTTTCTAGCATTGAACGTAACAAGCAGGCAAGCAGGCAAGCAAGAACTAATGGTATTGTGGTGAAAGATATGGGTTAAATGGATGGTGAGACTTACAAGGTGAGGCAATCCACCTGGTGGATTGAATAGAAGATGCACAAAGCGACTAGTCAACTACTTCAGGAAGGAAGGAAGGATGGGGACGTGCGAATTGCAGCTGAAATGAGGAAGCAAGAGCTGAGCCCCAGTAACCGTATCAATTAGAAGGCGGGTGAGAGGCAGGAGATGAGAGACAAGAGAAGAAGAAGGTTGGGGAAGGAGGAAGAGAAGAAGATGAAGAAGAAGGTGGATCTGAGGACAGTAACCCCAATAGAGAAGAAGGGTGCAGTTAGGTCAGTGCAGTGTACTAATTGCAGTGAGCACCACAATGGAAAAGTGCTGCAATAGTGTAGACGTGCTTCTTCCGGCAAACAATCCCAAACAGGCAATTAGAAGTATGATGATTGCAACAACAGATCCGGTGGATCACACAGGCATCGATCTCATCCATGCAAAATTAGGAGGGAAACCTGTTGCTTTAATAATAATGCACCGAGCCTCCCCTCCAGTGCCAGTGGAGCTGGAGAATAATGCCAGTGGTTAAAGTTCAGGCTGCCCAGGTGTCTCCGACGAGGGCCACGAGCAGAAAGTGGAAAATGGATCCATGCAAGTTGAATTTCACCACCATTTCTTCCGCCCCCTTCAACACTACCGTACCCTATTGTGGCTTGGACTTCAGTCACACTCTTTTCTTTGTTGAGATGCCATCCAGATCTTATTTTTTTTTTCTAATTCTTCTTCATGCCATTCACTACTTGCCTCCCATCGTTGTACCAGAAATGCAGTATCCCCCTCGTGGGCGGCCAGCGGACGGGGCACGTTGATGCAGCAGCGGGTTGCCAGATCAGGATGCAGGCTATACTCGAGTACTACCTCATTCAGACCACACGCAGAGAGTTCCACTTGCCACGCTACCTGAATCGAGTCAAGCAGCCAGTCATTTCTACTCGATCCCTGGGCCGGATGGATCCGTCGCTCACATCATTACCCAAAACCGTCGTCTGACCTGGGAGGCAAACGGGCAAAAGCCCCGGAAGAAAAGGAACCTGCAAGAAGAGTGGCCGGGGAGAAGAAAGAATACATTGAACCCCCACTCCGGGGTCGGCGTTACTACGCTTGGATACCACTAAGGCACTAACACACACCATGACCGCCGCCGGAGTCGTTCTGGCCCGAAAGAAATCTCGACTTCAGGAATGCCCGCTTCGGGAAAGCCTACCACGGCACGAGAGTCGCGTGAGGCCGAAGCCAATAATGAGTGCGGTCTTTTCTTATCGGGACTGTACAGATGGCCACGGTCGAGGCTTTCAATAAGGCTCACGCAAAGGCGTGTGCGACGCAAGGGTTAGGGGATACCAAGTGGCCAGGAGCAGTAGTACGGTATGCGCTTTCCCGGGCGATCGATTGTATGAGAGGCCCAACGCTCGGTCAACATTACGGCCATGATACTGCCAAGAAACTCATCAACAAAGCACAGGTAGAAAGTGCTAGATGAATGATTCATGGAAAGGAGACTGACTATGATGATGATGATGATTATGATGGAAGTGGTGGTAACTAACGTTAGTAGTGGTGGGATGATTTTCCCCAATTCTTGATTTTTCTTTTAACTGCTGACTAGCGCGGGTGGGTTGGCCTCTGGGTTCGGTCGGTTTCCCACGGGGTTGTTGGCTCGGGGTAGCCGTGCGTGACGTCAACTGCGCCAGTTCCACGCCGATCGTTTCCCCGACTTCTCAACGCTCAGATTATATCGAGTATTTTCCTCGAGGATCGACCCTCCCCTCCATGACATTTGTCTGTCAATGTCATGATTGTTATTCAGCCTGATTTTGATTCCAGAAAATCGCGTCGAATCCTGTCAGTACTTCAGGGGCATCCTTGCTGCACAACATGGGCATGGGCATGCCGCCAACGCCTCTCGGACATCTCGCGATCTTCCCCGGACTGAATCTCAGCCACCGATGACCAAGTTCTCTGGGACGAAAACTGACCTTCGGCACATCAGACTTAGCGCAATACTACGTACACGTATACTACACTAGGATGAAGAGGACCACTTGGTTCATCCTTCCTCCCTGACCGACTGCGCTAGTCTTGCAAAAACTCTTCGCAGTCAGCAGTCGGCCTTCGACTTGTAAGGTGGTGTTGGTGGCGTGTAGCAGACAAAACACCATCACGGGATTAAGTTCGAATGAAGTCCGACAAAGAATCATCAGCAGTCTACAGTAGTAACGTCGTAGCACGGTCATTGAGAACCCAGGGAAAATGATGAGAGTGAACCACCACTGACGCCAATTACACCCAAGAGTCGGTTAGTGCCGACAGCCACTGTCCGGTGGTTGAGCTAAGGCTCGAAGCCAAGACGATGTGGCGGACAATCCCCTGGCTTAGGTGATTTTTTTTTCGGTCCAGGAGCGGCCGGGCCTCTCCTCGACTTTATGCAGACTGCAACCGACCGCAGAATTTTGCATTGTCTCAGTAGTCGGGATGTCGAGTCTAGACATTCCTCGGTAGACTGGTAGACTGGAGAGAATGTTCGGTTGAATGCATGTGTGAGATACCCTGAGAACAACAAAGACAAGTGAGAACAGGAGGCGAGACCGAACGATGGGCGTGCCGGGAAGTTCGGGAGATGGCCGAATGTCTGTTTCCGGCACCCGGCAATCTGTTTGCGGATGGAAGTCGGGGGTTGCCCAGTGCCAGCTGAGTGAACCGGGCGGGAGCGTCAGAGGAGCGTCAAAAGTTGTGCTTCCTCACCGCCTGCCATTTCCACTCAATCCCCGCGATAAGTTGGGTTCCCGCCATTTCCCGGTCATTTGCCCTTCCCCATGAAATCCACCAATTCCACCAAATCAACACAAACAACCCTCCCATATCCGCCGAGCTTGTTTCACCCCCTGCTTATCCTTTTTATCAATTTACGGTCCTCGATTATTGGGATTGAGTCTCCAATTCCTGGAAAAGAGGTTTTCCACTTCTTGACCCCGCTCCGTCATATGATCACTAGCCAGACAGACGGTGATGTGTCCTGATATCAATTCTCTGCCTGCCCCATCGCCTCATACCCATACCCGTACTTCCTCTTCCCCGCATCGCCAACGGGCTGTGTACGACCCCTTGCATCTGCACAATCCTCCGTCGGGTTTCTCCTTTCTCAGCCTGGCCACCATGAATAACAGTCCTAACAGCCACTTGGGCGATCCCAATCACGCCGTTGCCACTGACCTGCCTCATCGGCCTGCTCCGATTTCCAGTACTCGTTCGGGAACCGCAGGTCCGGAACGACGCCGGTCCACCGCCGGGTCCAACTCAATTTTTAACAGCAACAACAACAGCAGCAACAGCAATGGCAACGCTAGTGAGTCGGTGTCGGGCGAATCCCCGCTTGCCCCTCACGACCATCGCTCCTCGTTGAGCCACAATGCGCTGCGTACCTCTAGTTCCTCCAGTCTCGGGGGTAGTCCAATCATCGCCTTGGGGGACCCGCATCACCAGCGCGCGCCCTCGTTGGGGGAACTCCATCAGGAATTAGAACAGGAGCAGGAAGCGCAGGTGGTATGATCGCGAGTTCTTCCCTCTCACTATTTGCTGAACGTACTGACTTGTATGGCTCGATCAAGAATCGACTGCTGCAGATGATCCGCAGCCAGCAGACTCAATTGCACCAACTCCAGCAACAGCACCAGCAGCTGTCGCACCCGTCGTCCGGCACGGCAGTGGTCGACGACGCTGCCGTCCCCTTTCCCCCGGTTCCTCCGCACCCCGCCTCCGGTAGTCGGGCATCGACCCAATTAGCGTCCTCTCTGTCGAGTCGGCGCCCCTCCCGGCCCTCCAGTCAAGCCGGCTCACCCAGCCTGCGTCCCCGCGCTGATTCGTCACGCGGCCCGGAGGGACTGGAGTGGGTTGGAGGCATCGGGGAGAGCCCTGTCCGGCGGGGAAGCAGGGATGAAAGTGCATTCTACCAGGCTGAGGCGGCTATGCTGACCCGGGAGAATCGGATGCTGCGACAGCGCATTCGCGAGCTGGGTAAGTGTATATCCATCCAGTGTCAGCCCATGGAGCGGAGAGGTGTCACTCCAGTCTACGTGCGTTCATCTGCAAATGACCAAATTTTAATTCACCATGCACAGAACGCCAAGTCAGCGAGCTCACTGTTGGTGCCCAACCACTTCAACGTTCTGCGCTCTCTGGCAGCCAGGACACCGACAATGCCGGCGTTCAGGAACCCGCGGGACGAGGATCGGCAAGCGACTTGTCGGACAAGACATGACTGACTTTGGGCCACATGGGAACACATTCTGCCTCCTTCTCCTCCTGGCATAAAGTTTAAGGATGACCCTCCAGATCGGCGGTGATCGGCACATTCTTGTGATCTTTACCGGACGGCACTGACAACGATAACTACCCGATTAGCCGGCCAGCGCCGCGGAGCAGAAAATGGTATAAAGTGTCTATTCACCCGATCCGATCATTCAACACATACCCCCTTCTCTTTTTCCTATGCGGTGGATATCAACTCGCCAAGCGTTTACCTTCTGTTTCTCTTCATGTATTGTACATAAGTACACCTAATGACCTAATGTACACAGCGAATCCCGGCGTTGAATGATAATGAAGCCAGTCACTGGCCTGTGGATTGTTTCTTGCGTTTCAAAGACCTAGACCTGGCCTTTTGTTCTTCAGTTCACACCCTCCCATGTCAAGAACATACGGGGCCCCCTCACCGCCCAACCAGGGCCATTAAGCTTTGCCGCCGTGCCGTCAGCGATACCAGTGCCATCTACCCGTAACTCACCCTTACATATAGCACAACCGCCTACCTTCACTCCGCCACGCAGTAGCACCATACAACCCAGCCATCTCGCAACAATCCAGATCCAGCTCCTGCAGAACATCCTCAAGTGTGAAGCGCACACACGTAGAGTTACCACGAGAACCCAGACCTCCGCTCTTTACCCAGCAAACCACCACACGATACCCCTCCCCCTCCAAAAGAAAAAGACCGAGCTAAACACACAACACACAAAGCCTCCCCACTCCAACCTTATTGCCTGTCCAGTTGTCCAGTTAAACCCATCCTCTGACCCAGTCGGTCAAGGCGGAAGTCTCAGCCTTCTGCAGTAGGCGACTCAGTCCTGAATCCTGCTCAGTCCGAACGATATCCCCTTTCTCGCCGTTCCTGACCTTCTAGGTGGCCTGGGTCTTTTTTTTAAGTTCGTGTTTGTGGGGATACGTTTTTTGGCTTGTGATTTATGTTTACGGTGGTCGTTATCTTGGTTTGGTGTTGGAGGTAGATGCGGAGGTTTATGGATCTGTTGGCCTATGGCTGGATTTATCTTGTACGGGGAGGGGGATGGGGATGGGATAGGGGATTAGGTATTGGATACGCGGTGCCTGTGTTGGATGGATGGACGGGTTGAGATATGAACAGGTCGAGCGGGTGGGGATGAACTGGGCTCTGCCAGTGGGTTGTATTACCTACCTATTACGGGGCGGGGTACTGGACACTGCGGAGAGTAAAGTTGGTGTGGTGGTGTTTGTTGGTAGAGGAGAGTGTGCAAGAGACGACGGACGGACGCGGAGCCGAGTGTTGGGGTTTTCTAGGATGACTGTCTCGAACCTGACTGGAATCTTCTTCTCAAAGGAACTTTGCCGAGCTTACATCCTATCTATCGTATTACTAGGATGCAGTGTGGTGATATGTGCAGAACGATGTTGTTGCACAATATAAACTATGAGTTATCCTTGCTCGTCGGTCGTTATATTGATGTACTGTAGTAAAGTTGCAGTCCTGTATATACATCCAGCCTCCCCACCTTCTCTTATCATACTTACAATACTGCACCTCAAGCAGTATACCCACCCCGCTGCTGTAGACTCCCAATCCTCCCCAGCAGGAACTCCACCTGCCGATACGCAGCGCCAGGGACATACTGCGGGATTTCTACCGACACAGCATTTAAGGTTAGCGCAATCCATCCTTCTGTTGAACTTCGAACAGCAAAAGAGCAAACTGAAGGAAAAACGTACCATGGCCCGACAAATACACCGACGAAAACGTCAGCCCGCGCTCCGTGTACGCCGTCCCCAGGTACCCCGCCCCGGCGTCCAGATTGTAGGGGTCCGGCTCGGTGCCATCATACAATTCCTGCAGTCCGTAATGATAGGGCACGAACAGCGGCTGCGTGAGCGGGTCGCGCTGGAACCCCTGCGCCCCGTTCCAGGTCATGTTCTGGATGGTGGCGAGGGTGCCGTTCAGGATCAGCAGGTAATCGAGCCACCCCTGGCCGATGAGGGTGTTGTTGGTGCGCTCGATGACCCCCGGGAGCACGGTCCACGAGCTGGGCGGCGAGGCGTCGCCCTCCGCGAAGATGGTGTTGCTGCCGCAGACGGAGTAGTCGGTGGGCGGCACATGGAGGGCGCGCTGGACGTCCGTGCGGTTGAAGTAGTTGTTCGGTCCGTAGCCCAGGGACGGGAAGCCCATCACGTCCCATAGGTAGGGGCAGAAGTCGGTCAAGTGGTAGAAGTTGAAGCAGGGGTTGACGTCGTAGGCGGCGCCGACGATCTCGTCCCAGACTAAACAGTCGTCGGTGATGTTGGGGAGCGGCGGAAATGGGTGGACTGGCGGGTATTGGATCGCGGCGTCGAGGAAGGCGTTGTAGCCGCATTCGTCGGCGCGACGGTTGATGTAGCTTAGGAAGGTGTTGTTCAGGGCGAAGACGTTGGTGTAGTGGTTTAGATGCCGGGCTGCGGGGGCTGGAGGGGGGCTTAGTATCTTTTATGGATGGGATGGGATCGATTTGGGCTTGCGAGGGGGATGTACCGTAAATCATGACGGAATCATCGTTGATTGAAGGGTCGTTGATTTGAACGCCCTTCACGTTGAAGTAGGTCTCATTCTCTTCGTCGAGCATCGCGGACGCAATGTACGGGATGTACATGCCCGCGTAGCTCTCGCCGGTGAGGTAGACCTTCCGGCCGTGCAAACCAAAAGTGTCGACGAAGTGCTTGAACCAGCTCTTGAACTGGGCGGCCACGTCCTCTTCGTTGTTGACCGTCGACGGTCCGGGCGAGAAGCCCGTGCCCGCGGGCTGGTCGACGTACACCACATTCGTGAGGTTGGTCCAGGAGTACGGGTTGGGCACGGGCTTGTAGGTGCCAGATTGCCACAGGAAAGGGCCGTTCTCCTGCAGGAGTCCATCCAAAGAGCTGCAGCCTGGGCCACCGTTCAACCAGATGAGAATCTAGCTTGTTAGTCCACAAACACCGTCCAGGCAACGTAGGGAACTGCAAACCTCGTCGCTGGCGTTGACATTCTGCGAAGGGAAAAACCAGAAGAAGAGGCTGCTGTTGCCCGTCGGAGTGTTCGGTAGCAGTCCAGCGTAAGATTCACCCACGTCGAAGTCGACCTCAGGGATGCCGGTGCCGTTGACCAGGAACCCTAGCTTTCGTAAGCAAGACATACCAAGATAGCTAGTTCGAACAGGAGGTTACACTCACGTGCGGTCTTGTTAGTCAGGTACGAGTAATCCCTGATACTGCTGGCGGGAGTCGACGCAGACCGGGGAGCCAATGCTTTGCGCTGGGAAGCAGACGCAGCGCGACGGTGGGGATTCTGCAGGCTGGCGACAGAGCCCACCAGCAGCAGTGACGCAAGGGAAGTGGTCCAACGCATCTTGAGATCGGCTATGGAGTGATGATTGACTGCAGACCAAGCCCTCGATCATCGGCCTACTTATAGGTCTGCGTGGAGACTGTGAGGGGACACACTCTGAGCAACATCGTAGCCGTTGGCCCCACATCATGGTCTGAGCATTCATCGCTTGCCGAGATGAAAGCTGGTTTTGGCGTCCGAGACAAGCTCATATACACAATGAGGGGGCCGTCGGAGCCCCGACTGAGGTGTCAAGATTGTGGATCGCAACCGATATGCGCGGAGTGGTTTAGTGTGCCGTTTGCAAAGGCACTGGCAAATCACAGTCTAAGAGCCGTTGGACCCACGAGTAAGCGCAGGACGATAGCATTCTTCGATAACTGTAGTGATTCGATGAGGGGAAGAGATCGGCGGGCGGATGAAGGATTCTGCCATCGAGCAATTGATGAGGTGCTGTTTTCAGCTCATCTCATCCCATTTCATCTCAACTGATGTCTTCTTATGTGCATGCAGAGGATGTACTTCGGAAAATTCGCTGCAAGGATTACAGCACCAATGCACCAGCAATGGAAACCTTATCGCTACAACTGCTGAATTGACACCTCCTAGCACTAGTCTTAATGGAGACCAGGCCCTGGACCATCTCCGATGCAGTCCGGTTAAAATCTCAACGCGGCGATTTCTGGCCGTTTCACGGTGGACTGACCGGGTGTACCACTACTTGCGTCTTCCTTCTTTCATGTTCCTGTAATATATTGTCTGTTAGCTAGATCAGACGCCCCACGGTCGTGCCCTTCAATTCCATGTGCAAAGTCGAGAAATTCTTAACCATCGATCAGAAACTACCGGCGACAGCCGCAGATCGGAGCGGCACGGGATGGTTTATCAAGATTGGCATGTCGCTGATGATACACAAGAACCATTATGGTCGCTGCAGTTGTCAACACTATATAACAAAACCCAGTTATTTTATCGGGAGGTAACTTGGGGGCAGCTTTCAATGCCCTTCGAAAACTCGCAACCTGGCCGTGAATAAGTCGAGCAACACCCCGGTGGGAGCAAATCAGAAAGTTCACACTGAACACACTAGGGGTGTTCTCTGACTGGGCCGGGCGGAAAATCCATTGGATTGGATTTCCGCTGGCTTCATCCTCTGGACCATGTTTCTACCAGCCATAGTCGAGGCACGAACCGTAAAATGAGTTCCGTCGGACCAGATCAGCGGGGAGTATGCCTAGTAGGACAACACAGGAGCCGTTATGCTGTGGCAGCCCATGCACTTGCTGAGTCCTAATCGACCCGTTTCTGGGGCTATCGTAGAGGGGCTTTCGAGACAAATGGCTGTCGGCGAGTAGCCAGGCGGAGATCACGAGGCGTGGCGTAGACGTGCACGACCCTAGGCAACGCCAAGTCACTATCTAATGCTCAAAGCTTGGAGCCAAGCGGGGCCGCGGTGACAGATCAGAAAGGAGGCGTGGGATTGATACGAGGAGGCACGGGGATCGGCGAGAAGTCACGTCGCGCTCTCTGGGTACTGTACGGAGCTACTTAGTACAGCTGAGTACTTCGTACTCCGTAGTTTCGGCGCCATCGTGGCTTGAGAGGCGTTGATTTGACCGGACGGTCGCAGGAGCATTGATTGGTGGTGTTCAGCGGACAATGCGCACACTATTCCAACCATTGTCGCAACTTAGGGAGCTTGAGCTTTGCGGGAGATGAGGTGAAGCGGATTGGTGTGTACGGAGTATGCTGTGCTGTACTCCGTAAGAGACCCGCCAAGGGTGTCTTGGTGGAATCCCGCACCAATAAATATCCTCATGCCTTCTTCTCCTTCCACTCTCCATCCTGGTCGCATCCATGTGTACTGGCTCATTCCTTGTCCACTTTATACTCACTCTCCGCAATCAAGATTGAATTTTGAGTGCCAAGCCCATGGGCAATTGATCGATTGCTTCTTTCACCTCACCGACAACTGCGTGCTGATCTCCTTGGAAGGCTTGAAGATGTGAAATCATCCCATCCGGCAATTGCGTGCTCTGGAGCCATTCACTCTCCGCCTGTGCCTCCTCTCTCCCCTTCTTCACCCCCTCCCCCTCCCCTCCACATCAATGATCAGCCTTTTTGTTTATTTCCTCCCTCTGTGACAGCCTAGCTACTTATTTATCCTCGTGCCTGCAGTTGGGTCGCACAGGATCATGGCTCTTTCTTTGTCCGGTGCTTCCCTCGTGTCACCCATTGGCCCCTTTTAAGTTATCGACTCGATCTCTATATCTTCCCCACCGCAACCTCGGTCTACGGAATTTCTGAATTCAAGCAGACAATCTTCGCTCAGTCAGATAGTCGTTGCTCAGACCTACCATACATGTACAAATCCTGATCGTTGCACGCCTTTTTTACTCATGGCTGCCTGGACTCACGGTCGCCCCGCCGATGATGGCACGCAGCCCCTCCTAGAGGCGCAGGAATATGACTCTTACTCCTGGGTGCTGCTTGAAGATCACCCACTCCGCTCTCATCCGACTGAATGCTGTCCAGGAATCTGGTGGATGCTTCAGCAGTGGTATGCCACCTTTCGGAAGCTCTGGGGCGATCGCATCTTTTCAATCATCTGCCTGCTATTGATGTTTGGGTATATCTCCATTCACCTGGTCCTTGACTCAGACCTACAACAATCGCACCGAATGTTACTGACTGAGTAACGTCCAGGGTGATGGTGCAATTCTTATCTTTCCTGCCCGATGGCTTGTCTTATCTATTTTTCCGGGAGCACTACACAGCCCAGGCAGGGTTTGTTCATTGGCCTGCAGAGTTTGATTGGCAACCCGCTGCCTGTATTGCCTACAATCCACGATCACATCCGGACGCCATTCAGTATGTCATCGCGGCGGGCTGTACGGGGATCAAAGCGGACATCTGGCTCCAGGATGAGGAGCTCTATGTCGGAACCTCCAACGCCAGTCTGAGACCACATCTCACCCTGCGCAATGTGTACCTTGACCCTCTCTTGCAGCATCTTGACGCAGAAAAGACTCCAGAGGGCTCTGTACAGTCTACCGCGACGAGCCATCACGGAACTGCAACGGACGAGCAGTTTGTTCTGTTCTTGGAATTCCGATCGCCGATTCGGGACGGCTGGCCACGTCTTCTCGCTGAGCTGCAAATCTTGAACGAACGAGGGTATCTCACCCATCGCAACGACACAAAGATTATTCACAAGGCTGTCACGATCGTCATCGTGGGTGACGAGAGCGTCGACCCTGCTCACGAAGAGTACCAGCAAGATTTCAACCACAACAATATTTTTGTCGATGACCAACTGTTCACGAAAAGACCCAAGTCATCGCCTAGGCTTCAAGGAAATAAAGCTCAATCATTCAAAAGCAAAGGAAGTCAATCCCGACCGTCTTGGCAAGAGGGGAAGAATTTGACCTCGAAAGAGGTAGAGCAGAATGTGCGATCGGTTTTCACCACGACCGTGAGCTTCAGTGAGGAGGTCGGATCTCCTCATCGAGGACGATTTTCTCGACAACAACTCGATTTGATCCGGGCCCACGTGGAGCAAGCCCACAAACGCGGGCTAAAGGCGCGATTTGGAGACATCCCGTGTGGCTCGCAGAGGATGCAACGTTTGATTTGGAGAGTCTTGGTCAAGGCCGGCGCAGACCTCATTGATGTAGACTGGACAGGCTGTCATCGTCAAGCATGGCGGCAGTTCTTTACGACAGAGCTGGCTTAGGAAAGATATAATCACGATCCTCTCTTGGGCCCTAGTTGATAGTAATGACAAGCTCTGTACATATTGATAATGGAGACGTCTAGTGCAAGGGCTGATAAGTGCTCGGGGCCGGTTTCCACCTCGGCCGACAAATTGAATACTAAAGGTTATCTATGACTGGTGCACGGACCGTTGGTCGTCGATTCCAACCAGTCCGTGACACCAGTGCAACCCAGTCAGAAAGAAGGAAAGAAGGAAAGAAGAGCAGAGCAAGAGCAGAGGAGAGGAGAGCACCGTGGCTAGCAGGATGGCTCTTCAATCCTGCAACCGGACCGACGCAAGGGGAGAGCTCGCCTCCCCCCCTCTACTCTGCTCTCTGCTGTGTAGCGATGAATGTGGCAAGCAGGCCAGCCAGCGGAGTAGGTGTCCCATCAAACAACCCGATCGATCGTCTCAGAACAGCAGCTGCATTGCTTGGAGAATCATACCTCAAAACGCTGCCATTCTATTATGTTCAAGTATCAACGAAAACAACACTCAACCCCCGAGTAAGGTGCAACTCCGAGCGTATTATGTGGAAGTTGTACAATACTGCACTGTAATCAATCAAGTAAGCAGGATTGTACTTTACCGTACTCCGTAGCAGGGGGCGATCCCCCAGAAAATTCGTTCCATGGAAGGGGGTCCTGGGATCGGCAGATTGTCACGCACTGCAGGTGGATACGTTACATACTTGGGGCCGAAGCAGGCTGCGGGCGGGAGGCAGACGGGCGCCTATTGTTGGATATCAGATTCAAACCTTGTCCGTGTTGACTCTCCCTTCCGGATTGATGGTTGTACTGTCCATGGAATAACAATGTTCTTCATTCAGTGCAATCATAATACTTTCCCATGTGTCTTGACTGGTAGAGGAGGGTCCATCATTGGCAGGACGCATGACACGTTGTTGGCTGCATGGTCGACTAAGACCCAAGATATATTGGGCATTGGCGAGGGAGGGGAAGAGAGGAGAGGGGTAGGTAACTAGTAGTGGTAGTAATTCACCTACCTGGTAGTAGCAGCAGCTCTATAACTAGGTGTTTGTGGTCCGGTTGGTGCCTTATTCTTCCTTTTTGTTTATTTTATTGCTTTTTGAATTTTCTTCCTTTTTTTTTTTTTTTTTTTTTTTTTTGCATGGGTCCACCCCGTTTTTCCCCGCTGCCACGACGGCCCCATCCTGTTAGTTTCCCTCGCATTCCCTGGTCCTGACTTTAATGACTTTCTTTACTCTCAGCTAAGTTTACACACCAGTTTTCCCTTTCCCTTTTCCCTTTTCTCCCTCCCCAATAAATCCTTCCTAGCCTGGATTTACAGCCAGCGTGATTGGTACAGCCACTCACTACTCACTAGGTACTCACTAACCCAACTACAAGGTACGTAAACTTCCTCGACTCTATTCTAATTCCACTCGCACTAGTCGGAGTGAGATCCATCCATCCATCCATCCAGTCGATCCAATCCATCCATTACTCACCGTTTTTCTTCGTGTTTTCTTTTCTCCTTCGCGCTCGTTTCCCCTTCTCCTCTCTCCACACCCACCTTTCTCCTCCCTCCTCCTCCTCCTTCCTCCCTCCCTCCTTTATCCATCCCATCTCCTATCTTTACCTTTACCTTTCCCTTTCCCTTTCCCTCCGCCTCTGTCTCTGCCTCCCCCACTGATTTGGCTCTCATCCAGCTGAATTTCAACCTCTCAGCACTGGCTAGCTAGGTGTAGTTGTTTCGCCCCACCAGACGATTCTGGAGAGGGAGAATAAACTCGACTTGTACCGGGGATTGCAAGCTACCGAGTGCCGCTGTTGTTGTTGCAGCTTGTGCTTGCTTGTGCTTGCTTGCTTGAAACTCAGCTTCCACCGCCATTTCGCCGAACGCCCCCCCATCCGCGCCCGAACGCAACCCAACACATCTCCTCACTCTTCGTTTTTTCTCCTTTCCGATCGCATTTCCGCTCACTCACCATGATGATGGATTTCCAAAAGCACCACCCGCCGCCACCATATCACCCTCACCCCTCGCTGCTGGGAGCGGTTGCCCACGATCCTCGAGGGGCGCCCTCAGCGCCGCCCGCCGCGCGCGCCTACGGACCGCCTCGGCCACCATCACCACGCCCATACTACGAGATGCTTCAACGACGAGAGTCCGAGATGCCTCGATCGGCTGCCACGGCCCCGGGTTACAATTATCCGACCCCTTCGTCCGCTCCCGCCCCCGTTTCCTCCGTCGCGTACACCCATGAGCCCGCCTACGCATCCTTGCGGCCAGAATCATCCGGGTATCACCTCGCACCGACTGGCCATGGTTCCTCCAAGAAGCATAATCTTCCGGCTGGGCAGCGAGACTCTGACAACCGCCATGATCCCCCTTATGATCATAATTACCTCAATCACCAGGATCGACGGATGGTGTATCGTGAAGGTAGGCCAGTTTGGTTTTTCCTTGCTCTGAAATATTAGTTTGGTTTGCTTTGTCGATTCAACACTGCGCTTCGAGTTTTTATGATTCTTCCCGGTGGTGGTGGTGGTGGTGGTGGTGATGGTGTTGTTGTTGCTGGGTGCCTGAGCCGAACTGGGTAGCATCTCGGAAGGCCAGATCATGGATGGGATGGCAGCCAATGCCTGCTAGACATGACCAATGGCACGCATGAAAATGGACGGGATAAGCGACCAGGGACGTGGCAGAAAACCCGGTAACTGCAGGCGGGAAGATGACTCTTTTGTCTTTGTTTTTTTTTTGGGAATTCCCGGTTTATGACATATTTCTCCTCAACACGACCCAAGCTCTGCTGCGGCACCGTTTGGTTTTTGTTTGGTTTGGTTTGTTTATCCATCGATTTACAAACAACCTTACCTACAAACGGGGAGAAAGAGAGAGGGGGGGGAAGCAGAGACTGGGGCAGCCGGGCCAATCAGCGAGGGATCATCAGCCGCGTCTGTGGCGCCTGATCGCCTTCCAGCCCAGGAAGCCTCGGGAGAGCTAGTCCTCTTTGAGCTTAGCCTCGACTGCCAGGGCATCCTTACTCGATCGGGACTAGTGATCCAGGCCCGCCCAGAGTCACGGGTTCTGCCCCCGGTTGTGGAACTCGCTTTGCTTTCTTGTCCGTCGCGCGCCTTCCTTCGGGTTTCTCTCCCATTCCCCGTTTATCTCATCATCACCACCACCATCATCATCATCACCACCACCTGCTTCGGCACCTTGCGCCTTCACCCTCGCCCCCCTCTTCCATCCCCCTCCCTTCTCGCATTCATCTTCTTTATACCCTATCTTCTGCTCTAAGTTCTTGCGCTGAGGGGTCTCGAATATTCCTAACCGATTCTTGCCCCTTGTTTCCCTCCTCCCCTCCTCTTTCGTGTTCTCAGCGCTCCCTCAGCCCCCTCGTCTGTGCATGCGATATGAATCCACCCCCGTCGCATGACCAGGGCCGTCGAAGGTCCTTGGGCGGCAGTGGTAGCTCCGGGTTCCCTGGTATGTGCCAGACATCCTGGCTCGCAGCGTGTTTTGTCGCAGTCTTTCGCCGGCCCCCGACCAATCTCCTTCGCCGTCTGCTATCTGGCTTCTTGTGCTGAACTCCGTCGGACATACTTGGGCTAACTCCGACCACTCTCTTCTCTCTACAGGTGTTCCAGATGCCTCAACCGCCCAGCCGCTGGGCGCCCGCCGCATGCCTCCTCCCTCGTCGCCGCAGCACTATCCCGCGCGCGCTCCACCCGGCACCACGCACTCTCTACCCACACCTTTCTTGTCGCGTGAGCCTCCCAGCAATCCGGCTCATCATCGTCCCGGGAGCAGCATGTCAATATCGTCCATGCTGGGCGCGGACGCTGACCGACCAGGGCGGGATGTAGGCTCCTCAATTTTTGGCCGTCTGCCCGCCACGTCCGCCTCGTTTGGCAACGCGCATCCGCCATCGGCTCCCGGCGCGATGTCGCCGCCGACCGCGCCCGCCCGCCCGTCCCCGCTCGACTACCCTGTCTTCCGACGATCGCAAACTCCTGAAAAGTCCTTTGCCAAGAACCAACCCCCGCGACCGTATCGATCGGGGTCCGGTGGTGTACCCCAGGCGATTCCCGAGCAGGCCAAGTTCGGTGGTCCGCCACGCGGTCACCCATCCACCCAGTTTCCCGACAAACCCCACTCCACACATCCATCCCCTCAGATCCCCTCGGCCGATGCTCCGTACAATGAACCCCGCCGAACCAGCTTCAGTGGACCGGTACCTCGTCCCAGTAGTCAGCCGCAACATCTCGAACCGCCGCCTCGCACGGCCGGCTACAGTCCGCTGTCTCGACCGATCGCAGTGCCCACAACCACGAGTATGGGAGAAGGATCATTTGTGCCTACACACCAGCGAGCCTCATCCTATATGGGCCACGAGCTGCCGCACAGTCGTTACGGGGGACTTTACACTGATCGTCACGCGGAGGAACAAGCCATTCGGGAGCGGGAGCGCGCAGTGGCACATGAAGCCGAGTCCAAAGCTGCGGCGCACCTTGTTCCTCGCTTCGGCCAACCTTATGGCGACCGCGATGCAGCCGCTCCTCGGCCCCAGGGGCCTTCCGCCTGGGAGCTTGGACGCTCGCAACCCGCGTCCCCCGAGATCAAGCGCTTTCCCGCCCCGGAGCCGGGCGCTGGTTTTGGCTTTGGTGCCATCCAGAACTACACTAAGTCGCTGGGGTCTCAGCTAGGCGGGTCACGCGCCCCCTCGCTCTCCGTGCACTCGCAGTCAGGCCAGCCCACTCCCCCGTCGCACGAGCAGACACCATACCTGAGTAAGCTACAAACCGACACACGCGCCTTCCCGGTCAGCTCTTCCGCTGCCTCTGCAGGTATGATTCTTTCGGCCGCCTCGGATGAACAGCGACGCAAAGGAAGCGATGAGCTCCTAGCGCATAGGAATTTGCTTAGCGTCGGGCTGGACGCGAAAAGGGGTGGACGAGCCTCACCGCTGCCCCAGGCGGTCCAGGGAGCTCAGGCGCAGATCTTGGGCCCCGCTGGGGAATCAGGAATCAAGAATGAGCTGGGCCGTGTGTTCTCGGGAATCGGAAGTGGAGTGGGCGGCGTGACGGGGGCCACGGCCGGGAGCGGACCATCGACGCCCATGACCTCAGCCAGCCCTTTCAAACGGGACAGTGCCACCGCCCGGTCCACCAACAGTGAAACTACGGCGGATGAGACCAAGATTCCCCGTCCTACCTCCGCCAACGGAAAGCGATCTCGGAAATCGCGCGACGAAGACATTCGGCCTGAAACCGAGGCTGGGGCATTGGGCGCAGCCTCCCGCGGGCGGCGAAATCGGCACGTTCACCACCACCACCATCAGTAAGCTCCCCCGAACCTTTGACTGACTATGACGTATACTAATTTCGACGTAGCCATCATCACCACCGGCATAAACCGGAGGAAGAGGCGGCCGCTCTCGGCCAGAATCGACCTCTATCGTCGATGAACTTTTTCCATCGCACGGCGACCCCCGCGGATGGGCCAGCCACCGCGGCGGCAGCGACGCTTGCTCATCATCATCACCATCACCCCCACCACCATCACCATCATCATCACGCTCCCCGACCAGCCGGATCAGTGGCTCCTGCTTCCTCTGTCACTCCGATTCGGGAACCTCGCACAGTGGTAACCATTGAACCTCTTCTGACAAGCGTCGCCCATCTTCCTCGTCACCACCTCGGCTCTACCCTGTACGCTCCTCAAATCGGGGTACCAACAGAAAAGGCTACCCTGGAGAGTGCCAAGTTTGGGTACACCACCACGCCTGTTCCTCTACCCCGCTTCGAAGGCAAAGAGAATTGCACGTTCACCATCCGCGTCCCCCGCTTCCGAATCGACAACGGCCGTCGCGAGGAGATTTGTGCTCGCCGTGCGCTTTGGGGAACCGGCGTCTACACCGACGATTCCGACCCTGTTGCGGCAGCCATTCATTCTGGCTTCATTCGGGGCGCTTGGAGTGAGGATGTCGATGAGGACTTGCTTGACTTGGAGATCCGCGATACATACCAACACGCGCCCCAGAGAGCACAAGACATCGGCCTCGAAGAGGGCGAGCGACCCCGGGTGCCTCCCGTTCCCCCCTCTGACAAAGACCTCCACATCACCATTCTCATTCTCCCTCGTCTTGAACGGTACGAATCCAGCGTGCTGTTTGGCCTCCGGTCTCGAGCCTGGGAAGGCCACCACGACGGCATGAGCTACAAAATCCTTCGGACGGAATGGATCGACGAGGGTGTCGGCCGCGGCGAAGAACGCAGCGGCGCCGCCCGCCGTAAGCGCCTCCGTACCCTGATGCAGACGGGCCGCATCTGCACGGGTCCCGGGGTGATCAAACTGGACCAGCTGCGCAATGGAATCCAGGTGCCGCGCCGCAAGAAGATTGAACCGAGTCGAGAACAGCCGTCGCCGATGCAGACTGTCTCGTGAGCAGGGTTTGGGTTTGGGTTTGGATTCAACTGTGATCTAGTATTTTTTCCTCAAGTCCGTCTGGAATTGCTCGGCCTTTTTTGTGTGTCTATCTGTCCTTGTATGGCGTTGCGAGGGTCTTATCTTTATGTGTTGTTGTTGCAGTATCATTAGCGAGGCGTGGTATTTTTTTGTGTTGTGTGTGCAGCTTGATTCGAAGTACATTTCGCTTGCTTATAGGTAATTCTCAAGACATGGCAGATCTGTTTTGTTTTGTGGGATTTTATGGGGAGGGGTTGTGTACCTAGCCCGTTTTCGTCATGTTCCTGCATGCATGGGATGTGAGGTGCTTAAATCGGGACTTTTATTTTGTCCCGAGTACGTAACATCTAGCTCAATCTGGATTTAAATAGGGGTTTCATCCGAGGTCCTATCTGGTATACTCCAGAGTATGTGATGTACCTAGTATGTTTCACGCATATGTTTCCAAAACATCAGTAAAACCCAGGCAGCACAGCTATTCTGGCATGCGCATAGAGCATAGGCGGCAATGAAGAAGGGAAACGGGACACGCCTCCAACGAACGGATTTGATAGCTCCACTCTGCACTATATATTTATTGGGGAATTGGATGATTGTATGCTTGACAGCTACGGCGTCCGAGCCCCCTCCCCGATCCCCATCAACCCCCCGGCCAGCCCCGTCATCCGCCGATCCAACAGATCCTCCTCACTCGCCAGGCTGTTCATGCTCCGATTCCTCTCGCGCAGGGGGATGATCGCCACGGCACTCTGGAAGTAGTCGGAGACATATCCCTCTTCTTCCTCTTCCTCGCACTCGAAATCGTTCGGCGGAAGACTTAGTTTGGCGGGGACGCGGTGTTGCTGTCGCTGCGGCTTTCTGGTCCCGATGGCGGGGGACTTGAGAGAGCGGCCGCGGGAGACGCTGCGGAGGCGTTCGGGGTTACTGATATTGCCGTTTGCTACTAGTTGGGGCTGGGAGTGGGAGTGATTGTGACTGTTGATGGATGCTTCGTCGTGGTCGTCATCGGGAGGTTGTGGGCCGGTGGAGCTGGGCCTCCCCCCGGCTTTGCTGCCCAGCGGGGTGAGCGGGGTGAGTTTGGTGATGCTCATCTCGAGGGGTTTGTCTTCGTCGGCGGAGGATTCGCCTG